TTATCATCACGTGAAGGTCAATTCTGATTGAGGTTCAATGTGATTAATCACCTTAACCTGCAAGTTTATTTCCTTTTTACCGGAACATCTCTGTAGGTAAAAAGTGTCTACCTGTTTACATTTTTTTTTGTGAATTTTAAATGTTGATATTATCATTTTAAAACTGTAAGAAAATTTAATTGATCCTTACAGTGTATAAGAGGATATTAACTGTTATTTTATCAAGGATTAATCCGACAAAGAAATGAATCATGAAAAAGGATTGAACAGGAACTGTTTATTGTTATTATTTCACCCAAACACAATAAACATGATCTTAATCCCGATCAACTGATTTGATGGATTACAGAACAAATCAATAACAAGCCAACAATTAAGCTTATCAAGTTAATAATCATTTGTTTGTTTGTGAAACAATTGAATTGAAAGTACCTTTTTTATAACAGGAATCATCAACAACAATTAAAACTATTTGCCAGATTAAAATTGAAAGGTAGATAAACTTTTCATTTCAACCAACAATTTTTAAATGAAAGTGTAAAGTAAGTTTAATCGGATTGATTGAAAAATTACTAGTAATTAGTTAATTGTTGCAATTAAATTAGTACATATGAATCAAAATTGCAACTGTAGTTGTTTATCAATAGTAATGCAATTTATATTAGTAAAAATAAAAATTTGATGGCGATGAAAAATCAATAGCCTTACGGATATTGACTTGGGTGAATATATTTCACTTCTTGTTTAACAATCAATTGATTATTTAATGATACCTGTTGATTGTAGTGGAGAAATTGTTATTGATGGAAAGTGAAATGCAAACTAATCAAGTAACAATTTAATTTGACAACTAAACCAATGTTGTTTTATTAATCAAGGAAGTTCAATAAAGTACATATCATTTTTTTATTACAATATTTACAGGCAAACAATACTAATGTTTAAACAAAGTTGTTAATTACAATTCATTAGTAACAAATTTTGTTTTTTTTGTTGATGATAATGCTAATAGTTGAAATTTATCAATCATCATGATTAACAAAATGTAAATACTAGTGAATCCGCAAATCAAATAAAACTTTCAATGTTATATCATAATATTATGATCAATATTGTTGTTAGCATTGAAAATAATATTAACGATTATCTGATATGATTAATGAAATCTTATCAATAATATAATTAAGTAATAATAAAGACATTTTATCAGAATTTCATTAGATTATGATGTAGTTAACCTTACACAATTAATTAATCGATCTTAAATCAACGTGTATGAGATAATAATACATAAGTAATACTTATTATTATATATTGTCAAGGTTAAATGTTATAAATCAAAAATAGATGATAATTAGGTAAATTTTCATGATTTTAGGATGATGATTATGATGGTATTGATGATAACTTAATTTAATCCACACCCTTTTTCCGGAATAAAATTTATACACAAAAACCTAAAGAGTATATGAAAAAAAAGTTGATGATAATAATAGAAATATATTCTGTGTATATGTTGGGAATAGTACAAGGAGTAAACAACAAAGAGAGAGGCCAAAAGATGAAGCCAGAAAAAAGATGATGAGGATGGAAGATGAAGTAACTTGAATGGGTGTCACTGTCATGGTTTATTTTGTGTGTCAAATGATTTCCGCTTCAATGACCTGGGTTTGAAAAAGGACATACATCGAAAACGATGTGGTGAGATGTGGAGGCAATGAGGGAGCTAGAGAAGAGGAAGACGACACCCAACTGTAAAAGCAGCAAAAGAAACACATCAAGTAAAGCCAGAGAAAAGGAAAAATGAAACAAAATTGTAACAAATAAAAGGTTAATACTTGAGAAATCAAAGAAACCCATAGAAACTATTATTGTCTAGAGAGTTCAAATCATGAGAGAGAGAGAGAGAGAGAGAGAGAGAGAGAGAGAGAGAGAGAGAACAACTATTGTGACAATTAGTGAGGCAACTGGAGACAATTTAATAACTATTATCACTATGAAGTTCTATTAAATTTATCATCCGAGTGGATATTATTATTTCCTCTACTTTGTCAAACTTTCAGCATCAACAATCATTTGTAATAGTACCGGTACATGTGATAGTTACAACTTAATAGAAAAATATAATTTATTGAATTTTTCATAGGAATTGCAATGTTCATGATTATCATTATCTAAGATAGAGATTGATGAGAATCATGTCGATAGAAGAAGATGATGAAAAAAACAGAGGATAATTTTTTTCTCACTCTTCACTTTTAACTTCACAGAAATCAAGTGCGATGTATGATATTAGCTATAAAAAGTTATATTCTTTGTAAATAAACAAACGGTTTTTGTTAATGATAATAATCATGGTGATAGTAATGATAATAAAAACAATATTCATTGAGCCTTGAAAATGCCTTTGTAAGCAAGAATCAATCAGATGAGAGGAGGATGAAGGAGGAGGATGGGAAGGGACATGAGGGGATAAAATGGTTTAAGAGTAAACAAAGTCTAGGAGGCTTGACATGAACACTTATTATCTTTATTGTTAGTTAATTTTTTTCTTTAATTAAATCAAAGTGATTTAAGCTCATGGAAAAGTTGATTTAAGTGTTTCTGTTTGGGTTGGATAGTTTTAATGCTAAGTGAGTCTGGACTTTCTGAGAAAACGTTAATCATCATCACCATAATAATTATCAACCATCCTTACAAGTGTATTGAATTTATCATTAGGAAAGGATGTTCAATTTTTGAGATTGGTTTTCATGCTGGACAATATTATTCATTTAGAAAACCGGATCAATTAATTAAAGAAAATTAAAGAGTCTAAGAGATACTCGGACTTTCAGCCTTTCCCATCATTGAGCTCATGGAAGTCATTACTTTTTTTTCCGGCTCAGTCTGAGTATTTCTCTGAGGGATTTCAATTGGTCAGTAAGTTAATAAGTAGTATGGGTTGACTGATTGAATAAACGAGCGATAATTGATGTTAACAGTTTGATTTTGGTTAAATGATTGACCAATTGTTATGGAAGATAGGGAGAGTCATCTTTATCATAATAACCATCAATTGGGTCAAACGATTTAGTTTACTATTGATTAGGATAACCATAAATTGTTGTATTGTTACAATTTAAGTTAAATGGACAAAAATCAAATGTAACTTACATGTAAATTGTACTGATTGTTGCCCTTGAGGATACTTAGTTAAGGTCGATACAAATGGTAAGTTATTAATAAATAGAAAATCAAAATAAAATGTTTACAATTAAAAGTGATTGTGATGATACACTTATTTCTTATCAATTAGTTTTAATTGGGATGTGAAATAGATTAATATTGCTAATTATATTTTCATTACTTTTTGCTTCATCTTGATTAATTATTGTCTAAACGACGATTGACATTGCGTGAGATAATTGATCAATTGTGATTATCAGTAATAAAGTGATTTCAGGAATCGGGAAAAGTGAAAATCAAAAGTGAATACAACAATTAAGCAACAATGCAAAAAAGTAACGTCAACAATTTACAGTTTTCCTTATTTAATATTTATATTTGATGATGCAAATTGATTGGCAACCTTGATTATTATCATCAATGACCCTTTTGTATTGATTTAATTGTTGCAACAAAGAGAGAAAAACTTTCAATCACAATTTAAATTGAAAAAAAAAACACATACACCAACTGATGATTTAAGGTGATGAACAATTTAGTGTCTTATTGACGGAAAGAAAATTAACAATTAAAAAAAAAAGTTCTAATGGTTAGTCATCATTATCAAGACTCACTTGAAAGTTAATTTTCATTCAAATTTATCGATGAAATTAACTAAATTGTTGAACTTAAAAATATTGACACCTACTCTCATAACTGATTTATTATAAATAAGAATCTTTTTTTTTCATGATAATCAAGTTTCAGAGCGGAAGGTAAGGTTGAATTTTTTGCTTCAGAATTAACTTGATTAACTGATGATGGAGAAAAAATTGATTGGATATTCAGTGAAGTTCAATTGCAATTTAAATAAGTTAGTTAGGTCATATAATTCGTATTAGAACAGCAAGAATATGAAGAAGAAAAAAAAATGGTAATGATAAAATAATGTAACTTGTTAATGTATTAATCTAATAACAACAATTATTGAATCTTCAGAATTTACAATTAACTTATTTTCATTGATCTCTTTTAATAAGATTAAAGGCTTTATACCTGGAGCACTTTGTCAGGTCATTTAAATCAATCTTTCTCTTTCGATTATTATTTTTTTTTTTTACTTGCTCTTAATCGTAATCGATTTTTTTTTAATATATATCCAATAACATTTATCTTAATAATTAACCTTTATCAACTAATATCATCCTCATCTTAAACTTCATCATCTCATGTATCATCGCTCTTCTCATCACCTTGCATAACATTGAACATATATACAAAGTTATCTTGATTAAGGGTAAACTAAATTGCAATCACAATCAGATTGGTAAATAATATTGATGAGTATATGATAGTGATAATAATAATACACTTTTAAGTGATTTAAATTAAGTGAGAACAAGCAATTAATCAATAATAACAGGTATAAGAGAAAATGAGAAGTAGAAGAAGAAGAAGAAAAAAAAAGGTTTGGCTGATTCACTAATCACCACTATAAGTAAAAGGGAATAAATCAACAAATCACAGAGTAAATTATGATGACAATTAAGATGCCAATCAGAAAGAGATAATCATAGAGTGATGAACAGGAATAGTAATACAGAAAAAGAGAATATTACGTTTTTTTCTATTCTTAAATCAAGAAAAGTTGAACAATTAACTGAATCGGATCATGAGGATTAACTAAGCGTTAGAATTCAATTTGGATTTTATATTTATCTTAATGAAAACGATCAATTGGAAGACAATTGAAGATTAAATAAGTAATTAAAGGGGAAAAGCTAATAAATGATTCAACAGAAAAACAATTATATGATAAATGAAAATTATATTAATTGTTTATAATTACTTACCGAATATTTGATTAATTGATCTGATTACATCCCATGTTTCATTGAACACATTAACATCCATTATGATTTATCCAAAGGTAAAAAAAGTCGACAAGTTAAAAGTAAATTAGTAAAAATGGATTAGTTTATATAAAATTGTCGTTGATTGGTGTTACACAATTGTGCAGAAAAAAAGTTGAATGTTTTGCGAAATGTCAACAAAATTGAATTAACACAAAAAAAAAACGCACAAAATAATTATCCAAATTGTAAAAGTAACGAGCAAGTTGATGATATAAACAGATGATGATGACACAATGACGATGAAGAGATTAAGATGGAAGAGAAATTTAAAGATTATATCAAAATGCGAGAGAGACAAAGAAGTGATTACCAATAATGTCAATGTGAGAGAAACAAAAGTTAACAAAATGGCTGACAAATTGATTAATCTCTGTTAAAGTCTCTTCCTCCCATTGGTTTGAGATTTGATTGACACATAAAAGTTTGATGAATATATTTAGGAGAAAACCAAACGATGAAATAGAATAAAATAAAAACAGAGAATATTATTAATATACTAACACAATTGAATAAGATGAAAGAAATTTAATTGTTGCAGTTTATCCAAAATTGTAGTTGTTTGGGTAACGATTAAAAGAGAGAAACTAAAAAAACTAGTGAACATAATGAGAGAAATCAAGTTTTCACTTTACTCTCTCTTTCTTTCTCACTCACCATTTTTCTTTCTTTTTCTTTCTCTCTCTCTCTTTTTCTACTCTTTTCGTATCATCACCTTTCCCTTTCGAAGGTTCACTTAACGTCGCTGTTAATTAACAATTAACAATTAAAATCACAAGAGAAAACAGTTAATTAAAGCAAACAATTGAAGAGACAAATTGATTAAGAGAGAAAAGAAAAAAACATTTAATAGAATTTGAAAAATATTCTTTTTCATTGACCAATCAGCGATCACCGAATCAACGCCATCTGTTAGCTCATTTGGAAACTTATCGAACTTTTTTTTTTAATTTTTCGATAAAAACAATTAACTTGATTAATGAATTGTACAAGTTGAAAATGCTAATTGTAATAGAAGATTTAATTTAGCAAATATTATTATTTACTTTATAATTTGATCATTAAATGTTCAATAACTTCTGTGTGATCATCTTTTGATTAATTGTTAAAATTGTAACTCTTGAAGTTTATTGTTACAATTAAAGTTATTAGATTGATGATCAATTGAATTAATAACTTGTTTAATTATCATTAGAAGAAAGTTGATTTAGTTAGTGAAAGAGATAACCTTGAGATTGATAGTGAAATAGTTATGATATTATTTAATTAATTGTGGTAAAAATGAATCAATTGATTTACAAACATAATCAATGATCAAAAGTTAACAGTTAATTTAAATTCATTGGGATAACTTTTTTTTTTTACTTCTTCTTCAGGTAAATCTTACCTGCTGAGATGAATTAAATGATAATTTAAACAAGTTTCCATCCATAGATTAACATAGATTCAATTTACCTGGACAAGTTTAATTCAGTTTGAGAGGAAGAGAAAAAAAAAAGTTTCAAAGTGAATTTAAATTAACAATTTAAATCAATGTTGATCATCATTTAAACAACTAAATCATCATGTTGAATTTATGGGAACAATTAACTATTAGAAAATCAGTGTTAATATGTATCTCATTAGTTAACTGGTGTAGGTCAATTCTTACAGGTTAATCATGATTAACTTATCATGATAATCTCTGAACTTTTTTCATCCTCTTGATTGTTAATTGTGATGATTAACAATGAATCCTGGTATTTATAACACACCTTATTTACCTGTTTCTTTTTTGTCTTATTCATAATAACTATGGTCTGACATAGTATTCAGGATGATTAAGATGATGATGAGGATGAAGATGAGGATGAAGATGAGGATGAAGATGAGGATGATTTGATTAGATGGTAAAAGTTGAATGGGCAGTTTGTAAGTGAAAATATTTCTGAGTAACGGTCAATGATCTTGGTTGGAAAACAATTATTTCCATCATCATCCTCATCATCATTATCATCGTTTATTATTATTGGTCAACAATGTGAGAATATACAATCTAGTTTATCATCATCATCATCTTATCCTCATCCCAATCATTATCTTTTATCATCATCGTTATTTTGTATTATCTATCAACAGAAATCATCTGATCAGTTTGACCCAATTTGATTTGGTGAAAAATTAAAATTCTAGGTTACAATTAATTTGCCGCATTCTAAATAGTCTAATCATTGTATATTTGAATTTAATTTGATTGTGATTAACTTAAATTGTCATTCAGATCATGTTATTTACATCATGATGCCACTAATTTAATAACTAATCATTTGCAATCGTTAAATTAATTGCTATTATATTGAGATGATTTCAAATTGTTGTATTGTTTAGGTTTCGTTTTAATTGGAAACAATTGGATTAGTGTTTTTTTGGATAATCAAATTAAGTTGTTAATTTGATCATAACTTTGGGTTTTTAAATAGCCAAGGTTAAATTGTTGATGAATTTATCTCTAATATGAAGTTAATTGTTACCACTAAATTGTTTAGGACTTAATTTTAATCCAGTTAGTGATAGTTAATTTATTTTAGGAATTAATTTCAATTTCGTTGATTGTTAATTTTGTTTCAAGGTTTTGTTTTTGTTTTTGTTAATTTTCACTTTAATTGTAATTTTAATTGTCAAATGGAAATCATATTTTACTGATTAGTATGATTCAAATGATTGAATTACCAGACAATTAACAAGTTAAATAATGAAAGTAAAATGTTGTAATAATAATAAAACTCAATCTAAATTGTAATGATAACACTTTTAGATTGTTGGTTAATTGTGATGATTTACAGATTGTGATCATTGATTAAAATGCTAATAATCATGAAATTAGCAAACCAATCCTGTAGACAATTAAACAATATAACAGTTAATTAACTAATCAAGTAGTTAACCAAAAATAAGAGTTTACGATTTGGTAAAATGGTTAACAAAAGTTTCAGATTAAAATCAAAACAATTTATTAATTGTTATAATACAATAATCTAAAAAAAGTATACACGATGATTAAAATAATTTGTTGATTAACAACAATTAATTGTTAATTATTGGCTTCATTTTAAAGGTAAAACTGTTTAATTAACTTGATTGTGTTGAGATTTAGTATTGACATTAAACTTGATTAAAATAAAATTACAACAATTTGATTTGCGTTGATTTATAATTATGATTAAGTTTATCGATTATGGATTAACCATTAATTGCAATTTATATAATTTTAGATGATATTAGGGATAATAGTGTACAGTTAATTGTAATTAACTTTCGTTGATTGTTGTCCCGCGAAAAATATAATATTACAAAAGTTAATTGAATCAACGTTAATTTTAGGGTTTAACCTTAAGTTCAATTAACTTTGATTCTCATTTAATTCAAAAGGTAGACAGTTAATTGTGGGATGAAGATGATTAAAGATCATGAATAGGTGAGGATGATTAAGGATTAAGGATAAAGATTAAGAGACTTGGATGCGGAAATTAGGAGATAGTTAAACAGTTGATTAAGATTGAACATTGGATAATTAGTCTATTAAATTGATTTCTGAATTACAATCAAGGTTATTTCTTGGCCTAGGGTTAGTTCACTGGGTTTAATTGTTAATCAGTTAATTGTTGTCAACTGTTTGAATCTAACTTTCTCTTACTTTCTTTATTATTTGTATACAAAAATAGATGTTGGATTAAGTTGATTGTTGTAGGTTATTAAGTTTGGTTGAAAGTTAATCACGAAAAACTGATTAACTGAATATGATGATCATCTGTTCATCTTTTACCTTGTTAGGAATTAATTGTTTACCTTTTACCTTGATTGTTGTTTTGATTCATGATTTGAGCAACAGGATTTCAAAGATGATGATAGTTACTTATATTCACATGGAGAGTGGGTTTTTGTTGCTGTTAATTTTCATCATCTTCATCAGTTTTTTTTTAGATGATGAGGATGATCAGGATGATATGGTTACAGTGGGTAAAGAAAAGTTGATGAGAAAGTGAAAGCACACCTTTATTTACATAGAGAAAACAAGAATTAACTAGTTTTTCACTCGTTCGAATTTTTTTTTCCTTCTATTGATGAGATAATATTATCTCCATGATAATTCATCCTCATCATTTGATTCAGTTTGGATGATGATGATTGTCATCCATTTAATGTGACTTTACAGGTTGTGGTTTGGGTTTTGTTTAATCATCAATCGTGATGAAGATAAAGATGAGGATGATGAAAGAGAAAGTGGGAGAGGGAGAGAGAGAGAGACTCAAAATTGTGACTGATGATGAGGATGAGAAGATGATATCAATCAAGTTTACTTTCTGAATCTATTGGATTGGATTAGGAAAATGAAAAATTTACTCTAATCTTATTCAATTGGAAAATTTATTCCCTTCAGCATTTTAATCATCGAATCGTTTGATTCCTTTGTTGATTAATTATTTGTTACAATCAGTAAATCACTAGTTAATTCAATTTGAGTTTGATAAGCAATCAACAGTTTAATCACTTTCACTATCGGATTTAAAATCAAATTGATCAATTGATACTTACTAATGATTATTAGCTGATCCATTTTTTTGTTTGTTTCATTAGTTAATTTAGTTGTTACAAATTGATGATAATCAATTTACCCTTAAGGCTTAAATTGGGAAAAAATTAGTTAAAAGTTTAATTATTCATTTGTGTATTTACATTTTATTATTATATAAAGATGTTAATTGTATACAATTAACTTTTCTTAAATGATTAACCAACAATTGAATGCAAAATTTTCAAGTTGTTTTCTTAATAAAAAAAAGTTACAATTAAAATCATCTAATGAATTAAAATGATGATTAAAAAGTAAAAGTTATTAAAGTATCAGATTATTAAGTTAATCATAACAAACTGATAATAATAATAGTTTAGTTAATCAACCTATCAATCGTAAATTAACTAAATCACTATCAACTAATTTTAGTTATAATAATAAACAATTTAAGAAGCAAAAATTATTAGTGAAAAAAAATTGAAAGTTTCCGTTCAGGCCACTTTTTAAAGATCAACCCGTTACACCGTTGAGATGATATTTATATCTATCATCATCTCATCATCTTCATGAAAGTTTTGACGAGACACTTTCATCCTCATCATCGGGAAGATACAGAGAGAGAGAGAGAGAGAGAGAGAGAGAGAGAGAGAGAGAGAGAGAGGTCAAGGGGAGAAAGAGACTTTTTCAATTTGAAAGCGATCTTCATCTTCATCCTGATCCGCACCCAATTAAGGGTGAGTTCAGGATGATAAAGATGAAGATGATGATGATGATGAAGATGCTTTTACTTTCGAGATTAAATTGTGATCAATTCCCGTTGAGAAAATTGAAGATTCATCGTACTACCTGAAGGAAGCCGTCATCATCCTCATCATCCTCATCATCTTAATCAGTTGATCCACTTTTACTTTATCATCTTAATCATCATCGTTGTGATGTTATTATTATCAATATCAACTCGATCAATGGCCGAAGACAATGATTCTTGATTTTAAATTGTTATCAACTTAATCATGATTAAATTTCATAACAATAGGCTCTTTTTTATGTGTTTGTATCTGGTTTGTTGTTGTTGTTAATTATAATCAACATGTTAATCATTATGATGATGAACACGATTTAATTTGATTTGATTTTTTTTTAATTATGATTTTCTTGTCTTGATTGTTATCAACTGGATTAGTCTTTAGTATTTATAGTTTTGTTGATAGTTAATCATTTATTTAATCATCTTTTTGATTCATAAATTGTAAGTTTATTTTATTGATCAATTTTTTGGTGACTGATTTATTGATTCATTGATTTTAGATTTACTTTGATTAAGATTAAAGCTTTTAATTGATATTAAATCATTTCTCTTTCATTTTAATTGTGATTTTAATCGCAATTTTATTTCCTTAATTTTTGGTTGGTTTTTTTTTCTTCAACAATTTTAGATAATTTAGATTTCGATTGATTAATTAATTGTTGGTGTAACGATCATGATTTATGATTATTTTATAAGCCTGATGATTAACATTTAATTAGCCGCAAGGTGAATGTAAATTATTGACAATTTGTTGATCATTTTGGTTGATTATGTTTGGTTAAAAAAAACTTTTCTTTTTTTTCTGGATCCGGTTTTTTTTAATTGTTGATTGTTGATCACGATTACCAATTTAATTTAGTTGACTAGTAAAATGATTAATTGGTTAGCTAATTAGTTGACTTAATTTTGTTTTTTTTTCTTCAATAATTAAGATACAAATTGAATTATGTTACTTTTTTGTTCACCATTGACCTCAAATTGTGATATCAAAATTGATTCATTTAATTGTGTTTATATTGTAATTAACCATTGAGAGGAACGATAATCAACTCATTAAGCTTTCTAATCACAATTAAAGTTCATTGATTGTGTTAATTAGTGGAAGATGATTTTAACCAAGGTCAATTAATAAACTCCTTCTGAAATTATTATCATTAGACTTTAATCGTTTTCTTTGATTGTGATTAATTAAAAGTGTGAAAATTTTCACAGTTTCTATTAATTGATAATCCAACTAACCTTTTATCAACAAATTGTTACAATTTAATCACAACCACACACTTACAATTTAGGTCAATTTAAAGGTCCACCAAGTTGATTATGATTTGATTGTTGGTTGATTAATTTTAAATCATCATTAAAGGGTTAAGTTAATCAACATATTCATGTTAATCATCTTGATTAACTACTTATGTTACAATATAAAAATAAAAATTACGATAAATTTACCAAAAAAATTATGATTAAGATCAGATCACTTTTTAATCATCGTGATTTGAATCAGTAAATCACTGTCAACAGTTAATTTAATTTCTTGACATTAAAACGGTTTGATGATTAACAAAAAATCATTTCCCTTTTTGATTGTTAATCAAAAATGAAATTGGATTAAAATTTTTTTCTGTCTGATTGTCAAGAATCAAATCCCAATGTTAAGCTTTGCAATTAACCATTTGATTTATAATTGTGACAATTTACTTTCAAATATAATCATGATTTAGATAATGATCAATAAGATTAACACTGAATTGATACAATTTTAATCACAATTGAAAATGTAACAATTTATAAACTTTTTGTTTTGTTTCTCATTCTCTCTCAAGTGATTAACTAATCAATTCAGTTTCTATTATTGTTAAACTTAATTTACTTTTTTAATTTCATTTTTATTTTCTGTGTAGGTTGATTGTTGCTGTTGATTAACATTTTATCATCTTCATCAGGTTGATAATCACCATGATTATCAGTTAATTTAGTTGGATTATGGCTTCTTCTTGATGATCATTAAGATTAGCTTGATAATTATGTTGATCGTAAATGATTAACATCGTAGTGTGAAAATCGTATCAAATTGATAAATATTATACAAAATTAACGGGTTAATATATAGTTTATGATAAACATTATCATGGTATCATAAATATAAAATTGTTAAATCGCTTCTGTTTAATTGCAATCAGATAATTAAGTTGATCATAAAAATAAAAGGTTAACAATATTAGATTTCAATGTGGGTGAAAATTAGGATAAAAGTTAAGTATTAAGATTATTACAACTAATTAATATCTACCATGGGTAAATGAATCAATCAGAATTCATAAATTAACTCTAATCAACTTCAATAATTGTTTAATTGTTCAATCATTGAACTTCAATGAACGGGAAGGCTCAAGATATGTCCATAAGCTCACTAATTACACTTTCAGCTGACTTTTTTCGGCTAATAATTCGCGGCTTTTTAGGAAAATGATTTAATCTAAGTGATTAATCCAACAATTTAAGGTTGTTGTTTAGATTTGTTCTTATTATTATTGTGATTACATTGACTAATCGGAGGAAGAGGAAAAAGTTAAATATTCTTAATATTTAATAAGTTTGACCCTCAGATTTTACACTTTCACTGTTAACACTTTCAACTAAATTATTAATAGTCACAGTATTAATTTCTCGATGGTTTTCAACCTCATCAACGACAATTTCACGCTGACGTCTATTGAAGATAGAGCTTCCTACTCGGAAAGGTCGGTCAGCCCTTGTAAAAAGGAGACACCTACAAGCGTTGGGTCACTCGAATTACAAATCAATGAAGTACGTAGCTACGATAATCGATATGCCCAGCACCTGATAAGGTCAAGTTTCGTCTACGGATAGTTATGGCTACCTTTGGATAATCTTTGGACAAGTTTTTCTTTGATGTTTTCTCCAGTTTTCGAGTATTCATACCTCAGACTCGAGTTATGGAAATTTGAGCGATACTCAATTGTCATATTTTAATATCAAGATCATTCCGATCATTTTGTTAAGATACAGTTTCAAGGTTACTTAATGGTCAGAATCAAATTTAGACTCAATGTTGAGGCCACTAACGAGATAACAACTTTGGGACATGTTTAGTTACAGATAAATACGTTTTTGATTCGGAAGCCTTGACATTCAATTTTCATTAACTTCAAATCATATTTCACTTATTAAAACTTAAAGTTCAAGTAAAAATGATGAAAAAAGCCTTAGACCTACACGAATAGAACGAAGATCAAGGTAATTAAGTTGATTTAATTTATCCAAAGCAAAGGTTCACTCGTTCTCATAATTGTTGATTAATTGTCAAATCATTTTCTTCATTTTCATTTTCATGTTCAATTTATTTTCCATTCTTAAATTTATATACGATCCCTCGAATTCGCAACTTGCGCCATCTAACGTTTTCTTTTGGAAACTTTGAGTGAATTTCCGTTTCCTTTGTTGTAGATCAATTTTGTTTGAGTTTTGTGCATTTGGTGAATTTAATTAGTTAATTATTTTCTAGTTTGGATTATAAAATTTAATTTAATTTCTGTTACAAAATGGTAAGTGCATTGGTTATGTTTCTTTTGTTGGGCAGTTTGTTTTCGTATTGGTTTTTGATTTGTTGTTTCAATTTGTTTTTCTTTTTTGCTCTGTTTAGCCAACCAGATTTAAGAAAAGCCGAAAATTAAGAGGCCATGTTAGCCATGGTCATGGACGTATTGGTGAGTTTTTCTTTTGATTGTTTAATCAATTTGTTGTCTACTTACAGATTGTGTTGAATCTGTTGTATTGTTTTGCTTGGTTTTGGTATTAATTTGTGTTTCTGTCTATCAATTGTTCAGGTAAACATCGTAAACATCCTGGTGGTCGTGGTAACGCTGGTGGTCAACATCATCATCGAATAAATTTTGACAAATACCATCCAGGTTATTTTGGTAAAGTTGGTATGCGTAATTATCATGTACGCAAAAATTCATTATCTAACTTCTGTCCCACCATTAATGTTGAAAATTTATGGTCATTGGTTGGAGAGAAGACAAGGAAAGAACTTTCTGAAGATAAAAGGAAACGAGCACCAGTTCTTGACGTTGTTAAACATGGATTCTTCAAAGTTTTAGGAAAAGGTTCCCTTCCAAGTCAACCAATTATTGTGAAAGCCAGATTATTCAGTAAAGAGGCTGAGGAAAAGATCAAAAAAGTCGGAGGTGCTTGTATCCTCAGAGCGTAAAATAAATACACCTTTTGATTAACATGCGATTTCTCAGCTTGTTTTCTTTAAATACAATAAATTTGCTTGGAAAATAAGTTAAATCTACAACTAAACATGAATGAATCACGTCTATTTTTTCAAAGAATTTTTAATTAGCAAATTTTGAGAAATATCTTTGTACATTGTTAGATGTTTTGATGATAAAGAATCAGAAACTATTCTATTTCTCCAATGAAGTATAATTGAGAAGCTTTTCAATCAGATCAACGTGACCCAATAACATACGACGGCAACAATATCGTTTCAACCCAAGAGCATCCAAAGCATCACTTAAATTGTAGCAAAGATGAAAAAAAAACAATCAAAATTAACCAACAATGGAAGAAAACAAAAATGAATCAAAATTCAAAAAATGGAAGAAAAAAAAACTCACCCTTCTGTATATTCAGCTTGTAATAGTCCCAAATAAGATTCCCATTTGTTACCAATTACCTTTCCACAAGTGAAACATCTGATTGGAATGATCATGATTACTAAATTACCACCAAATTGTCTACCAAAAAAAAACGAGAAAATTAAACAATTAAAAAAAAGATAAACAAAACATTTCCATTAATGTTCTCAACATAAAATGGAAAAAAATGGACCAACAAACAACAACAGAGAACAAGCGATGGAAAGAAACTGACCAGTTGATGGAACATTTGATTAAAAGAATTAATTACTCACCAATTTAATAAGAAATCAATTAAAAGTAAATCAATTGAAAAAAAAGAAAGTCAATCAACAAGAATTTTTGAAAAGCGAAACATGTGTGAGTCTATAAAACACACTACGCATTCACGAATTGAGCCAATCAGAAGTGGAATAGAAAATGAAAGAGATGAGAATCTTTTCTTTAGATTCAAATGTTTGGCCTTGTGTTTCCATTTAATTGTTGTTCTCAATTCTTCATTTTCAATGTTTTCAATTTAATTGTGATAATGAAATTAGAGTAAATCTGAGGATTGACTTTTCATTTCTCCTTAATGATAAAAGAAAAAACCAATAATCAGTTAAAAATGTTATTCTTTAAAAAGAAACACTGATAATCTTTATTACTCTTGTTACTTTTTCCATTCCTTTTTGTTTCATTTTCTCTTTTTTTTTCTTATTCTTTTCTATCTGTTTACCTATTTCATCAATTCATTTTGGTTCACTGAAAACTGATCACTGACCTAAGCGGAAATATCTTATCAACCTGGATCACTGATTTATCATCTGTAACATCACCATTGCCAACACCCTCTCTCTCTCTCTCTCTCACTCTCACTGCTCACCATCTCTCTCACATGAATTAGATTCTCTTTCATTGGATTGAATTTTGTCCTGTGTTGTGTTGGCTTTGTCTCTCTCACTCTCTGTTTCTGGTGCCATAAATTTACTATCCTGTGTTTATTTTCATCTCTGGTCACCTCATAATCTAAATTGATCTGATTATGTCCCCTAATCGAGTTAATCATCATCCTGGTGATAAGCCAGTTCTTGATGGTGAAACCTACATGGGACCCAGAAGGCAACATTACATTTATTATAAATGTCATTTAATTATCAATCTTATCAAATGGTTACCTGTTTTCTTCATTAGTTCGGTTGGTCTTTTTTTAATTCTATTCTTCATAGAATTTGTTGATCAAATGGTTGTCAAATTCTAATTGGAATGATTGCTTTTTCCAAAGTATTTCATCTCCATTTTCGCCCATCTCTCTCTCTCTCTCTTTATTATAATCTTATAATGAGAATCAATTTGTCGTCAAATTGATTATCTCATCACAATTTGACCATTAGACTAATTATCTTACCTTTTCTATTCTCAGGTTCTTTCATGGGGCTACTATGCATATGTTATCCAATTATGTATATGTGAGTATTTTTGATTTCCACAATTAAGTGTAACTAATTAGTAATATTTTTCTTTCTTTCTTTTCTTAATATCTATTCAGTTAATATGGATTCTGTGATACTTCAAATAGTTTGTGTAACGTTTTTTCATTTCCTTTTTATCATGACATTTTGGTCATATTTCCAAACCATTTTCACAAACCCAGGAATGATTCCTAAAAAAGTTGGTTAAGATTAAACGATAATCCAATATCTCTTTATATTAATCATAATTTATGTTTAAATTATCTTCACAGTTTTGGTTAACCACGCGTGATAATGAGCGTTTAATGATGAATGATGATAGACGAAGTCAAATTATTCAACAAATTGCTTACGAAAGAGGATTACCAATAAATTGTCTAGATGCTACTGGATCTCCTCGTGTTTGCGACAAATGTAACATAATTAAACCAGATCGAGCTCATCATTGTGCTGCTTGTAATACTTGTGTCCTTAAAATGGATCATCATTGTCCATGGTAACTATCTTTGTCTTCATCATTGGTTTTTCGTTCTCTCTCATTCTCTTTCTTTCTCTTTATCAAAACAATTATTTGTGTTATACAGGTAATTTCATTTCTATTCTGATATAATATTTGGTCCATTTTTGTTACCAGAGTTTTAATAAGAAAAGAAAGAGAATTAGACAGATAGATTGACATCGATTAAGTTGGTTAATAGGTGACACAAAGAGATGAAGAACCAAAAATCAATTGATAATAATCCATATAATCTATTTTTATTGATAATTTTACCTTAATTGTTTTCCATATTTTCTGCTTACAGGGTCAACAATTGTGTCTCATTTACAAACTACAAATTTTTTGTACTATTTCTTGCCTACGCTTTTTTCCTGTGTCTTTTTACGGCTGCATCATCGTTACACTATTTCCTACTCTTTTGGAGAAATCAATTAACTAATGATGGAAGATTTCACATATTATTCCTATTTTTTGTAGCCATCATGTTTGCCATTTCACTTGTTAGCCTGTTTGGTTATCACCTTTACCTTGTCACCCTTAACAGGTCAACCCTTGAATCTTTCCGACCACCAATGTTTTCCCTTGGTCCAGATAAAAATGCCTACAATTTGGGTCGATTTCAAAATTGGGTTCAAATTTTCGGTAAAAATAAGATTAAATGGTTCTTCCCATTATATACAAGGTAAAGTTCATGGTTAATTATTTCATTCTCCTCACAATTAGTTACTTTCTCCGATTGATATTTCCATTTTCTTTTAGGTGCTAAGCACAAACCTTCCGCTTTCAACCATTCATCGTCTTACTTTCATTCAGTTATTTCATTTCCGTTCTACATCTTTTCATTTCGAAATTCAACTTTTCATGATATCATTTTCTCAATTGTTTTCTAACTTTTCTCATTTCTGCCATTTTACAATTGAAACAAGTTGTAATCAACTACCATTTTTTTTAGGGTCAATCACTTTTAGATGAATATTAATTCAGAATCTGATTCAAATTTTCACTTTCAAATTAGTTACTTTTACCCATCGTTGATAATCAGATATTTTCTTTCCATTGGAATGATTTACCTTTTTTTTTGTTATTCTTATAATTTTAATTGTTTATTATTCATATAATTTCACCATGAAAACTAAGGTGAATCACCACAAGTATCAGATAATTGATAACATTATTGATACTTAATTATCTATCAATGATATAATTGTATTTTAGTTGATTTCCTTTGATCAAACCAATTCAATTGATTTATTGAAGAATCTTAAATCAAATTATATTAGTTGAGTTTATTTTCATTATTTCATCTCTTCAATCAATTAGTCAACTTTCTCAAATTGTTTCTTATTAAATTGATTGTCCTTGTGATTACTGTTTTTTTATTTGTAACATTAAACAGCCTTGCTAATGATCTAATTGCATAACATTAATCAATTAGTTATCTCCTTTTCCCTTATTAACTGATCATCAAATTACCTAAATTTCATCCTATTGAGTTTGAGAAAAATCAAATTAAATTAAGAGAAAACCTGGTTTATTTATCTTAGCCTCGGTGATGGTATTATTTATCCATCTAAAGCCTCACTGGAAGACTACGAAGCAAATTCCGGTCAATCTACTCAGTATTTCGTTCAGCAGCAACACCAACATCAACATCAACACCAACACCAACACCAACATCATCATTCACAACAACAACACATTGAAAATGAAGACTCACAACAAAACAGACTTAATGAACAACCAAACAATCAGCAACAAGCATCGCCTTTCAATTCAAAGTTAACACGAGGAGCCTACGAGCCTGATGATGATCCAGAGCATGGTAAAGATGATTCTGAGCCTCCATCTTATGGTGTTGCCTTATCCATGGAGAATGACAAGAATGATCAGATTACAAATGATTCCAAAGGAACCCAATCATTTCAATCTTCTTGAATTCTTCAATTGAACTGCAAGACTAGCCAATTATCTAAATCATCATCTAATCACAAATCTATTATTATATCCATCCTAATTTCCTGTTAACCCTTTCCTTCATGATCATTTACAAATCATCTGCTCATCGTTCTCAAAGAAATATTATCAATCACCCAAACAGTGTGTTAACCAATCGTCCTAAAAGTAACTTAATCAACAATTAACTGTCCAAGTTACCAAAACAAACGAGACGAAGGCAATAATCATCCAAATATAACTACGAAAGCACAACGAATCAATTACTATCTTTACAACAACATCCCCACACTTATACAAACAAATGATTACTTGTTATTCAGAATTGGAATCAATTAGGATAATTACAATTCTACCTCCTTGTTTAACTACCATCACCACTGTTTACCCAAAAATCATCATCACTATTAATATCATTTGATCATCTAGCCCACCTCATCCTCTTTTTTTTTCCTACTCTTCAATTTTCACCTCTGTGGATAATAAATCACATAGGATAGACTATTTTCAAGACTTTTCCTTTTGCCTTAATTAGATTAACTCTTTCTTTTTTTATAAATCACAAAAACTCAATACAAAATAAAGAGAAATTGACGAAAATGATTAACGATATTCCTTGTCAATCGATTAATTTTCTAATTGATTTTTCTCAACTCAATCAACGAATTAATTTCTTTCCATTTCTTTTAGATTTTTTCTCTCTCTTTAATCTAATTGTTTTCTTTTCTCTTTTTTCCATGTTAATTGTAGTTCTGGTGATGGAATATATTTTCCTAGTCGATTCTCCCTTAATTGTGATGATCGTGGTTCTTATCATCCATTACTAGCTGATTACGATGAGGAAAGTGCTATTGGTGGACAAGGTTAGCAACTTAATTACTATAACACATTCGGATGACAATTAGTAAACATAATCAAGTTAATCATGTTGTAAGAGATTGAAAGTCAGCAATTGAGCAATTTAATTGTTGTTGATATTATCGAGGATGTTTATTCATCAGCCTTAATTGTTTTATCTACACCTTGTTGTTTACTTGTTAATCGTCTTGGATTTGTTGATTATGTATTTTAATTGTATCCACGTTGTGTTTATTTGTCTAATTTTTTGATCACAATTAATTTATATCTTATGTTTTATATTTACAGAGCTTAAATCACCAATAACTAAAGTGATTAGAGATGATGAAAAATCTGATGATTTAGATCCTAATTGTCTCTCAATTAACAATATTGATAAAGATGAAGATGATATAATAATCTATGATATCAATGCTACAGAAGACTGGAACAATTTAAATTAACCTGTTACAATTAATTAATTAATCGACAACGATAAATGGTACAAATCAATTCTTCCTCAGTTGCAATGATTAACTCAATTGTTATCCACTTAAAATGAATTGCATTTCAATCCTTCCAATTTAATTAATTAACTTGAATATTTTTTGATTATCTCAACATTAAATATAATCAATTAATTGTACAGATTTTGTATTATAAAAAAAATTAATGTTTTCAATTGTTGAACTTTGAAATCAAAACAAAGTTGAAAAATGAATTACAATGAAAATTAACATGACAATTAAATTGATTGTAAATCAAAATTTATTATTATTTTAAAAAGATTCAATAATTTATATTATAAGCTGAATTACAATCAACAATTAACACTAATTATTAGCATTAACAGTACAAAGTTGTGGGTCCCAAGCAATTTAATTCATTCATTGAAAAAAAAAACAGAATATCAATCAAATTAATGAAAGTGGCAAAAGAGAAAAGGATTAATTAATGTAATAAATATGAAACAATTAACGTAATCATTATGCTTATTGTTTAATTGTAATCATCTGATCAGCATCGAGAACCATTGAATCAATTATCCGAGCCTCGGTTAACGGTTTATCCTCTGCACTGGTTGGTATCGATTCAATTTCCTTAACGAGCTCCATGCCCTCGAGCACTTTACCGAAAACTGTGTGTTTACCATCAAGCCAGTCGGTGGGAACGGCGGTGATGAAAAACTGAGAGCCGTTCGTATCCTTACCTGCATTGGCCATGGAAATGAAACCCGCTTCCGAATGATTTATCTTGAAATTTTCATCGTCAAAATAAGTACCATAAATGGAGATGGAACCAGAACCATCTTTCTCAGTAATATCTCCTCCCTGAATCATGAATCCAGGAATCACCCGGTGGAAAATTGATCCTTTATAACTGAGGCCATTGTAACCGAGTGGGCTCGCCAGGGTGATAAAGTTTTCCACCGTTCGAGGAGCGTCATCACCGAATAGTCCAATTGTGATTATCCCTTTAGGAACATCATCAATTGTCACATTGAAAATCACCTTCTTGGTTACATGAACTAATAAAGTCTAATTAGAAAAACAAAATCGGTCAACAATTAACTGTACTTTCAATCAATTTTCAAATCAACATCGATTCCTTTGAATTAATTGTTATTTTCTAGATAATTTTCAGTCAATTTTTCATCTCTTACCTTTGACGATTCCGATGATTGGTCAAGTGATGAGGAAACACCAATAGTTAAATAGATTGTAACAATTAGGAAGATTAACTTAATCATGATTAGTATTACGTTTTAGACAAAAACTAGGCTTGGTTATAATAATTGTTAACTTTACGAGGATGAAAGTTTTGGCATTAATGGTAAATTCAAATGTTTATTTTAAATGAGCTTAAATTTTTGGTCTATTTTAAGATTTTTCCTCATCATCTTTTACCAGATGCTTTTACAGTTATATGCTAACGCCATCATCATCATCATCATTATCATCATCTTTAGCATCTTCATCACTTTTCATCCTTAATTGTAAGTTCATCATCTATGTGAATGAACTCAAATATTTGCCAATTTCCAAGTGCATAGTCTGAGGTGTGGCTACTGATTATTATTATTACTTCAATTAGAAATCATGGATTATCAAAACACACTTTATTATGGAAATAATCTGAATAATAATTGTGATAATAAAACTTATTCCAATATCGATGATTAGTTTTTGGAAAAAAAGTTTTTGACAATTTAGACAATTAAAAGAAACTTTTTCTCTCGACAGATGGAGACACTTACGAATTCGAAGCTCCATCTGTTGGAATAAATTGGAAATTGGTTTAGTAAACAAAAGTGAAAACAAAAGATGAAATTGAATCTTTGAAACAATTAAGAAGTTTAATTCATTTCAACAATTTGATTAAATTGTTTTTCGATTAACTCGAAATGTTCTTACGTGTGTCCCAGCTATGAGTTACCGATTCTTTTACTAAGATAACAATTATCCTTTGGTTATTGTTAATCCTCTTTCATTGTTTAACCTTAAATTTAAGGTTATTGTTGTGATCAATTTTAATTTTCTTAAATTATGTTTTGATTGTTAATTGAGTGTTTTTCAACATCACTGGACAATCAACGTGGTGGTTGTTCAATCATGGCCACAATTTATGATTTACCCGCTGAGATTATTATGACAATATTTTCTTATTGTTCTTGGATTGATGATCTGATCAATTTTCTTCATGGTAAAAATTTTATTCATTACTCAATATTTATCTATAGATAATTTATATTTTCGGTGTCATCTTTTGTTTCCTAATCTACTCCCTCTTTTTTCACAGTTAATCAATTATGGAGAGCATTGGCTTTTCAAAGAATGAAATGGATCCGCCATCTTGTTCCAGAGAATAGATCGAGTAAGTTTTCAAACATTGTTCTCACTTTTCAAATAAATTTTCTCACTTTTCTAATTTCGATCAATTTTTTTTGTATTAATATATTATCCTTTTTTTTAGAGAATCTTCAATTGCCATCAAATTCAACAACAATCTATTATAACCCAAAGAAAACAAGTAATCCCAAAATGATCGCAATGATTGAACTACTCAAAAATCTAGAGGTAACATTAATCCTCCAAAATGAGGCACATTGACGATTTAACTCTAATTGTAATTGAATCATCTTATCCAATTCCAATAGACAGTTATGATCTCTTCTGATCCATCACCTTTACAAATCGCTGATCTATTATCTATGCTGGTGACAAGTCGGCCTTTTATCAAACGATTAGCGATTCCATATTTACCAAGAAAACGGCGAGTTATTCCTTTCAATCGACTCGAAGGTTTGGCCTTACCGTGTTTTTTTCGTTGGTTCAGTGGGGTCGTAATGTGGTGTCGAGATAACGGTAAATTCATTCGTCAACTTCACATCAAATCGATTTACGGAAGACAATATGAGCTACTATTCCCTAGCTTTGTAAATTTACGTCGACTTCATGTCGAAGAGTGTGGCGGTAAGAGGATATAATTTTCTGTCCTAAATTAAATATTCCATTGATTTGATTGTAATTGTAATCAATTATCTCTCTCTATCTCAGGTATCGATAACTTTTTGGATAAATTTCCATCACTTGAAATTACCACTCTAGAGATGGAGATTCCCGCTGAAAGTTATATTGATAATCTGTTGACTAAATTTTCCTCCATAAAGAATATGTGGCTTTCCATTAAGAAAGAGAAAAAATTTGCCGATCGATTCCCAGTCTATCCAAGCATGGAAAACCTTGTTATGGACTTTGAGACCATCAACAAGGTCGATTGTGATGTGAGTTGCATTTTCGACCAAATCCAACAAATTCTTTTAATTGATAAACTTTTCTTCTTCTTCTTTTCCAATCATAGAGAATCTACCGAATGAGAAGCATAATCAGTTCGATTGACATTGTTTTCCCCAATTTGAAGACTCTTGCAGTTCGTAATCACCGTTATCTTACACCTAACGAACTGTTCGCATTACCTGCCAATCTACCTTACCTTCAGGTTCTAGATGTTGTCGGCTGTTGGAACATCGATGATACCTGTATATCCACCGCTTACGACGTTTGGGCAGCCGCTGGTCGGAACATCAAAATCTATCATGGTGCTTGGCATGAAAGTAGTAACTCATCAATCGGCACCCATTTTATGGACGATTGGTTTTTCCGCGATTTCAAGACACTTCCTTACTTCATGGAATCTCTTGATTCAATTTGATTGCACCAATTTCCGACTAATTTAATTTTTCACCCTGAGAAACATAATCAACAATTTTCTGTGCAATCAATTAATCGTTCATCCATTGATGTTGATATAAACATTTTCCTCTCTATACTCAATCTAATTTCATCGCATTTCATATCTGAACTTTGTTAATTTAAGTTTAATCAATTAGAAGCCAATTTTGATTAACAATCTTACTATTTAACTTATATCCTTGTTTAATCAAGAAATCTTAACAATTTGTTTAACTTTTTCACGGTAAATGTTAGCTAATTAAGATGAGAGAAACAATTTATTCTTGATTAACTTTATTATTTATAAAATAATGTATTTGTAAATTAATGACAATTTGTAAACATAATAATAATTAACAGGAATTGATAAACAAAAATTAATAATAAACAAAAGTACCAAAAAAATTGAAACGAAAATTTTGTAACGTTGACAATTAAAAACTGAACGCGTTAATTGTAATGATGGTTAAGAAAAGTTAGACTAGAAAATTAAACTAATCACTAAATATGATTGATTAATCGTCGAGAAAGAAAATGTTGATTCGTTTTACTTTTAAATTTCTCTTGATTAACTTTGTTAATTGTTCTAATCCATTGCACCTCCCCAACCACCTCCACCTCCACCTCCGGACATCATCATGTTCCAACCATTGGACATATCCATCCCTCCCATCATCATCCCACCTCCCATGTCCCCCCACGAGCTCATCGAGTTCATTTTGAGTCTAAAAACAGAATAGGAAAAAGATAATCAGTCAATTGGAAACGGAAACGGAAACTCATGAATCTACTCACGGAATTGGAATCGGAATGATGATAATTTTTTTCTTCTTCATTGCCAATAACAGGGGAAGAATTTCTTTCAGTTTTTTCAATTTCTTCTTCATTCCTGCTTCAGTTGATGTTGGATAATTAGGGAATATAATCTGAAGACTAATGATCGTAATTAGTAAAAGAAACAATTTATTTTTCCTTCCAATGAGACCCATTGATGAGCACAATCAATTAATTAAGAAGAAGACACAAACAATTAGATGAGAAATGAACAATTTAATATTTAAACAGTCAACAATTAGACTGGTAGTTGTATTGGAATTGTTTTTTACTTTGATCACTTTTCAATTTAGTTTCGAGTTGTCATTTGAAAACATTATGATGGAACTGGATTAACTTTGATTGTTGGACAATTTGTGAAATCGTTTGATTGAAAATTTTTCAACTACTATTTACTGATCACAATTGATTCCTCATCTTATATAGCTGAGAAAATGAGTTAATCTTCAAATTGTTGGTCTATTCTGGTCAATCACAATTAGGGTTTAATTAAACTAAATCAAATCAATTTACTCAATTATGTCCATTCCTTTTTGTTGATTGACAATTGACAATCAACAAACCGACGAGAGCAATTTAAATACAGCCAAATATTGATTATGATTATCAATTATTACCAATCAAATTTTGGGTTAACCATTTTCGATACATACAAAATTAAATTAAAATTGATTGTTATCAAAAAAATGAAAATCATTCTTACTTTCTTGTAACTTTATATTTTTACCGTTAACTTTAATCGTGACAATTTAATATAATCATAATTTTTAAGATTCACTTCCGTCAATCAACAATCATCATCATTTGGGTAATTGAATTAATTGTTACCATTGATTGTAAGGATATACACACATAAAGTTATTAGTTATCTTAATTGTTTCCTGATTTAAACAAAATTTTTCATTCCTATTGATATAATTTCATTTAATTAACTATTATTATTCATATTCATTTGATTGTTTAGTCTAATTAACATCAAAATTAACTTTTAATGTCTTTGATATCACAAAAAAAACTGGATAATTGACTGTCGACAATTAATTCAACAATTAATCAGCTGATAGAAATTAAAACAAAAATCAAGATCAATAATATAACCTCAAACAATTAAAATCTCAAATTTTACATTTTAATTTTCTGTCAAAATTGATTACAAGAAAACAACATAATTAATAATACAAATTGGATGAAATTGATGATAGAGTTCATGATAATTGATTAACTATCATGAACTAGAATTAAACTGAATCAATAAATTGAATGGAAACAAACGATAAAAATAACAAAATTTACGATTGGAAATCGAGTTTAGTTTTGATTTCTTTTTCTTTTTCTTTTCGATTCGATGGAAATGTCCTAAAGTCGACTTTTCCTTTTATTAGATCGATAGAATAGATTAGTTTCTGGTAAATCGTAGCAAATGCAAACACAACACGAAGGAAATCTGAACCAATCGGCGAAAATACCTCGACATTCATTTTTCGGGTCGAAAGCGAGTAACCGATGAAGTCGATATTGTTGTTCGCATCGACAACCGTCCCTACAGAACATTTGACTGTTCTCGTGGGCGCATTTCTCCCAGTGGACATATTGCTCGAAGGGGTAGACATTCAGTAGAGCCAGAATCTCACCTCGAGTGTTGTTCGCCCAATAAGGGGCAACCACTTCCTCTTTAACTGGACAAGCATTAACGCCCTTGCCCTTTGGTGCTGTATCGGTTTCCATTGGTGCTGTTGGTTGTTTGGGAAGCGCTGGAGGTGGTGATTGCTCATTGTTGTTGTTGTTGTTGGTGGGGTGTGGTGAATGCGCTTCAATTGTACTCATTGGTGTTGTAGTTGTAGTTTGTTGTGGTTGGGGTTGTGGTTGTGTTGGAGAGGAAGTTGATTGGGGTTGTGATGATGTTTGAAGTGTTTCCGATTGTGATGATGTACTTGATTCAGATGATTCTTGTTGATCATTGGCCTCAATCATGTGAAGCACTTTGTCCACTTGTTTGGTCATTTCATCATTTTGATCACTTGGTGATTCTGTTGCTTCATCTTCCGATTTAACTGTTACACCAGAATCTGAATAATCTGATTCACTTGATGAACTTTGATCGTTAATTATTGTCGTTGATGATGATTCTGGTTTCGATGTTGTTGATTCTTGTCGAGTATTATTTTCACTTTCTTTCAACATGAAGATTTTATCAATGGTTCCATTATTGTTACTAGTTAATTGATCGTTGAAATTTAGATTATTATTTGATGATTCACTTGAATTGGTTTGTTGATTAACGATTGTTGTTGATGTTGATGGTGAAGATGAAGATGAAGATGAAGTTACACTTTCATCCTCATCACTTTCGTCCATGAAAAAAGCTCGAGGTCTAAATTGAGGCTGATATTTAACCGCATAAGGCGATTGATGGTTAATTTGATTGCTCTCAAAAAATTTAGTCTCCTGATCGTAGATGAAAATATTATCATACTTTTCGTTGGCCTCATGCATCTCATTGGTCACTATTGAATAATGTCTCTGGTCACCATACATACGACGTAATAAACCTTGATTCTCATAAATATAACGACGAACTGCTGACCAAGGGTAAATTGTCCCCGACAATTCACAGAAATTTGTCTTACTCATATCACAAGGGATGTCCATTAATAGACGGGCACTGACCTTAGGTCCACAAGTCGATTGTGTGACAACTAAGGAAAGAAAGTTAATTAACAAGGTAACAATTACCTGTAAAGTAAAACCAAACAACAAGAGCAAAAAAGAATCACAATTAAAAAGATTATCAAGTTAATCATAATCGAAGAAAATTAATTACAACAAGTTTTTTTCTTCTCCTTTGAGATTTAACCTCATAATCTAAATAATAAAAAGGTGACAAGAAAATAAGTAAACTACTGACCCTCAAACAATATTAATGGTCACTTTAGGTCAATGGTGATTATTTGATTGTTATCAAGATTAAATTGTTCATCGAAATAATTTAAATCGGTCTTACCTGAATAAGAATTGGAGTTAACATCATTTGGCGGGCGATTAAAGTTAATCTCACAAGAGATAAACTTTTAAACTGAACAATTTTACCTTGGACTTTGAATGTTGTTCAATTTTTCGGGATAACGAAAAGAAAAAGGAAAACACTGACCAACTGGACATCCAATTAGTTTTTCGGACTCTGGTTCCAATTTTTTTCCATTCGATGTTTTTTTTCTTCTCTTTTCAAGTTCAATGTCTTTGTGAATCTTTTTTTGGAATATCAACTGATTGGAACTTGAAAACCAAGTTCTTATCCTCTTCTTATCATCTCCACCTCTTTTCACCTTCTCTCTTTCTCTCTCTATTTATCTTCCATCTTCTCTCTCTCTCTCACTTTGCCCGGTGATTGTTACTTCCGTATTTGCGTACTTAATGATTGACCATAATCGATGGATTCAAGATCAATTTCAGATGATATTGTCTTCATCTCCATCTTCATCTCCATCTTCGTCTTCATCCTCATCTTCCTCTTTTACAGAATCTCCATCAACAGGTAAGACTTTCGGTCTACTTATGAGAAAGTATTTTCGTTTACCTGTTTCCCTTTTCTTAATCTTCACAATTAGTTAATTAATCTTCAATTCTAATAATTAGAGACTTCTGAACCTGTTAACCAACAATTAAGCTTGATAATTAATCTGTTAAAAGTTCTGGAGTTTCTGGTGGATTGACTTTTCCACTGTTAATTGTTGGAAAGGGTTGATGATTTACTAATTGTATTCTCTTCGTCTTTATTTGATTGTTTAGTTTTTCTTTTCAATAACAATTAATTGTAAGTGTTTTATGCCTGTAATTTAGTGGATTAAATTAACAACAACTAACTACAATTTAACTTAATTTAAAAAAAGTAAACAAGTAAATGAAACAGGTTCCAATCGACTACAATTTAATAATATAAATCATTTAACCTTTAATTATTTTGTCAATAACAAAATTGATGATTAACTTAATCATCATCTTGATTAACTAGATACCAAGTAAATCCATAAGATGTAATTTAGTAACAATTTATTATACATAATCAAATCTTTTAATGTAATTACCTTTTTGTTTGTTTCAACAATTAACTCTCCCACCAAGTTTTACAATCAAATCAATTGGAAATTAATTGTTGGTCAATCAACTATATGGTAGCAATCAAATTTACAACCTAATTGTCCTCAATTTCAAATTGTTACCCTCATCTACCACCAATCAACTTAACAATTAACTTGTATCTACGATAAATACTCAATATATTACCTTTCCTGTTTATTGATACAATCAAGGGGCAACAATTAAACACAATCTGACCTCATGTTAAATGATTTAGTTGAACAATTTGATGAACAATTTAAATAACCATTAATTATTTTCATGTCTTTACCCTTAAGCAAATACCAACAATTAACATGTTTACTAGTAATCTATTTTAAAGAGACATCGCCAATTAGTTTATCATAACAATCAAGACACAATTTAAATTTATATCGATGACTTTTATTGATTAGATTGACTATTAGTTAATCAACTTAATTAATGATGTATTGATTCAAAGTACTGGTTTGTACGTAACAAATTAACTTAATTAGTTAATTAATCAACTGTTGATTTAATTGTTAATTGTTTCATTTTTCAACTAATTATCGAGATTGTAATTGATTTGAAAATTAAGTGTTTCAAATCAAATGATACCAACAATTAACTTCGGAAGTTTTTTCTGTAAGTATTTATGTAAGTCACAATTAATTATTCTGTAATTAAATTGATTTAATAACAATTAATTGCTGGAAAAAAAAGTTAATCAACTGATAGCCTTAACATTTATGACAATTCAATTAGAAATTAATATTAATTGTTAACTAAACAATAAGTGCCAAAAATATGATTTATAATTTTCACTTTCTTACAATTAAGTTGATTGTTGACAATTAACTGAATCGATAAATTATGTCTAAATGATAAAACAGTAATTAACTAATCAGTTATTTTTCTTCATTTCTAATCACGATCATTAATTATGGTCCACTGATTGTTAATTGTTAATTTTACACTTTTCTTAGACTTGATTTCCTTTTTCAAGCCTAATTGTAAATTAATTTAATTGTTACTTGATGATGATGATAGTCAAGGTAAATACTAATACCAAGGTCAATACAAAAGATTTGTACTTAATTATAATTGTAACAATTAGAAAGTAATTGATAAAAATAACAATTCAAATGGTTACTTGATTTTTTTTGCCATTGAAAGAGCAACAAATTAATTAACCGAATGAGGTTAAAGACCAGTTGATTAATTTACCTTCAGAAAAGTAAATTAATTGATTATTATTGTTATTAAATTGTGGTTGACAATTTAATGATCTGTCTCTTTACATTGGATATTTTAAAAATTTTACCTTAATCATTTCAATTAAATTGTTCAGCCTCTTCCTTTAAGATTAGTTAATTTAAAAGGTTGGATCTATTTTTTGATCACAAATTTAAATTACTATAAATTGTTGTGACTATTTTTAATCATCAGTTGATTATACTTATGATTAGCAACAATCCATAACTATATCATCATTATCATTACAATTAAACTTTTAATCCTATTCATTAAAGTTATAAATTGTGGTTCGATTTGATTATTAACAGTTATTTGTTAATCGTAACCGTTGTCATCGTGTTGATACCGTTCATCTTGTTAACAATTTAAGTTAATCAAAGTTTCCAACATGATTATTGATAAAACTTTGTTATTTAGCTACTGTGTAACCATGTTAATTGTGATTAATTTAATTCCAAGTTGTTTAACCAAGATGAAAGATGATAAAGGTGATAAAGGCGGTAAAGGTGGAGGTGGTTGTGGTGTTAAAGTGGTTGCAATTGAAACAATTAAGTTTAAAAAGGTTCCAGTGATGTATCCAGAAGAATCAAAAATGTACAAAGCTAAATCGGTTATGTCAATGGAGCCCATGATGATGAAGATGATGATGCCCAAGATGAAGATGCCAAAGATGATGATGGCTCCTGTTATGATGATGAACGGCGGTGGTGGTGGTGGTTGGGGTTGGGGTTCACCTATGGGAATGCAGGTAATGAAAATGTCCATGGGCAAGAAAAAAGGTAAGTCCAATTGTTGAAACTGTTTCTGTTTGAAGAAAAAGTTAATTATCACAACTGATTAATTATTATCATTGTTTCCTTATCATTTCAACAGGTTGATGATTATCAGAAAATCACTTAATCATTTTGAGATATTTATATAGATATTATATGAGATGATTGCAATAATCTCAACAATTATTTAAATTATCGGCAATTAGTTAATATATTTTTGTTTTGTTACACTTTGATTTTCCACTTGACTTTGATTATCATTGAATTTTTGATGTTAATTGATTAAATTATATGTATTTAAATTCCCGTTCCACCGTTTACGACGACACTGCTTCGTTTAAATCACCTTAGTTTGGATCAATTTAATTACGCGATTTTTGCTTGATGAATTTGTTGTGTTAATTAATTTTGAGAGTACACTTTTTATCGCTTCTTTTTTTTTGTTCTCAATCTGATTAAGACTAGGCTTTTTTAGTTGAAAATTTACAAACAAAAATTTAATGATTTAATTGAATTAAATCAACAGTTAATTGCTTTACCACAATATGCCATAAGATTAGCTTCTCGGAAAGCTTCAGAAACAGTCTGGAAAAAAAAAGAAATGGAAAAACAGAATTAGATTAGATTCAAATTTATATTGATTATTTTGTATCAGAGGATTGAGATGATTAATTAATTGTTGTCTTACTGGGTGAGCGTGGCAAACGCGAGCAACATCTTCACATGATGCTCCATATTCCATTGCCAGACAAGCCTCGTTGATCAATTCACCGGCGACTGAACCAATAATGTGAGCTCCTAATATTCGGTCGGTACTTTTTTCTCCAAGAATTTTAACAAAACCATCGATATCGTTATTGGTTTGAGATCTACTATTGGCTGACATATTAAACACTCCAACTTTGTATTCGACTCCAGCCTTTTTCAAGTCTTCTTCCGATTTTCCGACCCAACCAACTTCCGGGTGAGTGTAGATAACAGAGGGAACACAATTATAATCAATGTGAACTGGTCCACCGGCGATACCTTCAACACAAACTATTCCCTCGTCTTCAGCTTTATGGGCCAACATAGGACCGGGGACACAGTCTCCAATTGCATAGATATTGGGAACATTTGTTTGGAATCGTGAGTTAACAACGATCCGGTTTCTTTCGTCTTTTTTAACTCCAACTTGTTCGAGTCCCAAATTATCGGTAAAAGGTCGACGGCCAACACAGACAAGAAGTACATCACAATCAAGAGATTCGTTTGATCCACCCTTTGCTGATTCGGTTGATACAGAGATACCTGAATAGGTTTTACTTGCTGAAGTTACTTTGGTATTTAATTTAAACTTAAGACCTTGTTTGGTTAAGATTCTTTGAAGCTTTTTGGCTACTTCTAGATCAATTCCTACCCCACCAATGTTACCCATGAATTCAATAAGAGTAACATCGGCACCAAGTCGAGACCAAACAGATCCCAATTCAACACCAATTACTCCGGCACCGATAACAATCATTTTCTCTGGTACACTTTTAAGAGCTAAAGCTCCGGTTGATGAGACAATCTTCTCCTCGTCAATCTCAATACCAGGGAAAGGGGTAACCTCAGATCCGGTGGCGATGAGGATATTTTTTGTTTTAATAGCCTCAGTTGATCCATCAGGTTTGATTACGGTAACTTCATTTTTACCGGTGATTTTACCATGACCCTGGAAACGTTGAACTTGATTCTTTTGGAATAACATACCAATACCTTTAGTTAAAGTGGTAACAGCATTTGTTTTCTGTTCCATTAGTTTATCAAGATTTAATTTAACCCCAGAAAATTCAATACCTCGCTCTGACAGTTCTCCACCATGAGCTTGATGATACATATGAGAATTATTGAGAAGAGCTTTAGACGGGATACAGCCAACATTTAAACAAGTTCCACCAAGAGAATCATTTTTCTCAATACAAGCCGTTTTCATACCCAATTGGGCAGCTTTAATAGCAGCAACATAACCACCAGGACCTGAACCAATGACAACTAAATCTTTTTCACCTGATCAACCATAGGATAAAAAAGAAAAGAAAATATAAAATTAGAATAGAACAAAAACTGAAAAGAGAAAAAAAAACTCAGAAAATACCAGAAAAAGAGGCGAAGACAGAAAAGAGAAAAAGAAACCAAACCAAAGACACCAAATTAAAATGTCATCAGATTAATTAAAATTCTCTTTCTAACCCATTCAATGAATATACACAATCAACAATTAGAGAATCTAATCAATTGATAATTTACTAACCTTCACTAGAATAGAATCGACGTTGATAAGTTGAAGGACAATTAACATGATAGCTTGAGAGAGCAACCAATTTATGGGTCACAGATGAAGATGAATAAAGATTAACTAATCTTGCACTAGCCTTTATGTGGAACATTTTTAAAAGGATGAGGAAATTTGAATTACAAGAATTAAACTAAATTTAAATAAAAGAAATTAAATTAACTAATTAACACCGAGTGTAATTAAAAAAGATACAATAACAACAACGATCAACTCAATGTTAAACTGATCGAAAGGTTTACCCAATCATTTCAGCCAATAGAAAATCAGAAAAATCTTATGTTACCAAGACCGCGAATTTTAAATGTAACATTAATTTCCATTCTAAAGGAAAACAATTAACTCTTTAATCATTAATTGGGTCTAATTAGTGGGGGAAAAGAATTTTTTTAGGTACAATTTTTTAGTAAGGAATTAGACCAAGTTTACCATTTACTTGTGACATTGTATTCGCAGCTATGTTTTCAGCTTTTAAAGCTCCTTTGTTCAAAATTGAACTAACATAATCAACGTTTTTAATTAGATCAAGATATTTGAATCTAATTGGTTTGAAATGTTCAATAATAAGTTCAGCTAAATTTGTTTTATATTGACAAGTATTTTGGCCGGTTGATTGTGAACATATTTGTTCAATTGAAAGGCCGGTGATTAGTTTGTGGATTGAGATTAAATTGCTAACTCCTGGTCTAGTTTCAGGATCGTAAGTAATTGTTGGATTGGAATCAGTTAAGGATTTCATGATTCTTTCCTTAATTACTTCAGGGGGATCGATAATATCAATTCGTCCTTTAGGTATGGCTTCTGATTTGCTCATCTTTTTCTCTGGAAATCTTAAACTTTTAACTCTACATGCGAATAGATCGTCGGACATTAAAGCCTTTGGTTCGGGAAAAGTGTCACCATAGATTCGGTTAAATTTTTCAACCAAATCACGGGCCACATTTAGGTGGGGCAGTTGATCATTTCCAATCGGAATTTCATCACCTTTGTACAGAATTATATCAGATGCTTGAAGAACAGGATATAAAAGTAAGGTAAGAGGTATTTCCTTCAGAGTGATTGACTTTTCCTGTGGAAGAAAAAAAAATCAGAAAGCAGATTAAATGATGGAATTGGAATAATTCAACAGGGAGAGAGAGAGAAATTACTCTAATTATCTCTCACCTTGTATTGAGGAAGATGAGATAATCTTCCAAATGAAAGAAGAGAAAGTAAAATCCATGTTAATTGTGTATGATGAGAGATCCTTGATTGTTGAAATAAAATACATTTATCATCATCAATTCCAGAAGCGAGTAAAGTTGCTGCCAAAGTGATTACATTATTTTTCAAACTAATTGGATCATGAGGTAAGGTTATTGAATGTAAATCAGCAATATTGAATATACATTGGCGATTAGGATCATCTTGAAGGTTTAACCAAATTTTAATTGCTCCAAAGTAATTACCTAAATGAACAGGACCAGTTGGTTGAATAGCAGAAACAACGGTTTTCACTTGAGTCTAGAAAAAACAATTGAACGATTAAACAATTACATTAACAATCATTTAGAAATTTACCTTAGAATAGAAGCGACAATTAAATAAATTGTTAATTCTATTGACACCAATTGAACGAAAAACAAATTGATTAACAATCATAACTGGAGAGAAAAAGTCAACCAAAAATCCGAAGAGAAAAAGTCACATGTTGATCAGCTGTTTTCCTCCATTCGAATTGTTTTTTTCTGAATTCTCACCAAGTTAATTGTGATTCCTCATTAATTAATCATTTTATTCTTTCAATTTATGAGGTAAGTAATTTAATGTTCTTTGATTAATGATCTGTTAAGCATCTAGATCAATTTGAATAGAAATTAGTTTATCTTTTCTATTTGAAAATCTAATTAGAGTTTTGATTTTCTGTTGATTTGTTTTTCTTTTTTTTTCCTTCAATTTTATTAGATTAAAATGTCTTCATTTCGGACGGTTTTTCCTCGTGTTGGTAAAGCCAATTCTTGGTTTCCATTGCATATGGCTACTGGTATAAGGAAAATTCAACAAATTCTGAAAGAAATTGATTGTATAATTGAGGTTCACGACGCTCGAATACCAATTTCTGGTCGATCATCATCATTTTATCAACAAGTTATCAATGGAAAACCTCATTTACTAATTCTAAACAAAATGGATTTAATTGACATGAATTTCAAGAACGATATTGACAAGAAATTACTTGGATCTTGTGATCGTCTTTTATATACAAGTGCAGGAAAGATGAAAAATGAGAACATTGAAAAGGTAAGTTAATTGTTTACCAATTTCCATGTAACAATATTGACTGTTTTTTTTTCAAATGACTATTAGATTATCCCAATGGTTTATGAGATTATAGATTCTAAATCAAAATACAATCGAGCAGATAAATGTGATGTAAATATTTTAATTGCTGGTGTTCCCAACGTTGGTAAATCAAGTCTAATAAATTGTTTACGATCAACTTTACTTGGTAGACCACAAGTAATGGCAGTTGCCCCACACGCTGGTGTAACTAAGACAATTTCAACTAAATTAAAAATTGGCCTTAACCCTGTAACATATATTTACGATACTCCCGGTATATTAGAACCAAATTTAACCACCTCACCAGAATGTGCCATGCGATTAGCGGCCTGTGGACTTGTCAAAGATGATTCTGTTGGTCAACAATTAATCGCTGATTATATATTATTCTGGTTTAATAGACGGAAACTTTTCCATTACGCCAACATGATTGGACTTAACCAACCGACTGATAATATAATCGAAGTCTTGTCAAAAATTGCAATCAATCAAAATTTCATCTTCTCCTCCAAAGATTTACACAGTAAGTACCACAATTTACTCCTCACAATTAACAATTTAATATCGTTTTTTTTATTCTCTTTCTCTTTTTACTAAATTTCAAGCTCGTCAATTCATTACACGATTAGATACACTGGAAGCCGCCAAACATTTTATCAAAATGTTCCGAGAAGGGACATTTGGAACTTACCTATTAGATGATGATCTGATTTATCGATCTCGTCGAACTGGACTTGCAATCGCCGTTTAAATGGTCAACCAATGTAACCAACAACTGACCAATCGAAATCATTTAAAGTATTATTAGATTGAGATACGAACACAATTTGTAAATACTTTGTATTGTTCCCGATTAATGTTTAATTACTATTTAGAAAGTGATTCTTTGTTAATTCATCTCTAATCATGTTCATCTTGTGAAAGTGAATCAAATTAGACATAAAGATTTCTCATTCATCACTTGACCTGAAAGTGAACCTTTTGTTTGTAAATGTCTAGACCCTTTCTCCTTACGATTCTCGTGGATAACAAATATTGGATCAAAATTCTGACCTAACAATTAAAAAGATTGTGATTGTTACCATGAAAGGATTTCAAAGAATCCAATCAAAAATCAAGATGTCAATTGGATGAAAGAAGTAAAAACAATCAACTCTAATTGTTTCCTTAACCATTTCAAAGCAAATATTATCATTTAAATGTATCAATGGTCTCATGGATCAACCAATACAAGAAGAAGGATATTCATTGAAAAATTTTCCTCATGATCAATTGGAAATTGATGATAATAATCAAATCACTCATCGGATGAATTAATTGCAATCATCATCGAGTTGGTTAAAAATAGGATCCTGTTTAATTGTTTCATGGAAAATGAAAAGCAATTGAAAACAAAGATGAAGATGAATAAAACAAACAATCAAAACATTAGGACCCAACACCTCATCAAATTAAGTCAATTGGATCATATTAATTGTAGTAACTTTATTACTACAATTGGATCATTATACTTTTTGTTTTAATCTCTTCTGCCATCAAATCACCTTTACAATTAAATTTAAATCGTAACCACATTAAACCAATTGAAAGAGAGACAAGGATTTTCACCAAGGATCAAGAATAATAAGATTTAACAACAAACACAATTGAAGAAAAAAAAAATCTATCATCAAACCGTAACCTTCACAAATTGTTAATTGTATGCGTGTGTTTCCAGGATTCAATCAAATCATCATTGTTAATTGTAAATCAACATTCCTATTCTGACAACAATCAACATCAATCTGATTATATTGATATCCAATTGCATCATCAATTGATTGTTGTTGTTGTTGTTGTTTTCATCGTTATATTTTGTTAAGTGTTCCCGATATTGATTCACCTTATTTATTACATTCTAATGTTTATTGTCACCAAATTAGAGACAAGATGATAAAGTTAACACTTACAATCTCATATATGATTATCATCAATCCTAAACGAAAACAATAATCATTATCAAGGTGAAATCCAATATATTTAACCAAACGAATAGGATTGTCCCATTTAAAGAGTGAAGATAAAAAAAACGAGAAAAAAAATCCAAGGAAAAAAGTGATGCAGTAAATGATAAGAGCTTAATCATCATCATCATCATCATCACCAGCAGAATCAATTGTAAACTTGATTATCATTTCAATTGTCAATTGTGATGGAGAACAGAAAATGATGGCGAAAAAAAAATTGATCCTCCAAAAGGGAAGAAGCTGAAATGATAAACATCACCTAAGGAACTTTTTTTTTCATCAATCTCAAGGAACAAGGAATTAAACTCTAATCACAATCAACAAATTCTAATCTAATACCAAACTCATGATCTAAATTTTAACGAAAACAAAATTACCTATCGGATAAGATGATGGAAAACAAAGAGATACCTTTCTCCTAATATTATTGGTATTATAATCATTTGATTAACAAGTGATTAACTTTGATTGTTACCTTTGTGATCCAGTTTAAAGAGATGAAAAAAGTTAACAAACAAGTGACACCAGAATTGAAAAGGAACCTTGATGAAACTGATCTACTGACATACTACTGATTATCCTAATCTCTCTCTCTCTCTCTCTCCTGTTGGTAACAATCAAGAATAAAAAAAGGATTAATTGTTTAATATTAATACAATTAAACACGACACAAGGATCATCCTTAATCCATAAGATTTGCTGGTGAAAAAAGTCCTTGAAAGTGCACACACATAAAGTGGACTTACCTGACGAAGGAATAATAATAGAGAAACAATTAACAAACAATTAACCTCTAGAAGAAAAAAAATGAACAACAAATTAACTCAATTGTAACCAGAGTTAATTAAACTCGAAATTAAAAAGCAAAATAATCATTGAAACGCAAACACGGATCAAAATTTTGGCAATGGCCCAGAAAAGTGAAATGATTTGTACCTGAGAAAGATGAAAACAAAAGGATAACACGAAACAAGAGATAAACAATCAACTCGATCAATTGACAGACAAATGATGAAGATGATGATAACTATAGTGATCAAATGTTAGCCAACAACAACAACAACAATTAACAATTTACCTGTTCGTTAGCTTATCAATCACAATCAACGAGATTCTGAAAACTTTGAAGAAGGTTAAATAAGATCAGCAAAGATAAGCAAAGAAAAAAAAATGGAAAATTAACAAAAATGATCCATTTAAAATCGTTAATCACTGGAATTAGAGGATTGATGATGATGATCATTCCAACAACAATCAACTGGAACACATGATAATATATATTCACTATGAAACTTACCTGGATGATTTATATTATCAAGCAGAAAACAATTATCAAGATGATTTTGTTTTGCTATTAAATGAAAAAAAAACTTAATAGTTATGATTAAATATCATGATTATCATATTATATTATTTATGTTCAATAACTGTAATACCAAATATATATTATCATAGGTAATCAAAATTGTTTATCAATGAAATTTATATAAATCAAAAAGTAAATGAATGTAACAATCAGCTAATCATGATGATTAACAATAATTTCAGGTTATATTTTCATCAACATGTAACAATCATTTTCTTAATGACTGTTGTAATGTAATCATCCACCAGTGAGTGTTTAACTTTAATTGCATTGATATTTTACTTTCTTAATCATTATCATCATCATCATCATCATCATCATCATCATCATCATCATTGTGTCATTTTTCAAAATGGCCACCACGAAATCAACTCAACCCATGAAGTTTTTTCATTTCATCATCATTATCATTTTCACATGAAACCTAAATTGTTGTCATGATTATCATTCAAATGAATTGGATATTTAAAGTGAGAAACAATGAAAATCGTTGAATCCTGAATTTTACATGATATATTAATAATTATCCTCATGAAATTGAAATGATAAAAACTTTAATCATCTCCGAATTATGTTAATCATGATTAATGAAAATTTCATTAAGTGTTAACACTTTCAAAAGTTAAAAGGTAAACAAATAATTACCATTAAATTGTTGTCTTTTTTTGTCATGAATTAACGATGAACAATGAATAACATGATTATATATATTATATGTCAACAGATGATTATGATTTAATAATCATCTTATTTAATACTTATAATGTTAATAATTCATGATTACAATTAACTAATTTACCAATATAAGGGAAAATAATATTTACCTTTATATTGTAAACAATTCTGCTTCCGGGAATGAATATGTCAAGAAAATAATGAATTATAAGTTATCATCATCATCGTTATCATCTTAATCATCATCAATAACTATTAATAACTATTGATAAATTTAACCCAAAAGTGTATTAATTGATGATTAACCATTTTAATCAGTTAAATTGTTGTTGACCATTAAAACTCCTCAATGTTTACATTTCAGAGTAAAAGTTTTAAAGGTAAAAGTTGAAACGAAGGCGTTTCGTTTGCATGATATTGATAATGATATAATATAAATGAAAGAAAGGGGAGGATGATAAGGGATGATGATGATGAGAATTGTATGTGGAGAAAGAGAAAAAGAAAGAGAAATAGATAGAGAAAAGAGAGAGAAGAAAGAGAAGACTGAGTTTTCTGTATGAGAAAAAAAAACTCGTTTCTCTTTCGGTTGAGTAGATACACTTTTTTTCATGTATCTCTTATATTCATCCCCACACGTCATCCAACGTTAGGTCAGGCTTTTCCCTCCCCACTCCCCAATCTCTCTCTCTCTCTCATCTTCTTTATCATCCCTCTCTCTCTCTCTCTTTCTCTTTCTTTCTCTCTCTCTTCATCTTCTTCTCATAAAACTGTTGCTGTTGTTGTGGCCTCAAAGAAGAGTAGAGATGAAATTATGTCCCAATCTTTAACCTGAGAATTTTTCTCTATTATTTTTCTTTCTTTGTCTAACCTAACCCATCTTCTTCATCTTCATCATCCTCATCATCATCTCCCTCTCTTTTTCATCATTATTACAAGCAAGAAAAACAAAATCTACCTGAGAAATGGTCAAATCTCATTGATGACCAATCCTTTTGGTTGTTGTAAAGTGTTTTATGTTAGTAGTGAAGTTAAAATCAACCAGAATCAACCAGAAAACCCAAAAAAAAAATCCGTAACAAATTGTCATTCATCATAATCTCCAATCAGTTTAATTTAGTTAATCAATCTCCAAGAAAGTGATAACAATTTAATTCGGATCATCATTTGTCTCCATCTCAAAATAATCATCTTGTTTTCCTTTAATTTTGGATAAATCTTATTAAAGTTTAGTGTTAAATCATTTGTTTTCCTGTTAATTTGATTGTTTTCATTAATTGCTGATCACTGGTCACTCTTCAATTGTGTAATTATCATCTTCATGATTGTCCAATGTTCATCACCTTTGGTTATTGTAAACAAATTGTGTCCATTTGATTGAAATCATTTTGTTTTGTTAACACCAATTGATCACCTGATTGTTATATTGATTACATTTTGATTCTCTGGGTAAATGTAACCATTAATTGTTACAATTTATATATTTAATTATAAATCGATTTTCTCATCCGAGAAACAATCAACCAACCATCTCAATTGACAACAACAACCAGGCGACATTTTAAATTGTGTATTTTTCACATTACAAATCATTCAATTAAAAGTAAACTACAATTAATTATTTTTTCTCAATTATATCTGTGAGTGAAAATTGATTACTGATCAATTAGTAAGGGAAATTTACTAATCATGATCAGTGAAACGAGTTAAAATCAATTTTAATTTCCCTCCAATTCAGTGATTGAATTTTTGTTTTGTTTTCATTTGTTTTCATGTGGTAAACATCATGATAATCAATCCTCAAGACGAGTGATTAATTGTTTACAATCATCTTGATCATCACAATTTAAATGTTTTCCAATTGATTTACTAAACAATCACCAATTGATCCATTGAATTAGATATTAAATTAAATTGTCACCAAAGTGTTTAAGTGAAAAACAAAGAGCAACAATTGACAATCAAAATCGAACCTTTGTTTTTTGTTAAATTTCTTTCCTTCTTCTTCTAATTATTGCGAAAACAATTTAATTATCATTAATCTACTCTAAGTTGATGATTTAATGTCAACAACAATTAGTTTAAACAACGCAGCTCGTAAAATGGTCAACAGTATGTACGAAAATCATTGCCTCAGGTGTAATCATGTCGTCTATCAAGTGGACAAGATCGGACCTTTGAAAGATTTCACCTTCTTCCACCAAGGATGTTTCAAGTGTGCTAATTGTGGAACCAAATTAACCCTAAAAACCTATTACAACAATCAACAAGACAATGACGATAAAGAGGTAATTAACAATTAACTCTTCTTCTTAATTAACCCTTCAACCTTTGACCAAAATTTGGAGAAAATTGGTCAATCGAATGAGGGAAAAGACAAAAAGAAGAAGAGAAAAAAAAAGTTCTTATCCAATGTAAATAATACATTGAACTCTCAATGGACACTTAACTTTCAGCTCTCAATTCCTAATTATCTTCATCATCCACCCCCTCCTTTTACCTACATCATCCTAACCGGTTGAAAGACATCATCATCATCATCATCCTCATCATCATCTTAATCAACTGACCCTTCCTCATGTAATGATACATATAAAATTTAAGATTCTCATTCCTTGAGAAATGAGATATTATTTTTCCCTCTCTCATGTTTTCCTCTTGTTTCCTCCTTTGTTTTGCATGTTATATTTTAATTATCATCATAATCATCATATAATTTGAATAATTATCATCATCATCATCATGATAATGAAGATAATTTTATCACCACACAAACACACACACACACTTAGGCTTATATGCATTTGACCAACTTCAATCATTGATATAATACAATAGTAGGAGTAACAAGGTTGACACTTTGAGTTTCCTTTGCAAATATTATTACAAAAAAAGTAACATAATAATATGATTACCTTTTTAATTCCTGTAATTTAATTAATCCAATAAAGGATAATTAGATTAAATTACAACAATTTGTGTATCATAACAATCAGTGAAGGTAATATAAGATTAACCTTTAACCTGATGATGATCGTCAGCAAATTACCTTTTAATTAACTAAGTACTTGATTGTATTAATCTTGATTGTTATTAATATTTTCTTCATCCTTAATTGTCACATTCATCAGGATTATCTTGATTGTTTCCCTCAAGTCAATGATTAACTAATAACAATTATATATTATTATTATCAGTTTTGTATACGTGATAGTTTTGGTCAATTTTTCAATCGTTAACAATTAAAGTTAACAATTGAATTAACTTTAATCAGTTAGATTGTGTTGAACAAAAAAGTAATTATTATTTGGTTCATTTATTAATCAGGAATGAATCAACTTTTTAATCAATTAATCAAGTTTACTGTTGGTGTTATGATTACTTAATTGTAATTTCAACTGTCAATAGAAATTAATTACAATCAATATCTTTTTTTTTGTTAACAATTAACAAAACAGAACTTAATTTAGACAAATTGTGTGATAATCAATTGATTCATTAAGTTGATTGTTACAATTCAATTAAATCGTAGGTGTTGTTGGTTATTAATCAATCTGATAATAACAATTTACTGATTATAAGATATAAAATTTACAATTTGAGACAAATTTAATTCATCATCATCATTTAAATCACGTTCATAAAATTAACAATTAATCTCTTAATAATAATAACCTTACGATAATTAATTATCTGGTTATGCTTAGAAACCATTTTTGATCCAGTTTTTAATTGTTGTCCAGCAATTTAATCAACAACCTCCTCTACTTACATGATTAAATTACAACAATTAACTCAAACGGTGATAATCATGTTGATAACCTTGAATCCGGAAGCATTTAAGGTTAAGTAAATCACTAATTTAGTTTAATCAACAATCAGAGAATCATAATTATCATGATTAAAATTTTCAATTTGGAAGCCAATGATTTAACCTTGTCCTGGAAAATAACAACTCTAAGCAAAACAGAAATTAACTGATTGTTTCTGATCATCTGTTGCTAATTACAATCAATAAACTAAATTGTTTATTGTTCATCAAATCAGTTAACTATCTAATAAAATAATTACGTTGGAATAACAATTAATCAAACTGATTAAGAATAAAAATAAAAATAAAAATCTCTCAAAACTTTTTCTTTCCATCGATTCTCATGGTTAACAATTAAATCATTGAATCTTAATCATTACGATATAAAAAAAACAACCTAACGATGGATATGAATTAATTTATCATCGAAACGATTTAATTGTAGCAATTAACATTAATAATAATCTTCATTCAATGATAATAACGTTGAAAGAAAAATTTAATCATCATTTAATTCAGTAATCAGTTGACACCTTAACAAACAATTAGATTAACAGTTAATCCAGAAAATCAAGTTAACAGGACCAATAACAAGAATCAGTTAAATTGTTATTATGATGATGATTTACGATCAACACAATTTACTGATGATGATTAAAGGATGAGAAAAAATGTTTATCCTTTATTGTTCAATCAAATTAAACCAATCGAATCAAACACTTTGTTAATCAACAATTTAACTGATTGTTGTTATATGAGTTTCAAGAATTAGAAGAAGAAAAAAAATTTTTTCCAAACCAAAACTTTTCGAACTCGTTAGAACTTTATTATCCCCCCACTCATGAACTAATCGAAAGCCATTTAAAACCACAATAACAATAATCATGATAGTAAATGATTAGTGTCTTAATCATGATGATTAAGCTAATCGTCAATCATAATAATATAATAATCATAATGATGTCTCTTAACCGTTAGTTTCAATTGCTTCACTCTGATTCATTTTCATCCTTTTTTTATTTCAACTGTTTGAATGTTAATTGTTGTTAAATTTACACAAGATCCTTATTATTAACTTACAATTAACTTGATTATTAATACCATTTATTTCAAGATATTACTATTGTTTATCATAATGATTGTTAATTATATATTATAATCAATGTTGATGATGATGATGCTAATCACCTTCATCATTATCATCAACATTGTATCATTAATTGTTGGTGTTAATTACTGTCACACTATTGTTAACTTTTGTTTACACTTTGATTATATAAAGTTGATAACAATAAATTAAGAAATTGAAATGTTAGATAATCAATTGATTGTTACCTGTTGATAATTGAATTAACTAATAACTAATGTTGATGCTGATGATAATCATGATGATCACAATGATTACAACAATTAAAAGGATTGTCTTTTTTTTTGCTCTTTGATTTAAAGTTAACTTTTTTTTTTCTTCAAATCAACTTGCAAAGTGTTTTCAATGAATAACAATTGAAACAATTTATCCTGATTGTCACTATTAAGTTAATTGTACAACCAACATCATTGTGCTATCATTGACCAAGCCTAAAAAATATACAGTTTCCGTTATTAAAACTTATTAACCACACCCAACAATTAAAACTGTTATCAACATAATCGTCATCATCATCATGATAACAATCAACAAATTAACTTTGTTTTTTTACCACTTCCTATGATTTAACTTTAATCCTAACAATCAAAATGGCGTAACAACAATTTAAACAACTTTCACTTTTGTTTTCTGGTGAAAAAAAAAATCACAATCAGTTATCAATATGAGAGAAACAATCAACTTGAACAATTTAATAGCAATCAATTTGTTGTAAAAATCATCTTGTAGTTTTAATTGTTGTACACAAACGTTAATTACTTTGATTTTTTAAGTTTCTGGTTCAATTGATTAAACTTAAAGTCACCAACCTGTTAGTATATTGCTAATCAATAGGAATGGAAAAATTTTTAACCAAAAATCACAATCACAAAGGTAAAATACTAATCATCATCCACACCATCAGCAATATAATCATCATGATAATGATGATGATCATCATTGTCACAATATAATCAGTAAATTGCCATGATAATAATAAAATAACAACAACAACAACGTCTCAACACTTAAAACGTATTTAAAGTTACGGAAGAAAATTTTTTCTTCCAATAGTTTTTTCCCTTTACATTTACTACTGGAATTTACAATTCAAGCCAATTGTTTAACTAACTACTAACAATTTACAATCAAAACGTGCTCACTATCAGGCCAATTGAACAGAAATTATCTTGACAATTTAGTTTACTAACCTGAACAATCAATTCTAATCATTACCATGATGATAATATAAATGTCTTTTTGCTTCTCTACTCAAATCAACCTTTGAGTTTGTAGAAAATACAATTTATTGTTTAATAATAACGAGGAAGATGAAGATGAAGATGAGGATGAGGATGAAGATGAGGTTGAGGATGAGGATGAAGATGAAGATGATGATGAGGAAACCATGTTGTCTGAATAATAAAGTTTTCCGTGAATAGTAATCAATCCGATAATTGTTTGGAAATTTTGACGAAACCGTGAAACACGAAATTTTGATGATCATTGATTCTAATTCGTTAACTGATTAGTAAATTGTTATTGTTTGATTATGAAGATTTATAAATGGAAAGTCTCGATTCTTAAAAAAAAATCAATTCTCTGTCTCCACAATTAGTAAATTGCTGTAGTTATAGTTGTAATCATAATCGTCAATGTCTTCACTCAATGATTAACTTTAAGTACATGATTTTTTCATCATGATAATTATCAATGATTAACATGATTGTTAGTTAATAGTAAATTGATTTATAATAATAATAAATTGATGAGTTGACTTATTAATTTGATTGACTGTAAAACTGAATCAAATTAATTAATCATGAACATATGATTAAGTTTTTTTTTTCCTTCTTGTTGATCAACTTGTATTACAATTTTTAAAATTGTATAAATAAATTGCTGGTTAGTTAATTGAATTAAATTGTTTACCATATCCTTTAATTAATTAGATTTATCTTTCTGTTAACAATTTAAGATTATAAAAGGTTGATTGTTGTGGTCACATTGATTAACACCATTCAAATTAGCATTTAGATTGTTTAATGATTACGATTCAAATTAACCAAATCAACATGACAATTTCCGGAGAAACTTTTTTCCAACATGTTTTATATCAAATGAATACAATTGAATCTAATTTAATGATCAACGTTGATGATGATGCTTTGAATTAATAATAATCTTCATCATCATACTGATGATTATCATTATAATCATTTATCATCGTGCTTACGATTTATTTAAAAAGCCAAACAAACGGCAGCAATTTAAATGGCGTTTCAATCGAGGTCAAATCGTTAGGGAAAAAAAGAGAAAAGCAAACTCGAAATTTAAATCAACCTACGAAAATTGTTTTCTTTTTCCTAATTAAGACACAGAACTCACGTAAATTTATCATCAAAATGGTGATAATCATCCTCGCCAACGATTAAATCAATTGATTGTAAGTTACAATTAAGATAACAACAAAAAGAAAACAAAATTCAAGGTATTTCTTTGTATATCTAGTGTGTGTGTATTTGTCCCTGAGGTTCCCAAGCCCAAAGAGCTGAAAAACTTAGTGAATTCATTTGTTAATCACCAGTGAATTAAATCAGTTTATTAATTATCTGTGATCTTTTTTACTTATCTATTGACCATTAGGTTTATTGTCAAAGTCACGTACCCAAAACAGGTCCAGGTAAATTGGACGGACTATCGGTGGGCATTAAACAAGCTCTGAATATCCCTAAACCTCATCACCTTGTCAACGATCAGATTCGTGGTAGTGGTAAAGGTACATTTGACGTTGAAGCTTTGGGCATAAAGACAGCGATGTCCACACCTAAACCCTACGAACCTGAACAACACCGAAACCGGGAAAACATGGCCGGACGTTTCGATGCCTCCGCTCTTCACATACAACACGGTATCAATGCGACCAAACTGCAACGAAACTACAAGAACGGTGCCGACGATGCCAAAATCGAGGAGTTTCTGGTGAGTTGATAAAAAAATTTCCATTCGAAAACAAACAATCGATCGATTCCCCCCCTCTCTCTCTCTAATTGTCAACAATCTAATTTCTCTTTTTAACCACTTAACATCATCTTCAATCTATACCTGATTAGCTCAGATTAATTGGAACAAAGTTGATTGTTCAAGTAACGAACTTTTTTTTTCTTCGAAAAAGAGAAAAAAAAAGTTTTCTTAATCTGTCAATTTACCGATTTTCTTTGATAATAATACTTCACTTAAATTGTTAATGGTTATGATTTACTATTATATTAGTTTGATTACTTTTGATTTACTTGATCAAGTGAATTATTCCCTTGATTATTATCATTATTTAGAGCGAGCATGTTACATGATGCTGATGATGGAAATATAATATCGGTGAAAAAAAATCGAAAATGATAAAAAATAGTAACACGTTATCTTCATCTTCATCTTCATTTTCTCATCATCATCAGTATCATTATTGGATCATCATCATCATCGTCATCATCTTAATCATCTTTTTTATCTTTACCTTTCCATTTGTAATCATTATCATCAAGTTAATTGCGATCTTAAAATCGCCAGAAAAAAAAACTGTTCAATCAAAGTGATTAAACTTTTTCTTTTCATTTATTGACGATGAACCAACAACATTGATTAACTTAATCATTATCATTTCTTAATTGTTGATATATTGATTATTGTTAATGGGGAAAAGATCAGAAATGATTAAACAAACTTGATTCACTTTCTCAATCACTTTAATTGATTTTCATGAGATTCTGATATTAGATTGACATTAGTTAAGATTTAATCATTGCTATGAACAATTAGAAAGTTATAATATTTTTTGATTCAATGGTTTAATTGTGATTGTGATTGATTTGTAACAATTAACTTTCCTTTGTTAGTTTTTCATTAGTCAACAATTGATTTAATTTTTAGTTTATTACTTTTTCCCGATCAACAATTTCTTTTGCCAATTAACTGATTATGGATCCAATTAAATATCAGATTGTTATTTATATATAAATTAAATTTGATAATTAGGTTTGGGTGATAAAGTTTTTAATTTAGTTTCGATATCAAATTAATCAATCTCTATCTTTATCCACACTCTCAATACACAATCAGTTGATTGTGTGATTAAAACACAAATCGTAATCATGTTTACGACTTTTGAATTGTGTTCAAAGTTGATTAAACTGGTTCGTTAGTTAGTTAATTGTAGTAACGAACAAAAAAAGTACAAACTTTAAGTCACTTGGGAATTGAATTAACAATTAATCCAGTTACTCATTAATACTATTTGTTTTTTTCTCTCTCTCTCTCTCCTGATAAACTTTTTGTTTTCTCGTTGATTGTTATAATTAAGTTTCCACCCATGCCTACCAATTAAATCCTTCAAACTAACTAGTTAGTTAATTTAGTAAATCATCAACAATCAGCGGGAAATTAAAGTGTAAACTTTTGCAATGAGTTGGCTCATTTTTCATCAACCGAGATGAATGATAACCATACAGACAGATAAAAGTTAATCATGGTTCCTTTTTTTTTTGAAACAATTATCTTTTTCCTCTCAAGTTAATTAACTAACAACAATTTACCAAACCCTCGGTAGTTAGTGAATTTATCTGATCTCATTTCTGTTTCAAATTTAGTTCTTACACTCTGATGAGGTGGATATTCAGTTTTCTCATCATGTAGATACTTTGAGCCTTCAATTTTCAAGATCAAGGTTCAATTCACAGAATCTCATCATCGTTAATTGTTATTCAAGAATTAATTTTCATAATAAACTGCATCCGGAAAACGAAATGACCGGAAATGGTCAATGGATGTTGATTTAATTCACCAAACTATTCAATTCATCGTTTGTTGTTTGTTGTTTGTTGTTTGTTGTTGTTGTTGATTAATTTGTGACAATTAACGAGACAATCAAATGATTAATGCTAATACAAAATTGTTTACTGATTGTTGTTAAAGTTACAATTGTAATTAAAATTATTTATTTCTTTCATTTGATTAATTGTTTTCATATAATTCATTTTAACTTTTACTCAAATGATTTAATACTCAACAATTAATGATGTAATTTTCAATTAACACAATTTAATGATTACGAGTGTTTTTTTTTTACTAATATTTAATGAAAGTGTTAATGTTAATTAATTTGTTAATTGTTAATATATTGTTATTATTGTGAATTGTTCCCAGTCAGCCTTTACACAAACGCATTAAAAACGCGCGAAGAAGGAAAGTGTCAGATTTTACGCGAAGAAAATCCTGATGCAATTTTATGTTCGCAAGTTTCATCAGGGGAGTATTTATATTCATGAACGCGTTTAAACGCAACAAAACTATTTCGCGATTACAGTTAACCACGTACATGAACACGAAAATACGCAAATATGTGAGAACGGGATATTGAGGACTAGTACGAGAATTTTATTGAGAAAATTATATCAAAATAGATTCATGTAAATAAAAAACAAAATGAAAAATAAAATTAAACAAACGCAAATCGAATTTAGAGAAAATAGATATCTAGAAATGAAAACAGAATAACGAAATAGATTACTAATGATTATGAAATATAACGAATATGAAAAGTTTAAATGGATAATTAATTGCTAAATAGCCGTGAAAGTACTCAATAAATACTGATCGCGTTCATGGGTTCATCAGATTGAGGTTGTTCAATTGCTTGAACTTCATCTTTATCGAGCTCTTGTACGCGTTTCTTTTCAGTTCGTGTCCGATTGAAATCATATAGAGCTTTCTGTATTTGACCCATACTTTCGCGATAACTTTGTAGTGACATTGTGTCCATGTATTGAATTTGATGAGCATAACCTGAAATGAACATGAAAGTACGTTGATTATAATTTTATATCATGAAATCGAGGTGAAAAGTAACTCACGAATAAGAATATCTAGTTTCTCTTGACCATCTTTCATCCGCTGGTCACCTTCGAGTTTATCTGAGCCAAAACGATAGATAAAATTGCTTTTATTTGGTCTGTCATTTATTTCACAGTTTAATTTCAACTCGGAAGGAATACACATTCTCACGATTCGTGAAACGACCAATGAAGGTTTCGTCGCCTTAATCACTTTATCCCAGTCCTTTAGTGGCAGAAAAATTTTACCAGAAATATTCAATTGGTTCTAGAATAATTTATGAATTTTTATACGAGTTCGTGAATGAGAATTAGTGTTTCTATTGTTCGTGTTTCAGGTTTAACTTACTGTTTCAATTATCTTAGAAACATTGATCTTCTCATCAAGTGGTATTCCAAAATCCTTGCTTTTAGCCTCGTTCGTGTTGTTAAGTTTCTTGTTCATGGCAACGCAAAGATTATAAATATTTTTCACGACAGGAGTCAATTGATTGGTTACGTCTAGAGTTGGAATAATATCATTTAGTTTATCCATTGCTCTTGAAATTTCCATTTCAAGATTCATGTCCAGCTTAGTTCTTTCTTCTCGTAATTTTGCTACAAGAATCGGATCAGAAAAGTTATGTACACGACGCGTTTTAACCTTTTCTCTAGCTCCATGAATGTTTTCTGTTTCAGCTTCATCCGATGTTATCGTGTACTCTTCTGGTTTGTCATGCTCATGTGAAGCTGAACTTTCTTGAGTCAATTCATTCATTAGAAACTCATCATCAATGTCAGAAAACGGGTTGCTTTTCTTTTCCTGTTCGTGGTTATTGAGTTCATTACCTGAAATTTCTTGACTTTTTTGTTCATCTAGTTCACATCCAAGTAAACTATTCAAGTACAAGAAACGAGTATCTGTCTTTTCGGGTTTGAATGTGACAACTGGCTTTGTAATCGATGATATAAGTTTTTCACATTTATAAACACTTTTAGCTGCCGTTTTCGCGACCATCTCGTTAACACTTGCAAGAGATTTTTCCAATGCAATTCGATTCTCTGTACATGAAGAAAGAAAATTAAATCGAGTTCACGATTGATTTGCTAAATCAAAAATACCTGATGACATGACGATTTTACCAATATAGCAAATATGAGATTCGCGGAATCTTATATAGACAGAATCACCATTTTCTTGCTTCTCGACATTTTCATCTCTTTTCACAAGCAGCAGCATTGGTTTAATATCGCGTAAATCTTTATCTATTCCGAGAACAAGCACATAGATGTAACCTTCTTTTGCATGTTCAGGAAACAAGTTCAAGAGGCTGTTTGGTGCTGATGGTGTGGAAGAAACAGACGATGTTACACTTTTTTCTTCGATAAATCTAACCAAAGATTGTTGCATGGGATTAACTTTTTTATTTTTCACATTATGTTTTCTTGTACGTGAGATGGGAGGTTTCGTGTTCTTGGATTGCCTGGTTTTCATTGCTTTGAGGTTCGCGATTTTTTTTACTTTCGGGTTCATGAATTCACGAATTAAATAAAACAAATTAAATTATCAAAACAAAATCACAAATGATAAAAGCAATACTAAAACACACAAACACTTTAACCTGAAAATCAGATAAGGCACATGTACTTGAGGAAAAGGAAGTTAAAAGTATCTTTTGATAATCACCATGGTAACGGTTTGTTTTGATTTTCAATTATGATTTCCATGTTATTCTTGCATCATGAGACGAATATCGGCAAGTACAAACCATCGAGCACTCCGTTTACATCGTCAGCAACTTTTAAATCAGTTTTTTGATAATTTAAATCAACAAAGTTCGCCTGCATCAACTGTTAGTAACGTGAACAGTTCATTAAATCATGAACCTGAAAGTGAAAGTGAACATGAACATGAACCTGGAACTTATACTAACCGGCTTGAACAGTTATCAGAGGATAAATTCGTAGATTTCGTGCTCCTCAAGATGATAAGTGACAACAATTTGACAAAGAAACAAACGGAAGGTTGTGTACGTGCATTAGGAGCATTACTTGAAAGGTTTAACTTATGTTTACAGTTACCCAGCGCGAGAGTTTTGTGGAATAGATCGACGATGATTCTTTCTAAACAATATTGGTTTATCTGTAAAAGAAATCACGCTCACGGACCTTTTTCTGGTGCTCCAAAAGATTTCGCATTAATAAACTGTGATGGACGTTCGTGGAAGCCAAAAACATCTTCATGTAGTTACTTCATGATGCTTGGATTGAAGCAACAGTTATTGTATATTTTACCTACAATATCAAAGTATTTCAAGCCAGAAGTTGATTTCAATAATCATGTACACGACATAAGAGATTCATTTCTGGCTCGTTCTGTCAAACAAAGTGAGACAATTACGCTCACACTATTCACGGACGAGGTTCCTGGTTCAAAAAGTTCTCGGATGACTGTTTACCCTTTTTACGTGCTGATCAATGAGTTACCTTCGGAAATGAGACGAAAATTTGCGATTCTGTTATGCCTGTTTGTTGGGAAAAAGAAACCCGAACTTTCGAAGACAATTTTGGATCCATTAGTTGAGGAGCTGAAAAAAGTGGAGAACGAACAAATTAATTGGACTTGCAAGTTCACGAACATAAATAAGCGATCACGAGTAAAATTAATTGCACTAATTGCTGATGCTCCTATGCGGGCTCATGTACTTGGAGTAAAACAATATAATTCACGCTTCGGCTGTGAATGGTGTCGGGTTGCAGGGAATAATGAAGGTGGATCGATGAAATATCCTAACATATCAAAATCAACTAAGCTTGAACTTTCGCGAACAAAAATAGAATATCTTCTTCATTCACAAGGACACGAACTTGATATCAGCATAACTGAACATATCAAATACACAAGTCCGTTGATTTACTTGGAGTCATTTGACATCGTTTGGGGTGTAAGCGTGGACGTGATGCACAGTGTATATCTTGGAATCGTGAAAGATATCATGAGACGAGGTTGGTTCAATTCTGACATGAAAACGAAACAATTTTACATTGGTTCGGCTGATAAGTTGAGGTTAATCGATTCACGTATTGGAAATTTAAAAGTAACTTCTGAACATGTACGACCTCCACGTTCAATCGTCGATTATAAAGACTGGAAGGCGAATGAGTTCGCATCATTTTTAGTCTACTTTTTCGTTCCTGTTTTAGATAAAATTTTGCCGTACAAGTACATTGCACATCTCGGACAATTGTCACAAGCAATCGTGCTATTGCAAAGCCAACCAATCACGAACGAGATGATAGCTATTGCTGATAATCTTTTGCACGATTTTGTTTCAAATTTAGAAAAACTATATGGTGCTGAATTTCTCACATATAATTCCCACATTTTGCTTCATCTTCCACAATCGGTCGCGAAACTTGGACCTGCTCACGTTATTTCCGCATTTGTTTCTGAAAATGAAATGGGAAAAATCAAAAAGAAAGTGCGAAAATATACTGATGCATCACAAGCTTTGATGAACTTGTACATGATCGATTTGAACTCGAAAATTCAAGAATATGCTTTTTGTTATGATAACCTTTCCCCAAACGCTGAGAAATTTTTCGTTAACAAGAACGTGAATCAATTTTCATCTTTTCATGATATTGAAATCATGGACCCGAAGTTACTTCAATTTTTACAGTCAAATAATCATCAACAAGCAGATATCAAGGAGGCTGAACATGTGAGAATAGAAAAAATTCTGTATACAACAAGGAAATATGACCTGAAACATGTACGAGTAAATTCACTTATTGAGGTTCGAGAACATGTTCAACAAATTAATCGGATACTCAAAGTAGGAAATGAAATTTTTTTCGAGGTTAATGTACTTGATACTAGTGCCGAACCATGGGGAATAGATTTCAATTGTGATGGAGCAATAAATTCACGAGTTGTTACAGTTAAAAAGATTAATTTTCATGAATTTAGTGAACACGAAATGAATTTCACGTACCTCAAAATTAATAATAATATAACTAAACTTTTCATGTACAAAAGTAACAATGAATTTTTTGTCATCAAACTTTGTTTAAGATTAACATGAATTGATTTTACTCTTGTTCATGAAATTGAAATGCTTGAAATGAAATTTTATTCAGAATAGTAATTATAATGTTTGATTGTAAGAATGAAAATGAAAATAGTAAAATAAAAGATAAATGGCTTGATTGAAAAACTTTGTAATGAAAAATGAATTTGAGAAAATTTTGTTCTTAATCAACGTGTTCACGTACGTGACATGTTAATGGAATATTGATTCTAACTTGAAATGTTGAATATGGTTGCTCTGTTCATTTTTTAACATGTTCATGAATTTACCTTGTCCGCGAATTTCTTGCAATATTTCAATGAATGTTGCTCCCAGCAGAAGGGACAGTCATGTACTCGCCAACATGATCCACGACAAGAGGCTCCGGAATGAAACAAATGACAATAATTTCTGTCTGGAAGATAACAACCATTGTTCGCCGTGTATTCAATTGCCATTCCTCTTTCTAACAGCATATTAGACCAATCGTGTTCTTGTCCATCGAATTTGCTTTTAATGTGACAAAACATGAAACTTTCTTGATCACAAGCGATTCGTGATACATGTACGAGAGCTCCATGTTTTTCGATCAATGAATTCAAGAAGCTTGTTCCACATCGTTTGACCGTTGACGGGAAGGAGAAGTTAGACAATGGCTTTATTCCAATCAGCTTTGCACGAAATGCGTATTCTTGTGTAGGCATTTTCGGGTGTTTACCTACCAAGTATCCAATGTCCATGTCTTTTTTCACGATGTCGAACCCATAATCAAGTAAATTTACTTTTACAGATCCATCTTCGTAATTAATGTATTTAACTTTCGCTCGCTTGTATGGTTTCGTGTTCATACCAGGATCTTGTACAATTACATTAGCGCCTACATAAAGATGGAGAACTGGTTGCCACATCTCCGAGTGCTTGTCAATATAGTCGATGATTTCAATTCTTTTTTCGGTAAACTCTGGAATAGTCATACAAACATGAAACGGGCTGATGACTCTTGTAACAATGGAATGTGCAAAATTTTGGTTCGGATGAGGAGTTAAATCAAATGTCTTTGAAATCGGATCGTGTTCATGATCTTGAGCATGTTGTTTACTTGTTGAAGCTACGGGTTCTGATGAACACGAACTTTCCGTTGCTCTTGAAGAAGGTCGTGTACTTTCAAGATTCATGATGATTCTAGACTTAACAGGTACAGGTTCATGAGTCTTCGTGTTTTTGTCAACAGTTGTTTCAACAGCTTCAACATCTACATTTGTATCATCAATTTCCGTTGAATCTGAATCTCCAAACTCAGCTGGATAAGTAATCATGACTCTTTGTCCATAGCCATCAATTGGTTTACCCTCAGCGTCCGTGAACATGAACTTTTGGCGAGTTACAGGCCACGAAGGTAAACTTCCCATGTACCTGTCAAACAGATTTTCCACGGATTTGAAATCCAAGAGCTTAACTTTTTCGGTTGTTAACGAACGAAAAATCTCGATGAGGTTACCAGTCTCAGATGTTAAGTTTGTGATTGCCTGAAATAGAAAAAAAAATCATGTTAATGTTCATGTTCATGAATAAACAGATTACAAATTTACTTACATTTTCAGCAATTTTACGTTCTTCATCATACATGTCTTTCATGTTCATGTGAAATTCGATGAAGGCATCATGATTTTCTCTTATTTTCTTGACCACTTGATTAATTTTTTCATCTTCTTCCGCGATTATCGAGGACACATCATTTGTGACTGAAATAGCTTTTGAAATCTTACATTGAATTATATTTTTAACTCGTTCAGCTTTTTCAATCATCGACTTCAAAGCTTTTTCTTCCACTTTCATGATCACGTTCGAGTTCTTGCTACAGTAATAGCAAAGGTGCTTATTCTCGTGAGTGATGAATTCGCTTCTAAACTTTTTACATTCATCGCACGGCTTGAGTGTTAATTTTTCATGTCCACGAACCAGTTGTAAAGGTGTACAAGGAGTTGTCAAAATTCTTGAATGTATCTCGAGTAAATGTAAATTACAGAGAAATCCATCAGGTATACAAGAACATTTGAAAATTGCATTTCCATTACATCCTTGTTCATGAAATTTACATGGTGGAGTAACACGAATTTCCACACTGTCAGATTTACTGGCTGGTTCTCCACAGCTCATACATACATGTTCATCTTTCACGATACACTTGGAGCAGAAAATACTGAAACATTCATGTACGTAAAAGACACCATCCTTGACTTTGTCATGACAATTGAAACAATTTATCTCGTGAGTCTGGTGATTAATCGCGCCAGATTTTCTCTTTCCGAGAGGTTGACTTTCCATGATCACGATGATAGGTAATCTGAGAGAAAAAAAATGAAAGCGAAATGAGTTGACATTAAATACAAGGTGCTTGACGTGAACGTGTACATGAAATTAAAACTTACCTTTTAACGAAAAAATGGACAAATTATCGATATTTCACTTTCCTTCACGATTCGTGCTCACAATTAAACAAAAATGATGATTATTTAGATAGCGAACAAGAAAATTACCATGAAAAACAATATAATTCAAATTAATCACAAATGTTGATTAAGACGCGTCCAGATACTAATTTAAAAGCGAATTTAAAAAAATTCTTTTTTGTTTCCATGACACGAACGCGAAAAAGCGCGAGTTTCAATTTGGATTATTATTAACATGATTTCGAATTATTCCAATTTAAATCAATTTTTGTATCGCGAAAATTAACAATTTGATGTTCCAATACGTGTACATGTTCTCGAAAATTAAATTAAATCATGAAAATCATACTCGTTAAACTTTTCGCGTAGAATAAATTGGAATGCAAAAAATTTCATGAAATCACGCAGGTCTTTTTGAAGGAAATCTAATGCACACTCAACTTTTGGAAACGCGAGAAAATTGGGTTGACTGGGTTATTAGTTTTTGTGCTGAATCTTTAATTTGATTTTGAAAATTTTATTTATCAATTAACCTAATTACAATTAACTGTCACTGTTTAAAAATAACTTTCTGTTTGTAATTATTTATTAAATTGCTGATCACTTTTGATGATTATTGTTAATTAGTATTGAGAGAGATGGAGGAAGAAGTTTAAATTTAGTGATTAACTGATTAACCATTTACAATTGAATAATCAAATTAAATTGAGAGACAATGAAATCATAAAATGATAATCAAACAATTTGATTACTTAAAGGAAATGTTAATCAATAAGTATCATTGAGGAAACTTTTTATCAAGATCAATTTAATCATCAACAATTTAACAAATGATTACTGATTATTGAAAGGATAACAATTTAATGATCATGAAAATTTGATGATCTTGATGATTGATTGATTTTGATGACAATTAAAGTGAAAAGTTTAATGATCCGGAAATACTGTTAAATTGTCTAACCTTAAACAGAGTATGTGATTAGGACAAAACAACAACAATTAAAGTTAATTCAGTTATATTCAAGAGTAAACAACTAAATCAATCTAACCACTTATTTGAGGTTTAAATTTTGGGCAATTTAAACCATTTGATTTTAATCTGATACAAAATTAGCTGATTTAATGTTTAATTGAAAATGATTAACTAATGGTAATCAACTTAATTGTTGCAGAATTTTGTTTTCGTCATTATTTTAAGAAATTAAAACATGAAAAACAACCAGAAATTAATCTTAATTGTGATTATAATTAAGATGAAGATGATACCAAATCACTCCTACACTTTAAATTGTTTCATTTCCTCTAATTTTAAATCATCTTAAAGTTTAAATTGTTTTGGTAAAAAAAAATAATTAGTCAACAATTTAAATCGCTCATTGATGATGTTGAATAAAATCAAGATAATCAATGTTTAAATTGTTGCCTTACCTCTTGATTTACTAATTGTAACACAACATCATTTAGATTTATGATTTAATCAGTTAACTGTTTGTTCAACAATTTAAAACTTTTCTTAATCAAAGGTGAGGCTTTTTTGTTGAATTTAATTTTTTAATTCTTGTTGACGATTAACTTAAATCACTTTATTGATGATTATCATTAATTTCATCTGACTGGACTTTAAATTGGTGATGATTTAAAACAATTTACAACTACAATACTAATCATCATCATCATTATCATGATTAAGAAACGAAACAATCAGTAAATTGTTAACATTTAAATTGTAATTCAAGTTATTATCATCAAGATGATAAATGATTAAGATTAAAAATTATCTAATTGAAGGGATGAGTTGATTATATGAACATGATTAGTAAAAAGAGAAACAAAATTAAAACAAATTGAAAACTTTTACAACTTTTAATTGTTGCAATTTAAATTCATCAACTCGTTAAGGGTTAAGTTTAAATTGAAGTTGATTAAATTTGCACTAATTTGTCAATCATTTAAAAAGGTTTGGTTAAAGATAATGATTAATCTGATTAGATAGTTAATTGAATTAGATTGAGAAAAAAAAGTTTTCTATTAAACAATTAAAGTTATTTAACCTTAATTGTTATCGATTAGAAAATTGAATTGACCGCCTTTCGTTTTTTGAGAAAATTTTAAATTTGGTTAACCCTTTTAATCCGTTGACTCATTTCATTGAATGAAATTCATTCAATTGTTTCAATTTTGGGCCAAAAATTTTGGCTTAATTGTTTTCTATTTTTTGTTTTCTATTTTTTAATTGTTTTGATTAACTTTTTTTTCTTCGTTTGTTTTTCTCTTTCTCTCTGTAGGATGAAGAGACTCAACGGAAACTTGAGATGCGACATCGAGCTGAAGAAGATGCTTTGTATCGGCAATTTGCTAAGAAAAGAGCGGAAGAGGAAGTTACCATTAGTCAACAGATCCAAGAGGAATGGGAGATAGAATTGGAAAGGTTAACCTCACGATTTCAACATGAAATTTCAATGAAAAAGAGTCGAAAATTTTCCACGGATGACGAGAAAGCGATGACACTTAAATTACAACGAGAGAAACAAGATCTTGAAAAAAATATGACCATCAAGTTGGACCGGAAAAAGGAATCATTGACCCGAAAGCTTCTTGAACAGGAGAGACAAGCAACTGCCGAATTGGTTGACAAACAAAGCAAAGAGATGATGAGCTTGATTAACGAGAAGTTGGTTGAATATCATCAGGTAAGAAAAGAAGAAGAAAAAAAAGTAACAATAACAACGAGGTTAAAAAGGAGACAAAGTAATTAATGATTTGAAAGATTACTTTTTGTCTTACTCACACTAATCATAGGAATACATGTTAATTTGTATATCTATGAGTTTCTATTTCAAGTTTAAAGGGAATCAACAGTCACACAATTAAGAAAGTGTAACGTTCAAAGAAGATTAATGTTTGAAAGAACCAATTTGGTGAAAAATTCTCATCAGTAAATTGTTATTCATGGCAACTAATTCTATTCTTTTCCTTTCCTTATCATATTTGTATCTTTTTTTTCCTTCTGCCATGTTGATTTATCTCTAGAATCTTGATCCGATTGATGAAAGAAGACTGATTAATGAAGAAATGAATCCAACAATTTACCCAAGTCAAGCTCCACCGCCATGCCCTCCATCCATTTCCAAGGCGGAGATTTACACCGATCCTAAAGTATTTACTCATATTGATGAGGTAGCCATAAATGTAAGTGATTCTCACCGCTCTCAATAACAACAACTTGATAATTAGCGAGCGAATTCAAGTTTTGACAGTTTAATTTATTGTACTTCTCTTTTTTTTGTCATTAGGTTGCCCGAGAAGATCAACATACTTTTACCGATTTAGTACGATTATTGATTAGTCCATGTAACAATGATATAGAGAAAGCTCGAGCCATATTCCGTTGGATTACCGTTAAAAATTTGAACACAATGCAGTTTGACGATAATGTAAATGCCGATACGCCGATGGGCATTTTAAGAGGAATTAAACATGGAACTGAAAGTTATCATGTTCTATTCAAAAGACTCTGCAGGTAATGTCACTAATCACCTTTCATCAACAATTTATTCTGATTATCAACAGAACATTAAAACCAACTTACTATTTGTTATTCCCATTTGTTTACCTTAAGGCTCAATTTGAGTTTCTTTCTGTTATTTACATTTTGTAAACAAAGTTTTCTCTCTCTCTCTCTCTTTTACCACAAACAACAATCAATCAGATGCTTAGATTTGATACATTGTCTGTTTACTTGCCTTTCTTATTGAATTTTTGTTCTAAATCTTTGTTTTTTTTTTCACTTATAATTTGATTATTCAACAGTTACGCTGGTCTTCATTGTGTAGTCATCAAAGGATACTCTAAATCAGCTGGTTATCAACCAGGTATACGATTTGAAGATAATCGATTCCGTAACTCTTGGAATGCCGTTTACGTTGCCGGTGGTTGGCGTTTTGTTCAATGTAATTGGGGTGCTCGACATTTAGTTAATGCCAAAGAGGTACCAAGACCTGGTTCGGTATCAAAAGGAGGTAAATCGGACTCTCTTCGATATGAATATGATGACCATTACTTTCTCACCGATCCAAGAGAGTTCATCTATGAATTTTATCCACTTCAACATGATTGGCAGCTCTTGAAACATCCGTTAACTTTGGTTGAGTTTGAAGAGTTACCCTTTGTGAGGTCACTTTTTTTCCGTTACCAGTTATACTTTCCCGATGATAAAGAAACCAAAGCAGTATTACACACCGATTCCTCTGGAGCGGGTAATGTTAGAATTGGAATGCCAGCTCGAATGTCCCCTTCTCTCATCTTCCATTATAATCTTAAATTCTGTGGTGAATCGGGCTCAGAAGCGGCAGGTTCAGATACTTTTGAAGGATGTTCACTCAAACGCTATGTGATGCAATCAGTTTCAAATAACATTGTCTCCTTCCGGATCCATGCACCGACATTTGGTCAATTTATAATGGACATTTTTGCCAATGCAACAACACCTCGAGAATATCTTACCGGTGAACCAATGAAATTTAAATCTGTTTGCAAGTTCAAGATAATCTGTTCCCGTTTAGATACAGTAATGGTACCACTGCCCGATTGTGCCTCCGGTGAATGGGGACCCATGAAAGCGACCCGACTTTTTGGCCTGATCGCTTTAACCCATCAAGAGGCATTAATCTTCGCCTCTGGTCCAACCTTGGAAATTCAATTTCGAATGTCTCGACCATTAACCGATTTTATGGCCTCACTTCATAAAAACGGAGTCGAAGAAAAGAAACTTTTAAAATATGTGTCAACTCACGTACAAGACGATATTGTGACCTTTTTCTGTAAATTCTCGGACGATGGTCAATATGGTTTGGACATTTACACGAGAGAAGTTAATTTAGGTGAAAGAGAATCTCGATCAAATGGTTCGGCAAATGGACATCACCATGAGAAACAATTTCTCACCCATTGTTGCAAATATTTGATCAACGTTAACACCAAACGAATTTAAATTGTTAACAACAATTAACAATTTTCGTAAATTGAATATAAACTTCATCGATTTCCATTAAATTTACTCAACAAAGATTAATGGTCATTCATACAAACACTTAAACCTCACCAATAGTCATTAACAAGTAATTATTGGACATTTAATTACTACCAATTGTTCAACAATTAATCATTTAATCACCAAAAGCTCAATGATTAGATGTTGTAAATTAATTTTTCCTTCCCATCACCAACAATCAACGAAACACAATTAATGCAATCAAAGACTATCTTGAATTTTTTTTGATAACATTTTTTTTTTAATTATAATGAATTGATAATTTTCATTATAATTGTTTACTTATCTTGTTTAATTGTCGTCTAAATCAACTTTTAATCAACGTCTTAATTTTTACCCACTAATTGTAAATGTATTATTTTAGATACAAGGAGACAATCAACTTGTTGAATCTTAATTGTTTTTTTTTCATTGTATCGAACTTTTCAATTCTTGTAAAATCAATCAATTGTTGTTGCTATTAATTGTTAGTACTTTAATCACCTTCTATAATCACTTAAATGATTAACGTATCGCCCGTAACACAATAAAAAATTGTTCAAAATTTAATTGCCCAAAATTTGGTCACTAAATTGTTACAATCAAAACAAAAAGCATAACATTAACTTTTTTTTGTTACTTTAATTGACCTTAATTTGTTTTTCTGATCAATTTTATCCGCTCGTTATTAGATTACAATGGAAAATAATTAAACAATTAGTTAATTCTTACCTTAAGTACAATTTATTACCTTATTTCATACCAACAATTTAAATTGTCTTCAATTGATCAACAAGAAATCAGATTGATTCCGATAAGAGTAACATTCAATTTTTCAAGTTAATTTCCACTTAAAGTTAATTGTTATCACTATTTAACTTAATTGTTAACATAATTATTGGTAAAATATTAGCCAATTGATTAGCATAATCAAGTTTGATTACATTTATTAAATTGCTATCGATGAAAAAGTTTATCTTTAATTGTTGGAAACTCGATAACAGAGTCAAGCAAATTTTTCGTGATCAATTGTTGACTTACAATTGAAAATCATTGGATCTTTTTTTAGACTAATCATGTTTAATTACCTGACCGATGACCTCAAGTTAAGGTCAATAATTAGTTCCCTTGAGAGAGAAAGAGAAAGAGAGAGAGAGAGAGATATGATGAAACTTTTTTTTCTTCTTTTTCCTGACCAATCACTTGCAATGTTGTTGCTCGTTTAAAATTTTTGTGTCTTCTTTTGCTCTTTGTCCTCAAAAGGTCATCTAAAGGTGAAAGTATTTGAAACTAGTTTCTGACCAATGGTCAAGCTTTTTTCTTTTACTCTGGTGACGTTCTAGAAGAAAGAAAAGAAAAGAATCAAAAACTGTTCCATTTATAAAAAGAATATCAGTTCACTTGTAGATTTCATATTCTTTGTGTGTTTACCTAATTGTTACTTGTTCTACTTTCTAATTGTTTCAATTTTTCTTCTAAATTGTTTAATTCTACCTGATCAGACTTTCTAATTAGTTTAATTAACAGTGTATTCCATCTTATTGTCCAGTAAACAATTGACCAGAAAAAGAAAATGGCTTCGCTAAAATCATTCGTCTTCTTGTTCACCTTAATCTCTGTCATGTTTGTCTTCACCCAAGCGAAAGTTTTACCTCGATTCAATAGACAGATCGGAATTCTGCCCGGAATCGGTGGTGGTTACGGAATGGGAACCGGAATGGGCTACGGAATGGGCGGTGGTATGGGTGGAGGCATGGGTGGTGGAATGGGCGGCGGAATGGGCTACGGAATGGGTGGCGGCGGAGGATTAGGCGGCGGTGAGTAAAAAGTTTCCCCAAAACCATTGAAAACATTTTGAATCTAAATCTAAATCTAATTTTCCAAATTGTTTCGCTAATTGTTATTGATTAACTCATCTTCTAATTGATTTAAATCACAGGCATGGGCGGTGGTATGGGCGGTGGTACTGGATATGGAATGGGCAATGGCTATGGTTATGGACGTTAAGTCCAATTTTCCGCTCCCAATGGATTTGTTGATCACAATTGTCATTAAATTTTCACAATCATCAACATCCAATCACAGTGACAATTAGTTAATTTTTAATATTTGACTCTTGGTATTCATACAATTAACCAAAGGTTTATACACTTTTCTAAGGACAATATTTAACTCTCTTCTAATTGTTTACTAATCAACACTTCTAATAATAAGCCAAGAACTATCAATAACCATATCAATTGTGTAAATCAAACAATTTGTTAATTGTGTCAACTTTTAATGAAACAACTGTAAAGACTTCATCTGTATACTTATCATATACCATTGACTTTTAATTGTAAAACTAAATGATTGTAAATTGTTTTAATTTCAATCAATACGTTTACACGTCGGTGTATTTTCAATATCAATCAAATTGACAAAATTAATCAATGAAAGGAATAAAATTTAATTGAAAAAACAATACATACAATTTACAATTGAATCAGTTGATTGTTGTTGATCATTTTCCTTAATCATCCCAAGTGTTTACCAATAACGTGTTTAATTGCTTGATGTTTGAATAACAATGGATCATGAATTACTGCTTGATAGGTTTTAAAAATTCTGATAGACAAACAATCAGTTAATTAGGTAAATTTTTAGGTAATTTAGTCAACAATTAACTTACGGAATCGGTACTGGTAATGGTAATGGCAATGGGATCATTAATCGTTTATTTTTAACAGCAATTAACAGAGCAGTTCCAATTTTCTTGGCCAATTTAATCTTATCCCGATGGGACAATTTAAAATGGTGTAAATTATAATCACAATTAACACAATTAAACCAAACATTTAACACAAACCAAAGTATCATGAGTTTTATACACAGTTTCATTGCGATTGGTTGATGATTAAAGTAATTAGTTGATGATGATTTGATTTCCATGGTTAGATTTTAATTTTATGTGAAAATTGATTGTGTTGATGGTGACAATTAACTCTCACTGATTGTTGCGATTGAAATCGTTTGAAAGTTGGTACATTTTATAAACTCAAATTTACCATTTCGGACAATTGACCAGCCCAATTAATGACAATCTTGAATAACTTGTTTAATTTGTCAACCTAAAAATAATTTAATTGTGTGATTATATTGTTACCAATTTATTTGATTTCTGTGTGTATCATATTTTATATCAAGTTGATCATTAATTGTAAATTGATTGTTTACCAAACGAAAAAGTTTATTAATATCGGTCAGTTATTATTAATATCATTGATTGTTTGTTTTTGATTGTTAACAATTTGACTCTAATTTTGTGTCAGTTGATTGGTAATATTTGATGATTAACAAATCAAACGGATACAAATGATTAACTTTTTACATTTGGACACAATTTAAATGCAGTTGACAATAATTGTAACAACAATTTAAAGTCATTTTGTCAATCAAAGTATTTCAATTATTGATTTTAGCTTCCCTTCAATAGGAAAGGGAGTTAATCAGTTGATTAAATTGATTCAGTTAATAATATTACATGTATATGAACAGTAGATTGGTCAAAATTGATTGTAAAATCAAAAAATTGTCATTGAAAGTTAAATTTGCAAAGTTGATTAAATGCTTATTAGAAGTTTACAATTAATATCATATAGAAATATTTCAATTGATTTGATTAAATTAAATTGTAAATCTATTTATGAATCGGATTAAAAATGCAAATAAATGAATTATCAATGATATCCGATTATCTTTGTCAATGATGATGATTATTTCCAACGAGATTAATTGATGGTGTTGGTAAAATTGATCAGATGGATTAAATTGTTAGTCTTAATTGTTGATTAATCGATTACTTTTGAGGTAGAATAACTTTTTTAGCTGAATAGCATCGATCAGCTGGACAGGATATTAACTCCATGGATGGTGATTTGAAACAGAGATAAATTGTATCAAGTAATTTGATTTTCGCACCTAATTTGGTACAATGAATTGAAATGGTTGAATTTGTTTTCGATTCAATTGCTTCATGAATCTCATCCAATGTATAAGCAAATTTCTGATCGATTGGTGTTGGTTTAATTTTGGCCTCATTAAGCCAAGATTGTATCGGGTATCGATGAAATAAGGCCAGAGTAGTATTAAAATAGTTCAAAAGTCCATTTTTCGAGCGGGATAAAGTTGAACAAGTTCCATGTTTGGACCACTCGTGATTCCATAAACTATCTTGATCTTTGGTCGGTATTTGATTAGGCCAATCAACCTGAAGAGAAAGAGAGAGAGAGAGAGAGAGAGAGAGAGAGAGAGAGAGAGAGTAATAAGAATCAGTGAATATGGATCAAGATGATTAACAATCTAACTGATAACTTACAGATAATTGAGGTAGAATTGTTTTCAATTCAGTTTCAAAGAAAGTCGGTTTGGAGCAACAATCTTCAGGCCCTTCGGATCCATTTGACCAACTAGGCCAAAGTCCGTGAATTTCCCAGTTTTCAGTTAAATTGATACACTTTCGGGTTGAACAGAAAGATGGAGTCCATCGAATAGCCAAAATATCATAATCGTATTTCGGTGATGAACATGTAACATCTGATTGGTATCCAATTAGAAGTCGATACATATAGAATAGAACTAAAATTCCAGCGATTAAAATAAAACACGAACCCATAAAACTCCGATTTTCCCTCCGTCGCAATGGAGGCCCAGAAATAAGGGGAACAGATTCATCGGGAGTCGAAGACGATAACATTTTGTTCAGCATTTGGAATATTAATCAGGTCACAAAAAAAAAGATGAAGATGAAGAAACAATCAACTGTGGAGTAGAATTTGAACCAAATTAACTGAAAGAACGGAGGACAATTTAACTCTAATTGTTGGTTGATCAAGTGAAAATCAAATGTATAAGATAAAAAAAAAAGGAAAACACTTAAGATATTTTCATCTCCAAGGAAATGTCATTGATACAATTTAATCGGTCGATTGTTTTATCAACTAAATTAGTCCCAATGTTCCGACTTAACAGATTATCGATTAGAATTAAATTGATAAAGAAAAATTTCTCTAAATTGTAATTAGAAACAAATATTAATCACTTTTTTCTGGAGAAATAAAAAAATGTTTGTTTACATTTTCATCCTCGATTTTGATACAATCCATCAGGTATCAATATCTATTTGTTACATGTTAACTGAATTAAGAATAAGATACTCAGGTAAAAAGTATCTTTTTCTTTTGTTGTAATTTGAGTTCTTTCATTGATTAATTATTATCTAATTGTAATGAGTATTATCTTGGCTTCGTAATTATGAAACAAAGTATCAATCACTATGAATTGATAAGTTTAATTTCTAGATGAACATTTGATTGTAATTAATTTCCAATCAACAAATTGATGGAGAAATTTTAACAAACTGATGATTAAATTTAATTTTATCTCTTAATTGTTGATGGATTTTTTTAATTCTCTAAAAACAAATGTAAATAAAAGTTTTCTCTCAACTTCTCAAAGTGATTAAATTGATTTTATTAATTTTTCTCATGATAAACTTAATAGATAAAAGAGATTAAGATGATAAAACAAATTCGATAGATTAAAAGTTCTAACTAACAAAAAGTCGAGGAAACTTTTTAAAATTAGAGAAATGGTTACAATTAACGATTCTCAATCAATTTAATCTAATCAAAATCAATATTTTATCGATTTAATTCTCAATAGATTCAATTGTTAACCATTAACAACAATTTCTTTTCATTCAAATTTCCATTCAATCGACTAATTTTGATTTGCGAATTTACGAATCCAAAATGTTCCAATCACGTAAACCATTCACGAATATGATAAAAACTCTTCTACAATTCCAATAACCATCAGTTAATTCCAATCAAAGAACTTTAATTAGAACAATCAAAAAGTTTCTAATCATTTGACGAAAAAATTTGTTCCAGAAAAAAAAGTAAACTAAGCGCAGACCGAAAAAGAAACAAACAAGCCGATAGATGGAGCGACTTGCAATTCTTTTTCTTGCTCATCGTAATTTTGATTGTTCATTGTTAATTGTTAGCAACTCCTCTTTCTTTGAATACCGGATTTAAATTATCATTAAAACGGCTTCAATTAATTATCTGACTTTTAAACAGATCAACAGGTTATTTAAAACGTTGTTGTTTAAAAGTGAATATAATTTAACTCGATCAAGTTCAACATTAACCTCAAAGGTAAGTGACTATTTGTTTCCATGTGGTTTCATTGTTTGGTTTTTATTTTGTTGATTAAATTTTAATTCTTTACAATTTAAATTTAGATGAAGGCATTGATTATTGGTTCCTATGAAGGATCTTGCTCAAATTCTGGCGACTTGCCAAAGTCTCTTGTGTTAACCAAAAATGCTCAATCTCTTGATTTTATCAGAGAGATTACCAAGCAAATTGAATTGTAAGTCTGTGAATTGATTGTTTTTGTAAATCATTTGTTCCTGTTTATTTGATCTTTTTTTTCTTTGGTGTTTTCTTTGTTTTCTTTTAGGGTTGGACCGGTGAAAAAAGGTAAAAGTCGTTTATTTAATGGCCTATCTCAGGAATATCCGGTTGTCTCTTTGGTGAATCTTGGTCCAGAAGATTCAGCTTTCAATCCGATTGAACATATTGACGAGAAGAAAGAAAATGTTAGACTTGCTGTTGCTGATGGAATTCGATCGATTCGAAGTTTAGACGCTGATGGAATTACTCATGTTGTCGTCGATGATTGTGATGATGCTCAATCAGCAGCCGAAGGTGTTTTCCTTACTGATTGGAGATTCGATGAACTCAAAGAGGTAAAATCCCGACGAAAGCCTCTTGCTTTTTCACTATTAAACCCTAACAGTGAAAAGGAATCCGCTTGGTTGAGAGGCCAATTATTGGCTAAAGGTCAAAATATGGCTCGTAGATACGCTGATATGCCAGCTAACTTGATGACACCAACCATTTTTGCCAATGAAGTGACTCAAGCAGCCAATGGAACCGGTATTAATGTTATTGTTCGTGATGAAAAATGGGCTCAAGAAATGAAAATGGGCTCATTTTTAAGTGTCGCTCAAGGTTCATCTCAACCACCAAAATTTATTGAATTTCATTACAACAATGCACCAGGTACCAAACCAGTTGTCTTTATCGGTAAAGGTATAACCTTTGACTCTGGCGGTGTCTCAATCAAACCCTCAGCTGACATGGATCAAATGAGAGCCGATATGACCGGTGCATCCATCGTTGCTTCAACCATCTCCACCTTAGCCGCTCTTAAAGCTAAAGTTAACATAATTGGGCTTACACCTTGCACCGAGAATATGGTTAATGGTAAAGCAACCAAACCGGGTGATGTTCACCGAGCCATGAACGGTAAAACAATTCAAATCGACAACACCGATGCTGAAGGTCGTCTTGTCCTTGCCGATGCTCTTGTATACGCTGAAACCTTCAACCCTCAAGCAGTGGTTGACATTGCAACTCTTACCGGTGCAATGAAGATCAGTTTTGGCGACGCTTGTTCCGGTGTTTGGTCAAGAAGCGATCAACTTTGGGATTTAATTTACAAGGAAAGTGTTAATTCTGGTGATAGGGTTTGGCGAATGCCCCTCTACAAATCTTATGTTAAACAAATGACCGATTGTCATCTTGCTGATATTAATAATCTGAACAAATCTCGAGTCGCTGGTTCCTGTACAGCCGCTGGTTTCCTTTCAGAATTTACTAATTCACCCAATTGGATGCACATCGATATCGCCGGTGTGATGTGGCAAGGAGCCGATAAGGGTTATTACTCCGCTGGAATGACAGCTCGACCCTTGCGAACCATTGTACCTTTCATTGAATCAATTTTCCAAAACAAACTTTGATGAAAAAAGAACAAAAAAATCAAACGAACAATTGAAACAATTACTTAATCAATGAATCAAATTTTCTAATCAAGAATTTAGATGAAGAGAAAACAATTTACTCTTCTTTTTCTTAACAATAATCTCTTTCTCATTCTCACTCAATAATTTGGTTAATTGGTTAATTAATCAATATAATATCTTGCTCTAGATTTATTACAATTGATCAAATTTTCCTTTTAATTACTAACTACTCTCTCTCTCTCTCTCTCTTTTTAATATGGAATAAAGTTGATCGTTGAAAAAACATACGATTCTTTTAATTGTAATTTGATTACTTGACATTTTATTCGGATTACCTAAAGTAATTATATCTAATTAGATTAACTACTGTTGATTGTTAGATTGTTTTCGGAAAGAAAATTAGCGGAATTAATGTTTTAACTTATCTAATCAACTTGTACTCAGAATCAGTTGACATTTAATTTTCAACAATCAATTAGGATAATCAACATGATTACATTTTCCATAGGGAGGTTATTTTATTTTCCCATAGATTAATTGTTTCAGTTAATTGGAGCTAGAACAGAACAAGAAAAAAAAATGTTTAAATCAACAATAATGGGAAAATCTGATAATATTAATCAATCAATTACTCCTTTGGTTGATTAATTTGATCATCTTGATTTCTGATCATGATTATAAATTTTCATCTCCAATTACATCATATGATTGTTATTGATTGGTAATTTCCAGCTTATTATGTGATAGACAATCAACTAGAAAATTTCACTAATCAATTGCAGAAAAATAATCAATGAGATAATAAACAATTTACCACAATTAACAATAACTAACAATAATTAATCTGATTTAATGATTTTCCTTTTAATTGTTTCAATCTAAAAATCGATTAACTTATTTCTAAACCAATAGATGGCAGCACTAACCTGAATTCTCAATGAAATTTATCAACAATTAACTTGATTTGATTAATTTAAAAGCAAACATGATTAATGATAATCAACATAATAATAGAGCAATTAACTGAATGATTTATCAATTGTTTTGTAATAACAACAAAGTGAAAGTAATTAGAAAAGCAGAAAAACTTTTGGTTAAATTACTAAATTAAGTTAATCATTTTGAAGATGAAACAAAATCAAGATAATCAACAAGTTAATTAAGTTTTCATTGAATAACTTTCCTAATTGTATATGTATGACTTTTTGTCTTTTAAACAATTAACCATAATGATAACATTTAATTACCATTTAAATGTTAATGATGATTAGGAAAAAGGTTATTGGTTTGATCGTAATTAAATTAAACTACTAACCAACAAAGTGATTAGATTTTCTCAGCTAAACAATTAAATCTAATTGTTGATTAATCAGTTCGAAATTTTCCATTTTCACAATCAATCAACATGTTCTTTAATATAATAACTAATTGATTAGAAATCAAGGTTAATCTAATTAAAGAATAAAAAGTTTTCTAATTATTCTCATTTTTAGATTATTATGTTTTCCCTGAGAACGAAAAATTTTTTCAATTCAATTTGTGTTTCTTTTTTTTAATTGTTACAATTAATTCAAACTTCCCAACAATTAATATTTACGATGCAAGTGAAACTTAAATCACCAGAGAATCAAAGTAAGTAACCAACCAGATATTGAATTAATTAATTAATTAACAATTTAAGATGAAAACAAAAACCTTGAACCTTTTTTTTCATTTGTAAACAAACAAGTAAACATTTTAATTGTTTACCAATGTTAACACATAGAAAAGAGGTCAATGGTTAATTACAATTAACTAATTGACCGTAACAATTAGATTTCTTTAAATTGTAAACTCATACATATTAACAGTGACTTTGATTAACGTAAAAAGTTAATTTAATTGATCTAATGTTGTATTTATATTGATAAGAAAAGCGGAAGGAAAAGAGTCCAACATGTAACCTTGAGAGAGAGAGAGAGAGATGGTAACATTTTCCTTGAAGATTGTGAATGTCTTTTTGTATCTTCTTCAAGGAATAACAATGATGGAAGATGAAGATGATAAGAAAATGAAGATAAAGTAATAAAAAGAAAGTAATAAGATGAAAGTAAATATATGAAAAAAAGAAGGATTCAAAGAGTTTTGACATAGAGAAAAAAAAATTCTATTTAGAATAGAATTTCCTATTTTCTTTTCTTTTCTCCAATGTTGACCTTCTATTTCTCTCTCTTTACTTTCTTCTCCATCATCCAAGTGTAACACTCTTCTCATCGATTGAATTGTAATCGATTTTCATCATCATCATCATCTCTCTCTTCCTCCTACTCCTTTTTTCTTTTGCCCTCCCCGTTCACTTGCCTGGTAACTATGTTTTTCCAACGATATTCAGAATCTCTGTCTTTTAGTCTTTCTTCATCCTTCCCCTTTTCTCTCTCTCTCTCTCTCCCTGATTCTGTACTTTATGTTATAAATTTCCTCTGTCTCCCATTTCCATCTTCTCTTTCTTCCATCTTGACCTGAATTTGCGTCTCTCTCTCTCTCTCACTACTATCACCATGTTCACCATGATATTCACTCATTGGGTTAACTGCGCACGTTAAGAATAGAAACTCTCTGTCTATGTCTCTCTTTTTCTGTTCGAAAGACAAAAAGAAACTAATTCTTCATCATCGTAACCATATTTTACTTTTTCTCATTCTCATCATCATCTCTCTTTATTTTTTCTCTGTCTAATTATCTCTCTGTAAATCGTATGATGATGAAACTTTTCTCTCTCTCTTTCTCTTGTCTCCCTCATGTTACCAGCGGAAATTGAGAGTCAGTTGATTTACAGAACGAATCAGACTTTCTCTCCCCATTTCTCTCTCTCTCTCTCCATGATTATCTTCTCTGTCTATTTTCCTTCTGTCTCTCCCCTGTTTCTATCTCTCTAATTATTATTATCTATGTTTTAATAATAAAATAAATCTGTATCACTTTTATTTCGTCTTTCCTCATCATCTTCTTCTCTCATCTTCATCATCTCACTTTCTATATTCTCTCACCTCATCTCTTTCTTTATCACCCTACTCTCTCTCTCTCTCTCTCTCTTTCTCCCTCTCTTTCACTCTCTCACTGAGACACAAACTTCCTCTCTTTCTTTTTTCTCTTAGATTTCATTTTCTCTAACTTTTCTCAGTTGTCTCTGTGTTTCCCTCGGTGTGAGTGTTCATCAAATCAGGTTAACCAATCATCAAAACAACAACAACATTTCAATATGTTCATTTGTTTTTTTTTATAATTAGTGTCAAAACAATAATTATTTCAGATTATTGTTTGTTGTACTGTAGAGATTAAACTTTAATCTGGTAAACAGAATCACAAAACCAGATTAAGCCGAAAGGTGTTTTCTTTTGAACTGTTCTCTATCTCTCTCTCTCTCTCTCCGCTTCTCAATCTAATCCAGAAACCAGAACGATTAAGGATTTTGTCTTCTTTCAACCCAAGGATCCATCATTTCTTTTTGTGATTGTCCATTAATTGGTTAATAATAATTAACAATTTAATTTTGTTATCTTATCATCTATTTGGAAAATCAATCAACTTTACAATTTAACATAATTTTCTATTCTCTTTGTGGAATAGAAACGAAACGGTAAATGTAACATGATGAAGATGAAGGAAATTATTCCAATTTCCTTATTCTTCCTCTTCCTCTTCATTTTCTAGTTTCTTCTTTTCTCTTTTTTTTCTATTTTTGTCTTATTTTCTCTTCTTCTCTTCCCAATTTAACCAACTAACGATCAACTAATAAGGTCAAACCAATAGAATATCATTTAGAACAAAAAGTGTGAGAAACAAAAAAGAAGAGGGAACAGTTTGAATTTAAAAATGTCTGTGGAAATTTTTATTCTCTTTTTCCTCTCTTTCAATTGTTACACATTTTTCTCCATTTCCAATGTTATTAATAGAAGAGAATCAGTTAATTTACAACATTAATCAATTTTCTCCATTTTTACATCATCAAGCTCTTTTTTACGTAGAATATTCAGTGAGTGAGCGAGAGAGAGAGAAAGAGAATTGAAAGAGTCTGTGTGTATATTTGATCAGAATCAACGTAAAAATGGTAGAACAAAAATCGTTTGACCTTCACGTTTTATCTTCTCTTTCTTTTTTTCTCTTTCTTCTGATTAATACATTACTCTTTCTCTCTGAGCAAAGCTGAATCAATCATCTAACACTCTCTCTCTCTCTCTCTCTCCTTTTCTACAGTGTGATTCTCCATCTCTGTTAACTCACTTTTCTTTTTACTTCTCATCATCATCATTTTAAAACAACAAACATCATCATCTTCACATTTCGAAAGACTTGTTCAAATCTTAATCATCATTAACCATCTTCATCTTTCATTAGGTAAGTTGATGACTTCATCTTTTTTTTATTATATTCTTCAAATACACTTCACCTCTTTTACCTTTATCACTTTCTCATCCTCTTCTCGATACTCATATTTACCTTAATTTCCATTAATATTTTAGCTCTCTCTCTCTCTCTCTCTCTCTCTCTCTCTCTCCCAGTTAATTGTTAGGAATAGAAAAAAGCAAGAAATCAGTCAGAGAAATTAATTATAACCGATCAATCAACCTAAATATGAAATATAATAATAATTCACCAGTATTTTACTAAATATCAACATCGTTACTATTATTATACATTTCACATGGGGAAAAATGAACAGATGATTTTATTTATCACCCAATAACCCACTTCAATTAGATTCAATTGTTTTGATTGTCAAAAAAGAATCATGTTTACCTCACTCATAACATTAATAGTGATAACTAATTAATAATTACTATCAATAGACATTTTGAGATTCGATATTCAACCAGAATATTATCATGAAATTTATCTTATCTTCTATTACCTTGCTTTTCTATTTATTTCTCGAGTAATCAACTTAATTCAATTATTTTTTTTTTCTTCCTCTTTCTCTCTCTCTCTCTCATCTTCCCATTACATCTCCTCATTGTTATCTGATGCAACAAACAATCAATTAATCAATCAATCATAATCAATCAAGACGCAATTTCAAAGAAATTAACAAGTTCAACCTTCTCTTGATTTAATTATCAACTGCCCAACAAAATAAATCAGTTTTTTTTATTACTTTCTAATTATTCACACTATTACAACTACTACTTGTTAATTGTTAAATTATATCTCGTTAACTACTCTAATTTATCCAATTGGTTAATTGTTCTATCCATCAATCTTTACATCAACCAATTTCCTTCAACAACAATTTACTACCAGTGTGTTTTGTGTTAATCAACGTTCACCTTAAAACTCACCTTTGGCCCTGTTGACCTGTTTTTTTACAGAACTATATGTTATTATTATTATAAGAAATCAGAAATTTATTTATCTTTTTCACCAAAAATAGTTCAAAGGATATAATTATATATAAACCCTTATATATATAACCCAAATTGTTATAATTTTAGGTACAACTTGTTAGCATTTTAAAGTTGATCTCAAATTGAAACGTCAGTGAAGTTTTCAATCATCTTACCAAAAAAAAAATCAAACCATCAACATTTTCATCACAATTAATCAACACTAATTAACCAGCAACAAAAATGCACGTTGAGATTCAAGTGGCACTCAACTTTTTGATCTCCTTCCTCTACAATAAGCTTCCCCGACGTCGTGTTAACCAATTTGGTGAGGAGCTTGAAAATGCCCTTAAACTGAAATTTGAAGGCCATTGGTACCCTGAGAAACCCTATAAAGGGTCAGCGTTTCGGTGTCTCAAGACAACTCCACCATTGGATCCCGTATTTGAAGTGGCTGCTCGTGAAAGTGGAATGGATCTGATTGATATTCAAGAAAATTTACCTCAAGAATTATCTATTTGGATTGATCCTGGTGAAGTTTCTTACCGAATGAGTGAGAAAGGTCCTGTTAAAATACTCTACTCTGAATCTGATCGTCCTCATGACATGGAAAATCCTGATCGAGAGGTTATTCGAACCTTCAACCCTGAGGCTCAGTGTTTCAAGCCAATTGAAGCAACATCGATGGCTTTTGGTTCACTTTCACTAGTTTCTGGTTCAAGTTCACCGCCATCTCTTCAACTAATACCAAATGGATTCCCAAGCTCACAGGCTTCAAACGCTCCATCAAATGGACCTAATACTTCAGTTTCAGCAGCTGCCGCCGCTGTAATTGCTACTGTGGCTAATGGTAATGGATCAAACGGAAGTGGAGGTAACTCACCCAACAATGGTTCGGGTAACCTCATCGCACCAGGTCAACCGGCAATTCATAAATCATTCACCTCCGGTTCAATGGGTCCTTCCGGTTTTCTTCCCAAACCAGCAGCATCCAACGTTACTTTTACCACGGCGACTTTTGCTCAAACAAAATTTGGTTCAACTAAACTTAAATCAAACACCAAACGATCACACCGAATGTCACCAACTGAGTTTTCCAATTACATTAAACAACGTGCTCTTCAGCAACAACAAGCTTCAGTTTCACCCAACGATCGTGTTAACGGTGATCGTGTTGGTCTTTCATCCGGAATGGTAAACGGTATGCACAGTCCATCAAACCTCAACTATGTTCATGGATCACCAAATGGAACCGGCTTATCTTCAGGTAATATTTCACCTCAAAACTCTCGATCCATGTCCCCAATTGGTGGTAATGTACCAGGAAATAACGGTAGCGCACTTGACTCTGTTTCTAACCTTCTCTTCATGGGTAACCATTCAGTTTGTACCACAGCAACATCACCAATTACCCACTCACCATCCTCATCACTTTCATCATTTTACACTGGTAATCACGGTAACGGTAATCTGGTTGGAAACTCTTCAATGGGCCATGGCTCTGTTAGTCCTCGGCATCATCCCTCTCATTCAAACTCTCACCATCACCAACCACCCACATCACATCATTCTGGCCTCCCATCTAGTCTCAATGGTTTGTATGGATCATCATCTTCCAGCCATAGTATCGACTCTCAATTGGCTGATCTCTTAGGTTCATCCAGTTTACTACCCAAATCAACTTCCTCCTCAGTTGGCAATGGAAATACTTCACCAATCTCCAATAACAATGTATTCAACCGATTCGCATCTCTATTTGATAAAACTCCAGTCGTCGGATCAACATCATCAAATCCCTATCTGTCCAACAACAGTGTCAACGTTACAAATAATTCAACTAACGGTGTTTCAAATATCAATAATAGTAACATCACCTCAGTTTCAAGTAATTCAACCGCTTCAAACAACCTTATCAATATTATCAACAGCAACAATAACAACCTTCATTCAATTCTTAATGGTGGTGATGTTTCACCAATCTCATCTCAAGCTTACACAAGCAATAACATCCTTGGCTCATCAGGTATCCATGTAAATAGCTTATATGGTAATACTGGACATCAAACATCATCCAATGATCTAATTTCAAACGGATTAGGATCAAACATTATCTCACCATCAACCGTTTCCATTGTCGATTCAATCTCATCAGCGTCATCATCATCATCATCATCATCAGTTAATTCAGCTTCCAGCCCAGCTGCTACTTCCCCAATAATTGCTGTTCCCTCATCTTGTTCAACATCCCTTTCAGCTTCATCCTCAGCCTCATCATCCCCATCATCTTCCTCCTCTTCAGTACCCTCATCGTCATCACCAGTTCCAGAATCAACAACATCCGCCTCCAATTCATCAGTCTCCTCCTCATCAACAGCAGCAGCAGCAACATCAAACAAAGGCTATGACAATTTCTCATTCTCCTTAAATGGAGTCTCCTATCCTAATCAATACCAACACCTACTGGTTGCCAATTAGGAGTAAGAATTAACGAAAACGAAAAAAAAAACTAAAAAAAAATAAACAAAAACACAGAGAAATATATATTAACAAACACCAAAACAAAAAAGAAAATAACAAAAAAAAAATAAGAGATGATATATTTAGTTAACAATCAAAATCTAAAACAATTAAGAACAAAATCTAAAAAAAATATTGATAAAGTCTCGCAACGCACTCAGTGAAAAAAGAAATGATAAGAAGCAAATCTTGTACGTGCACCCGATATAAGATATATGATGAATTACTTTTGGAAAAGAAAGCAAACCTTTTTACCTCAATCGAAAACAAAACAAACTCCCATTGCCTTCCCATCTCACTCCCAATATCAACTCCCATTTTCATCTCTCTCTCAATTAGACTTTTAAAAGAAAAACGTTGCAGTGTCAAAGGCTATGTTACCTTTGAAATTTTCTCTCTATTTCTATCTCTTGTTATCTGATTTACTCTTGGAAAACCAATCAATCACAAACTGCTGATGATGGTGAGATGAATTAAATCAATGATGATGAGGATGAACAGCAAGATAAAAGTCGAGGTAAACAAAAAAAACAAATATAAACATTTACTTTTATCAGATCTCTTGGTTTCTTTTTGTGTGATTTTTTTGCATACATTATATTGCTACTAATTATTATTATTATATTACTATTAAGACTTTAAATTCACATTTCGTTAGTGTTTTAATAGTAAACAACTATGACAAAATTAAGAAACCTAAATCAAATCAAACTAACGAAATGATGATTTTGAAAATCGAAAAAAAAAATCGCAAAAAAAGTTACCTCTTCTTTAATTTCTTTACCTATTCATCCTCATCTCAAACCCTTTTCTTTTTACATTAAACACAATACACCTAATTATTTACCATAGATAATGATAATATACCTGAGAAAAAAACGAGAAAAAAAATGAACGAAAAAAAATATGATATTATCATTATTATATAAATTCTTATGATTACTATTAATTGTATTTGACAGGGAGGTTTAAACCATCTCAATCTTTTTCTGTCCAAATAATTGTTGATAAAAATTCTGAAAAAGAGAAATTTTTTTCTTGATAATGTTTTACACCCAAATACACACACACACACATACACGAATGATGATAATCAATTTTATCATCATTTCCTTTTCCTTTTTCATTGAAATTATCTTCATCTTTCTGTTAAATTTCATCACAAGAAAAACAAGTCAAACTCTCATAAACAAATACACATATATTACGATTATATATGGATATTATTGTAACAATAATAACAAGACGACGATGATGATGATGATGATATGATGATAATAATAATGATAATAATCAATTTATCAATAGTAGCGCTTAAAAAACGTGAATTGCTGCCGAATCCCCACCCACACATGCATATATATTTATTAATATGTATCTACAGTGTGTGTATCAATTGTTTACCTACATCTCTGTAAATGTATGTGTATAACAACAATATATTTATATTATTATTATTGTTAATTATTATTATATAAATAGATTTGATGATAACGACAGAAAAAAAAGAAACGTTTCTCTCTGGTAGATTAACCTTGTTTTGTTTACAGTTTGTGACACAAATTTGAATACCAACAACCAAACAACAACAACAACAACAACAACATACACACACCTCAAGATCTTCATCATTATTATCTTTATTCTTATCCCTCCAAATCTCTTCATCTTCATCTTCCTCATCATCTCTATAAATACGTATCATTAACTCCTTCTTTTGACTTAACACATAGAGGAAAAGTCACTCCCAAGGCTTTGATTTATAAATAATTACAACTTTATATTTGTTACGATTCTTAGTTACAAGTCTTTCTCTATCTATTTCTATCTCTCTCTCTCTTTCAATTTACTTTCTTGTCATCATCTTCTCTTTCTCCTTGAAAAATCCTCTCTCTTTGGTGTCTCTCTCTCTCTCTCTCTCTCCTTCATACTCTCATGAGAAATTCTTAAGGTGTTCATCATCCACATCATCATCTTCATCCTCATTACTACTCTTCCAAAAAAAGCTCACAAGCTTGTAAACTGTCACCATACAAAAAAAAAACACAACAACAACAACAACAACAATTATAATCCCAGAGAATCGTTTTGATTATATTTCTAATAATTTGATTATTATTATTATTAATTTAAACGATGAATTCAATTGAATACACCTACACTTATATACATACACATACACCATCTGATTAACATACACAACATAATATTTAAAACACACAACAACATCAACATCAACAACAACAACAACCAATGCATATAACCAATGATTGGAAATCAACAAAAAATATAACTTAATTTTTCACATTTTACCTGGATGAAGACAACAAAAGACACTTTCTTAATCTATGATGAAATCTTTTTCTTGTAATCCTTTTTGCATCTAATACGTTACGATGAAATATACATTTTAATTGTTTACCTAAATCCCAATCCTAATCCCCGAAACCATTAATCCCTAATCTCCTTTTTTTCTTATTGTTATTATTACTTCTAATTACTATTTGATGAAAATGTTTTTCTTTTTCTTTTTTTGTTTAAAATCCTCTAATCCCAATCAACTTCCTAATGATTTATTCTGTTTATCAAATTATCAAATGAAACAACAACAATTTTATATACACGAAAAAAACAATTGATAATAGTGAGACCTCAACCCAACACAATAATAATATAATAATAATAATCCAAGAGATAAACGTTTCTAATGTCCGGTTAGATTAACCAACTAACTTAATACACTGAAATGAAAACAATGATTGTAAATGATGAAGATTAAGGAAGAGGAAAAGGAAATGGAAATGATGTGATGAGAAACAAAAAATACTACGAATTGAGTGATTAAAAAAAGGTATTAACAGTTAATCAAGTTGGAAAATTGTTGATACCTAATCTTAAGCTGCTTTCAAATATCACAAGTAACATTTAACTTCCGTTAATGTTGATTGTAATTACTGATTAACTACCATCATCTGAATCATTTATCCATCACCATGATGATAAATTGAATGATTAAGATGATAATCAATCACAAACACACACAATTCATAGTCAATTGAAACAAAAAAACTGCACTCACATTGCAAAAATCATATTAACGATTTACTATCACAATTAAATTGCCATTATAATTAATACATTTGATTAACAATGTCAAAAACAGAGAGGGAGAGAGAGAGAGAGAGAGAGAGAGAGAGAGATTTAAAATCAATGTGAATATTTAAATTGTTGATCCAATTGATTAAATCTCAGTTAATCCTCTTAATAATTAGGGGGAAAATATGAAATTATATTTGTCTAGTTGATCAATCAATTTGATTAACAGTGTTTTTGATTGTTGTTAATTGATGATCAATTTTGATTTTTCAATTATTGTAAATGATTGATGAATTGATTAACAATTAAAATGGTTTGAAAACAAAAGGTTAATCACTGAACAATTTAATCAACATGAAAACGATAAATTTTGTTTCAATTTAAATCTTCATCTTGATTATTACAATTAACTCTTAATTATTTTTGATTTTGTTATCATTTTGATTCTCTCTCTCTCTCAATCTCTTTACACAAACAATTAACTATTGGGACAATTAAAGTTAATTTAGTTAATTTTATTGTAAATAACTTTAAGTTTTTTATTAATGATATCTTAATTACTACAATTAACTAATGATAATTAACAGTGTGGCCAACATTTTATTAACTAAATTGTTATTATTATTATTATTATGATTATCACTGTTAACTGATAAATACAATTTAGTAATTGTTATTTGTTACTGATTAATACATGAATTAATTTAATCATCTCAACTGTTTAATTTTTGATTCAATTGTTAATTGTTGTTTAAAAAAACATTGAAAACAAAGGTTTGATTTTAACAAATTTTAGTTTCTATTATTATTATATTGATTTGGGAAACGAATTGATTAAATTATAAATGATTAATGATATGATTTAATTGTTGTTACTAATCAATGAAGTTAATTGTTATCTCTTGACGACACAAAACAAAATTTGATTAACTAATTAAACGATATAAACAATTAACTAATTTCTGAATATTTATCTCATTAAAAACTATCCTTGTGATAAGAAAATCAAACCAAACAAATAAATTTTATGTTTCTAATGATAACTAATTAGTTAATTACAATTAAATCACCAATTTATAATTTAAATCTAATTAACCTGACACTCACTTTCACACTCTATGTAAATTGTAATTTAACTTAAATTGTATTTCAGTCAATAAAATCCAATCAAATTAATGGAAATCAATGTTTGCTTTTTAATTGTTACACACAAACACACACACAGAAAACTAATGTTACTATCAAGATTAAAATTAATTGTTACCATTAATTATATGATATAAATGAAGATAAATTTTTTTATTAATTAAAAATGAAATAAAAGTCTAATGTTTCAACAAAAAGAAATTAAAAATTGTCTCAGTTAATTAGATTTTTCGCAATTAGTTGTAAACCATTGAAACTCCGAGTGGAGAGGAAAAGTTATCACGTTGATCAATTCGATATCGATCTTGAACTTTTCCCCACCGCCCACCACCCACTTCCACCATGTTTCTAATTCATATCACTCTCTCTCTCTCTTTCTCTCTCTCTCCATGGTTGACCTACATTCATCATCTATATTTATCTTCATTATCATTTCTCATCTTCGAATGTTCCAAAAAAATTTCATGATAAACACTGAGCCAAACAATTTGCATGAGCCTTTTACAAGAACCTTGGTTAATTGTTGTTGATTGTGATTAAGTTAATTTTAGACTAATTCTTTAGCTAAATGATCAACTTGTTTAATTTTTTTCCTTCTCTTCTTGGCTTCAGATGTTTGTTTTCATTTTCTTTGGGCTCTTCCTTGTAACCTTGCCCATATTTAAATCTTAATCAAGAGAGTGAAATTTTCTGCTCACTGGATGAGATGTTATTGTTACGATTGGTGTTTAATTTGATTGTGATGATTTGTTAATTTGGTAGATAATCAATTGTAATGGTCATTGAAAGGAGGATGTTGAGAGTAGACAATTTTTGCTTCTCTCTCAATAACAAAAGTGCGTATTTAAAGCAATGGGTTTTTAGGTTGAATGAAGGGGAAAGTGTAACATGGATAAAGAGGAAATAGAAGATGAATGATGATGAGGATGAAGATGAAGATGGAAGAGTGGGTGGGGATGAGGGAGGAAGATTGAGCCTGATGGAAATAGAACAAGTGTTGTTGTATTGTTATTATAGTTTAAAGGGTAAATCGGATGAAGAATGATGATGATGATGATGAAAAAGGAAAATAAGATAAGAAAAGAATCAGAAAAAGAAAAAGAAAAAGAAGAAAATTGTTCGTTGGATGTTCATGTTTTTCATCTTCATCTTTTTTCTTCTTCTCTTCCTATATGAACAGTTTTATTCTTCATAGTCAACGAGTCGTTAGGGAATGAGAATGATGATGATGATGATGATGATGATGATAAGAAAGAGAATTAGAAAAGGATTGAGAAAGAAGAAGAAGAAAGAAGACTGGGAAAATTGTTCTTCTCTCTTTTCGAAATAGACTTTTCTTCCCAACGAGCATGAACATTAGTTTAGTAGGACGAAGATTCGCGGAGCTTTCGAATTACAACAAAGTCTTTCTTTCTCTCTTTCTTTATCCTGATGATGATATTCTAGATGATGATGTGAGAGAAAAAGAAAAAAAGACAGAAAGATAGAAAGACAGAAACGAATCCAGGTCAAGATGGAGTGAGAAATGAAAGTAGCTAACGAAAATTTCGTTAGTTGCTAAGGACGAAGAAAAAGAGAAAAAAAAGAAAGAGAAATAGAAAACAGTCTGAGGGAAGATAAAGTAACAGTAAAAAGATGATGATAAGGGGGAAATAATGGTAATGGTGGAAAGAGGGGTGAAGATGATGATGAGAAACCTAAGAACGAACAAAAAAAGTAGTAAAAAAAAAGACAACGAGAACAAACAAATTGGATCGATAAAGTTTTCTACTCGAATGGGAGAGAATGTACAAAAAGTTTCTCGAAAAAGATGATGATGGAAAAAGAGAAGAAGGAAAAAAATGAAAGAAGGTGAACCGAGACTAATAATAACATGTTAACATAAAAGAAAGAGAGAGAGAGATGAAGATAAGGATGATGAAGAAATAACTGTTCTTATTTCCTAATAGATTTCATGTGGAATCGAAAATGAAACTTTCAACTAACGAAAATACTTTATATGGGAATGAGAATTTCTCCTCCAGAATTATTTTCCATCTTCTTATTCAAATTCTATTGAATTGATTATCCAATCAAAGGAACAATTTAAATATACACTCATCATGATCTCTTCCAATTACCATCTTAATTTCCTTAATTGTTACAATTTAAGATGAACACTGTTAACCTAAAATCTTCATGACGTTCATAATGTTGGGTCCTTTTTTTTCCTTCTTCTTTTACCTTTAGCATTTGATTATTTATTCATTTGAGCTTTTTAATTATTTACGATTTTTTCTTTGAGTTGATTTAAATTTAGTTACATTCTTACAATTATTGATTAAGTTGGAGATATAATTAAATCACAATTCGTTAGGTTGATTTCAACTTCAAGGTCGATATAATTTCCACTTTATATTCATTGATTGGGTTTCTTTAAATCTGTGAAAATCCAGATAAATTAATTGCAGGAAATTAAATTTTCATAATCAAATAATCGATTATTTCTCTAAATGATTAAAATTAATTGAAAAATTCTAGAAAAGTTATCGATTTATTATCGAAATTGAATTTGGAGCCAAAATTTTTTTTTCTTTTCTACAAAAAAAAAGGTAAACAAATGAATGGAAATGAATCAATTTTCATTTAATTTCTTTCGAGTAAATTAATTGTTGTTAATTAAAAAGCTGTTATATTGTTTTTTCTTTTGTTTAATTTACTTTATCATCATCGTGTGAACGTAATTAGTAAAAATAATAGTTGTTTTGTTTACCATTCAATTGGTTTTCTATTACTTTTTGTCTTCACCTTTTTTGCTAAACTTAAATATTGACTTGGTGAGTATAAGTATTTGTATACATAATAGATTGTTGTTGTTAATGATTAACTGATTAATTCCTTTTTTTTATTGATTTTCTTTTACATGATTGTTAATTTCTTTAGTTCTCAAGGACATGGATTTTTTTAATTATGTGATTCGTTTTTTTCCTTTCCGGTAAATAGTAATTCAATTAGCCAAGTAATTGGTTAAGAGTTGAAGAGTTACCGGTGTACCGATAATTAGGTAATCATGTAGAGCATTTTTTTCGCCCTCGTTTAATTGTGAGTAGAATTTAGTTTTTTTTCCACATGATTATTAATGTATTTTCTTCTCTCTGTTCTATATTATTTTACTCTCTCTCTCTCTCTCTCTCTCTCTCTCTCTCTTTATTTTCTTTCTACTATTAGATTGGGATGGTAATTGGAAAACTTTACAAACTGGACCTAATAACATGTAACAATGGACTTTGGATGAATCCAAAATTTATTGATGGAAAGGAATCAAAAGAGGATAGAAAGATAGAAAAGAGAAATGAAAAAAAAAGAAGGATCCAATTCGATTAGCAGAAGAAGGAACTAGAATTTTTAACCCAGTGAAATATAATAAGGATTCGGTGTGTTATAATATGAGACTCTTAATGGTTAGTTACAGTGACCTAAAAATAAAAATTGATCCAAAATGATGGCAAAGTAAAAAGGGGATTCAGTTGATTCAGTCAGTCTCAGTGTTTGAACATTGAAAGATGATTATTTGAACACTTGGTTAATACACACACACATACACACTGGAATATTGATTAGCCAACCAACCAATCAACTAAGTTAAAAATATCAATTTCAGGGATCAGATATTAGTCCTGAACCTGAGGTAAAATATGATGTCCAGTTTTCATCAGTCCAGAATAACAATATTCATCCTTCACCCATAGACAATTTACCTGACAAGGCAAAAATAATGATTTTTTTTTCTTCTTCTTTTCATCAACTATATTTGGATTAACAATAATAAGATACCCTGGATCAAGGACAAAACTGTGGCAATTTACGCACAATCAAGAAAATACAATTACGACGAAAGCAAATGAAGAATCATAAACCCTTTACCAGCAATAAATACAATGCGATAACAATAACAAGAGGATCAAGTGAACCATTAAATACCAAATCCATTGGACAATTAGCCAAGAAAATGAGCCTGACGATTATGTTAATTATCATTATTGTAATCAACATGATAATCAAAAAATGATGAAACGATTTGCTGTTTTATTGTTACTCATTAGACATTATTATCATCGTCATTACTACGTTATTACAGTTATAGACCCTATTGTTATTTATTATTTCATCTGACAATTAACTAACCAACCAGCCAATCAATTGACATTGAATTTGCACCAACCATCAACACACAGAATTAACAATGATACACTGATCATAATAATAGAAAATTTAATTTCAAGGTTACATGGAAGTCAATTCACCTTCTTCACCTTCATCTCTCTCTCTCTCTCTCCTTGATTGTAAACAACAGTTATGATGATGATAATAATCTCGATGATGATAAATGATGATAATGAAATAATAACAAAAGAGGTAGAAAAAAAATCTCAATCGGAAATTATGATTTCTAATTATCCTTGATTATCAAAAGGAAAAAAAAGATGAGATGAGATTTTGTTGTTGTTTTTCCTTTAATCATCAATTTCATTGATTAGTTGATTGTTGAAATGATTTAAATGACGTTAACTCTCATTATCGATTAACAATCAAAATAAATTCATATTTTTCCCTCAATAAGTAATCAAATTACAGTTGAAAACCTTAAAACCAAAGTTGTAAAATTGTCAATCCATTGGATGATTAGTTAATTGTAACTGTTTTTTTTTCATTTCCGATTCGAACAATTAATTTTCAAATTTCCCTTCTAATAACAATTAACTTTTACCTTGTTGGTATTTAATTGTTTAATTGTGATAAATTTAGTTGGTCATCAATTGTGATGAAATTAGATGATTAGTATTAATTATTGTTAAGATCTCGCTAAAGGTAAATTGTTAATTAATAAATTGTGTGTCTGTAAACAATAATGATCAAGGTCAATGTTTATTAACTAATTAAAAGAAGCTCAGATTTTGTAATAATCAACAGTTAATTTAATTATTTACCACAATTAATAATGAAAATTTTGTTTTCTCATTCTGTTCTGATGATTATATTAATTGTTCATGTTGTTGATGATAACAATTTAGGTGAAACAATTTAATATAAGTCAATTGTAATAATGTGTACATGATGAAAATGATTACATTTATTAATGATAATGTTAATTGTTGATGATTAAATATAAATCATAAATAATGATAATGAAACAGCAGAAAAAAATTTATCATTTCATTTTTTGATTCAGTTAAATCATCAAAGGTTAAAGTAACAATTAATTGTTGTTAATAACTTTTAATCATCACCATTAAAAAGTTGCTTATTTAAAACAAAACTAAATTGTAAGTTAAATTGTTTCATCAGGAATAAATTAACTTACAGTTTTTCAAATTGATTCACTTAATCAATTGGTTCATATTTAGTAAAAAATTATTTAATTATTATAATTGATTGTAAATTAAATGTGTAACCTTTAGTAACACTTTAATCATCATTAAATTGTTACGCGTATCAATCATCAGTATTTATCATTATTTAATTGTGTTTCTCAGGTAAATCAGTTAATTGTTAACAATAATAAGCATTATATTTGTCTCATCATTGCCATAGTTTAATCAATGTGAGTTAATTGTTAACTGATTTGGGAATTGCCAGCGGAAGATATTTAACAATTAATTCTCGGGTATAAATCAATGGTAATTTAAACTGATAGGAAAGGTTAATTGTTGAGAAATAGGAAAGTTAATCAAATCAAATGATTCGGTGAATACTAATCATCAATGATTTGGTTTGATGAGAGGAAAATTTGATTGTTACTATTGAATGGAAAACGTTGATTTAGTGAAAGTGTAACAATCAATCAAATTCAATTAGTTTTTTTATTATTAATTTTACAATAAACCAATTTGTGTTTTCTCAATGAAACTTATGGAATTAGAAAATTTTGTTTTTTTTAAATAAAAGGATAAACAGGAAAAGGAAATGATGAAAGTTGGATGTTGATGAGTTTCGTAAGTAAAGATAATAGTATTTCTTTTGGTTGCTTTTCGTTATTAGATAAATCATTTTGTTAATCTGATTTTTATGATTGAGGTGATTTGGTTTGATTAAATCTGAATGACTTTAAATATCTGATTGTTTATCCTCTTGGTGTGTTTGTGTATATGAATGAAAGTGTAAATTAGTTATGGCAAAGGTGATTAGAGGTGAATCAGAAAATTAATTGTTGGTGAGATGCTTTTTCGTGGGGGCTGTTGGGTTGTTGTTTGCGTCTTCGAGAGTTAATTATAAATTGGTACGAGAAAAGATGAAAGTCAATCTCATCGTGCAATCAATTTCAATTATGTTGTACAGAGAGGAAACTGTTGAATCTCATTGAATTGATCAGAATGGTGATTACATAATATGGATCGTGGTGAATGATGGTGACGATGTTGATGATCAGTAGCAGCGGATGTTCAATTAAACTGAAGGCAGTACAATTAATTAGGTAGGTGAATGATCAAGACAATCCTCCAAGGCAATTTCATTATTATGGTACTACAAGTATATCAAAAGGAGTTTTTTTTTCTTCTTGTGATTTTTTTTTCTCTCGATATTTACAGAAAGATATTGCTTATTGGTGGAATTGGTGTTTTCATGGACCAACAGTTGATTCTGGTGAATGTTTTGCCTTCTTCTTTTTCTTGTCTTTCTTTTTCTTTTTTCTTTCTTTGTCATCTTCGTGTTTTCTTTTATTCTTGTGCTTCTTTTCGTGTCCCCCAGAAGATGCGGTTTCTAAAACTTCCATTTGTATATCAGGATTCGTTTCCTCTGATTTATGTTTTTTCTTTGACTTGTGTTTCTTTTTAACTATGGGTTGATTCATGAGTCTATATTGTTCAGGTAACTGTTGATGGAGAAAGAAAAGTAAGATTGAGATTTAGGAATAATAATAATCAACAACGTTTTATAAGAGGCGAGAAAAAGCAGAAAAACTCAATTAAACTCACTGGTCCAGGATGTAATCTGAAACCAGCTAGTTGATTCTGTGTTAAAGGTAGTATTTCTTTTCCTCCTATCGGTGGTTTTTCCATTAGACTTCGTAAACTGTGTGAATATTTAAATTAAAAAGAGAAAGATGATAATAGTTAATTAACAAGAATAATCATCAAAGAAAGAGAAATATCAAATAACAGAAAATGAGATCAAATTGTGAATCGAAATACAAACCTATCATTTTGAGTCGCAGGTACGTCAATGTTTCCAGGTAAATTGGGAAGAAATGCACTTAATTGATCTTTAATTTTCCGGCCACAACAAAATTTAGAGAAAGAATGTTCCAGATTATAGTATTTAATCAAATTTGTAGAGCCAGTTAGCTCACTTTCAACTGTAGTAATAACATTGATCATATTATCAAAGAGTAGAAGGAGAAACAGAATAATAAATGAGATTAGAATTCACATTTAAACCATACATGAACACTATTCGATGAACGATGTTTTATCAACTGTTGCACTTACCTCCAGGCTCTTTCATCAAATAAAATGGTCCACTGTGAACAATAGCTGGTGTTTTACCGAGCGAAATTGTTGTTTTTAAAGTTCCTGTGGTGTCTTGTCTGTTCACTAATGGAGACCGAGAACCTCTTGGGCTTGACTTAGGTGAATATTGGTCCCCATTAGTCCGCCGAACAGTTTCTGTAATCATTTGTCTGATTATTGTTTTACAGTCAATCCAACAAATTAAAGGAAAACCTCAATTAAATCTAATTGAGTAAAATATAAATAGAAATTAATAAACAATTAAAAACTAAAAAAACCAAAACAAGAAAATTTTTGTCAAAAAAGAATCAGGGATCGTATCTTAATAAAAATACGAAGGAGGGAATAGTTTAAATATAAAAATCGGTAAAAAAAGTGAAATTTAATTTGATCATTTATTAGATAGGAAAAAATTATGATTAATTTAAATTATTACAGTTATTACATAGATGGAAATATACATATATGGCATAATGTTGAAGATGACGAAAGTATTGTTGATATGGTTGTTGATTCTTCATTCCGATTGTGGTTCTTATATGAAGATTTTTTTTCTTTACAATTAACTTAATTTCCAATTGATGATTAATTTCTGATTTTCTTGGGTCGTCATTTGATTTAAAGTTATTTGACTGAGAGAGAAATGAGATTGTTGATTTTCTTCCTTCAATTCAAATTAGGAACTTGGAGAATCTGAACCATTTCGGTGGAAAATTTTAATATCGTTGAATTCATGGTTAATATATTTTCGTAAAAGTCATTTAACTTTGATAATTTTCGAGCTTCGTTTTCATCTTGGACTTGTTGCCTTCGAACTTCAGCCTTAACTTATTGACGACAAGTAATTAGAATACATTTTCCATATTGACGATAATGTTTATGTCACTTGGGTAGAAAAGATTAAGACAAATTAAATTGTTTTTTAGTTCATTTGAAAATCAACTATTCTTACCTTTGATCAAGCAAATTTGTTGATCAGCTGATGATCAAAGTACAAAACCGATGGACCTGGTTTTGGAACTGGACTTTCCGCTGATCAATTATCCATTAATTCAAATCGATAATTGCTAATGATTTGAGAACTTAATGTTTAAGATGGCGAAATTATATTATGAAGCAAAAAAGAAGAGCAAAAAATAGTTGTTTGGGAAAAAAGTTTTTCTCAGTCAAAATGAGTTAGTTTTTCTACTCTCATGTATAAGGAACCATTGAATTGTAATTAACTGGTGAACAATTAACTTTCCAGTGCATTTCGATGAATTTAATTTTCCAATTATCATCAGCAACATGTGGATTTTTAATTAAACCAAAAGCACTTTCAAAAACACCATCAGGTTGACTGCAATTCTTGTAGATAACACCGTTAACTTGAATCTTAATCAATCCATGAGTTTCCATGTAACAATTAATATCTTTATATAGATTAGGTTCAAATGAATATTGGAAATGATTAACTGCATTTTTAATTGCTTCGATTGTTGGTAAATCTCCATTAGCTGAAAATGGGATGTTTTCCCCTTGGGCAGTTGAAATGGTTCCAGCGACCATACAATCAGACCAAAAATGCTGCGGACCAAAAACCGCTGGATTATTAACATCATTCAGTAAATTATAAAACCATTTCGAAAATGATGTTCCCATTGAAAGTAATTTATCGTCTGTTAACTGATTTGATTGGAGATTCAATGAATTATAATCAGGAATTGAATTTTCCATCTCACACATTTCCCAATCAATTGTCTGTAGAAAAGATTAAAGGTAAGAACAAAAACAATTAAAGAAACAAAATTAACCAAAATTTATGATATAATTTACCTCACTGGATATCGATGAAACTTGCCAATAATTTAAACATTTATGAATTAATTCAGTTTTATCACATCTCGGAGAAACTTCAACATTTACCTCTTTCAAATATCTAAACAGTAAATCTTTAGTAATCTTTTTACGCTTGAGAATATCAAGTGAGTCTTTACAGTATTTAATAATCGCTTGGACAGCATCTAATAAGAACATTTAAAAGAAAAATAAAACAACAATTAAATTAAATTAAAATCATTTTCCCTAATTTAAACTCACCATTTGGATTGTCAGTTTTAACTAATCCATTTGTTATTGTTGCAACAAACGCTATCAAATCATACGATGGAATCATCTTCAACAATCCAATAATCCCATGTTCTTCAGCTGGAGATAAACCCATATCACCAATAGTTAAACTAATTAACATGTCACGAAAATAAAATTCATTCCTAATTAACTAACTATAAACAATAAAGTGAAAAACCAAATCAAACAGAAAAGTAAACAAACTAATCCAATGATCAAATTTCAGCGTTTCCATTGGCAACGAGTTGGCGCGGTTCTTTTGAAAAGAAAATCAAACGAAATCAACTAATTGCTTTTCCAACGAAACTTGAAGAAAAAAAGAGAAATCAATTAATTTAAAATAGAAAAAACTATTCACAGATTTAATGAGTAAACAGACGGGAGTGTAATGATACAATCTTGATCATAAATTGAGAACATGATCATTTTGTAATAAACAAAACCCAAAAGTTTTATCTGTTACCATGTCAACCAATTGTGATGGACATTTAGTTACCAGATTTTATTAACGATGATTAGTCAAGAACTGGTAGACTAATGGTAACTAATTAAACAGAATTAATTAAAATGATCCAATGAGTTAATCTTTGTTTTAATTCTCTTTTAAGTTATTCAACTCCTCTTACCTTTGAATTTTCCCTTGTCGATTAACCTTTAATTTACTTGGTTTCACAATTTCTTTTATTCTAATTGTTTCAATAATCTGAGTTTTTTTTTCTCCTACCATGGGCTCAGCAATCAGTTCTCTCTTTCAAAGTCTATTTGGATCGAAAAAAGTCCGAATTATGATGGTTGGACTGGAAGCCGCTGGAAAAACAACCATCCTTTATAAGCTTAAACTCGGTGAAATTGTCACCGGCATTCCTACCATAGGTGAGTTGATTCTTTGGTAATTCTATTGTTTTGGTTGTTCCATTTAGTATTTTTTTTGTCAGGTTTCAATGTTGAAACGGTTGAATATCAGAATATCAGTTTCACTGTTTGGGACTTTAGTGGACAAGACAGGATTCGGTCACTTAGGAGGCATTACTTTCAGAATACCGAAGGCCTTATTTTTGTGGTCGATTCTAACGACAGGGAGAGAATAGGTGAAGTTCGTGAAGATTTGGATCGAATGTTGGCTGAAGATGAGTTGAGAGATGCAATTCTCTTAATTTTTGCCAACAAACAAGTATGTAAATGTTGTCAAGAAAAAGGATTGTCAATAATCAAATTACAACCAGTTATCTAAAAAGCTTACGTGTTCCTCTCATAATTTTTACCTTTGACTTTTGTCTCTGTTGAAATTTGGTTTTCTTCTTTCTTTAAAAGATCAATTAATCTCTCACCTTGACACATTTTCTATTATCTTTTCTTTTAGGATCTCCCAAATGCCATGAATGCTGCTGAAATTACCGATAAACTTGGTCTTCATTCCCTTCGTAGTCGCAACTGGTACATACAAGCAACTTGTGCGACAAGTGGTGATGGTCTTTACGAAGGTCTTGATTGGCTTTCAAGTCAATTAAAAAATTCAAAATAACATCAACGCAAATACAACACAACACACACACACAGTATAAGATCAACCAGCAACAACAATAAGTGAACCAGAGATGTATTAATACAAAACAAAATGAATGATACAAAAAATACCACCAACATATAATACCAAAATTATTTGCCTTTTAAAGTGTTTTCTTTGAAAACAAAATTTATATTATTTAACGAAAAATTTGATTTCTTTTTTGATTGAAAAACCAAATCAACAGAAAAGTAAACAAAGTTTGTTTAACAAACTAATCCAATGATCAAATTTCAGCGTTTCCATTGGCAACGAGTTGGCGCGGTTCTTTTGAAAAGAAAATCAAACGAAATCAACTAATTGCTTTTCCAACGAAACTTGAAGAAAAAAAGGAGAAATCAATTAATCAATCAATTAATTTAAAATAGAAATAGAAAAAACTATTCACAGATTTAATTAATTATGAAAAAAACAGAGAGTCTAACTGAATGGAAGAAGAAAAAAAAATATCTCCAACCCTTGACAGAGTAAAAGTTTGTTGTTACCTCTTAATTGTTGACTCATTTTCGTCACACTGTTATCCTAATTAAAGATTGATTAACACAAACTCCAGAATCTAATGTAACCTAGAAACTAGATTTTTGAGAATAGTTCAAATTACTCATAGAAATAAATGCCAACTTTGTTAATCATCATCTTCGAGTTGACATAAAGATTAGAACTTTGAAATTTCAAAACTGTCTCCATTTTCATCCTCATCATCACCGAGAAGATTTTGATTCAGTTATAATCAACTTCATATACAATCAACCTTCACAATAAAACTAATTCGAAATCATCTTTCCTTATCCTTATCCTTATCCTCATCATCCTCATCCTCATCCCTTTAATCATCCAAAAAAAAAGTAAACAAATTGTTTCAATCCAAAAATGAAAAAAGCTTTTAACTCAGTTTTTAAAAACAAATCAACAACGGAAAAGAATCAAAATGAAGATCAAGGTAATAATCAAACAATTAAATGTTCCAATCAACAATTAAAGACTAAATCTACTAACCAATTTTCTTAATCCTCCTCCATTTAACAAGCGCAATAATCAGGATCAAAAATAACAATCAGCTAATAATAAATGATGAGAAACAATCAACAGATTAACAGATTAATTTACTCACAACAATAAACCAAATTAAGCTCAAATGTTTAGATGTTTCCAATTGAAACAAATCGTTAATTATATTAACTTAATCGTCATTTAAATCATTTCCTTGATCATCATCATCATCATCATAATCATCATAGTCTTTCAACTACAATTTATTTTTTATTTTACAATAAACTAACTGTTAACTACCGTAATTAAATATAAATAGTCTGTGTAACTGTGTTACATCTCACTCAACAGTAACTTAGGAAAATCTAATCAACAACTAAATTTAGTTTCTCTTTTCTAATTAGTTAAAAGTCATTGAAAGTCTTTAACATGTTCAACTGATTGTTTAACTTTTCTTTTGTTTTTCGTGTCTTTTTTTTGTCATATTGTAATCAACTGATTTAACTATTCTAGTAACTAATCTGGATAAAGGTGAATCAAAATCATCATTAACAATCAGCGGTGATAATAATAATAATAATAGTGAAAAATTTACCACCAACACCAATATCATCGAGTAGAGGTAAAAGTACAAGTACAATTACTTTACCAATTGATTGTAACAATATGGATACAGCAATTAATTCAATTAACTCCAAACAAGGTAAGCCAATATTAACAACCGGAACTCAATCAATATCGACTAAATCATCATTATCATCATCGTCATCATCATCCAAACGTATTCAAAGATATGCTAGTCAAGAGTTGGGTCAAATTGATTCACATTCAAAGATCAGTAATACAACAACAACAACACCACCGCCATTGGGAAGTAAAATTAAGTCAAATTTTAATAATACAAGTCCAACAATTAAAAGTTCATTGAGTATCTCGTTGGATAAATCACTTGATTCAAGATTATCATCAGTTTCCAAAGAGCAAGGATTAACCTTATTCTGCCCTTCATCACCAGGTACACCCGAAAGTGATCAGCCAATTGTGACCTCGCCGAGTTCCGATGGTGAGAGTAACAATTTAAATGAGCAAAGTGTTAATAACAATCAAAGTGACAAATCATCATCAGTGAAGTTTGAAAAACACCAAAGTACAACCTCTTCCGCTGCTAAATCTAAATTTATGTCCAATGAAAGTGGACTAATGAGCGAGAAAAAAGTGGCCAATCATCAAGAATCTCGTCGATTACAATCAGCTGATCGATTATTCGAGGAACGTGTAGCGGCCAAAGATATTACAGCTAAATTAGAATCTCCCCTTGAAGGTATTAAAGCCTCTTCCAAATTGTCATCTTACCGACAAGATGCTCGAGCAATAAAGTTACACGCTGATTCCTCAATTACCTCGCAACAATCATCGACCAAAAGTTCAGCGTTTAAAATGTCCACCGAAGAACTTTGTCCCGGAGGTAAGTCAAAGTCTTCCTTTGAATCTCAATCATCAATTCGAACGGAGGAAAAGGCCGTTAAAACCTCGAAAACATCATCATCTTCATCATCGTCAACACGATTCTTTGCCACCAAATCATCGTCATCAACAATCACCTCATCAGCTGATTCACCGATAATCACTGAGCCACTTTCTCCAAGTGACCTGACCAGTTTTACCTCACCTTTTGACATGGACTTTAAAATGTTATCCCTTAACTCACCCTCGACGGGTACCGATCGTTTCATTGACAGTGCTGGTCCAGATTCATTTGCATTCACCAATTTACTTAATCAAATTGCTTCTAAATTTTCCGGTCTCGTTGATTCACTTAAATCATGTCCCAAAGAGGAATCTCTCGAACTATTAAAATCTCTCAATCGAGCCATGGAAAAAGCGCTTTCAACAAAATACGCGCCCGAAAAGGTTTACCTTAAACTATCTGATCTACTACGAACCGGCGGTGGACTGGACGTTATAATTGAAAACTGTGGCTTGGCCGAGATTGATTCTGAAGTGAAATTTCAATCGGCCAAATTGCTGGAGCAAACACTTTCCCCCGATAATCGGTCTTATATTGTCGATAATGGTCTGAGTAAAGTGGTCACCGTGGCCTGTGACTATTCAAACACGAACATTGTTGACCAAGAGCGAGTCGGAACTGGAATTTTAAATCAACTATTCAAAATATCAGAGGAAACATGTAAAGATATCATTCGCAAAGGTGGCCTGAAAGCGATCGTCTATCAGTGTCGAAACACCGATGATGAGATCTTGCGACATTGCGCCTCAGCCTTAGCGAACCTTTCCCTCTACGGTGGACCAGAAAATCATGCATCCATGATCAAGGAACAAGCACCCATGTGGCTTTTCCCGTTAGCCCATCATACCGATGATAATATCGCTTATTACGCTTGCCTTGCAATCGCTACTCTAATGGCCAATAAAGAGATCGAAGCTTCGGTCCTAGCGACCGAAACTCATGAGCTAATTGAACCTTTTATTACCGATCGAAGTCCAGAAGAGTTTGTCGCTCATTCCGACTTCCATTCGCGAGGCCAGTCAACCGAATGGTTAAAACGATTAGCTCTTGTCCTCGAATCAGATCGATCCGAAGCTCGTAGCCTGGCGGCTTTTCATTTCGCAATGGAGGCCTGGATCAAAAAGCGACAAGGGAAAACCAAAGTAAGTCGTTAATCACAATTAAGTTTCATTCATTAACAAACAAGTCATAATTACCATCCATTAACTATAAATAGTGTTAACCTAATTAACTATTCAAATGAATTGAGGAAAACATTTTGTACCAAACGTTTGCCTTTAAACGCAGTTAATCAACAATCATTTTAATTGTAACCGATAAGAGGCTTACAGATTAACACTAATCTCATCAAGTACATATTTAATTAGTACGTTAAAAATGAGTCACGACAATTAATCACAATTTAGATTGAAATTTTGATTTTGATTCAAACAAAAAAGGGAAACCACCAATTAGTTAATATGAATAATATTCAATATGATAAAAAGGTTTGACGATTAATTGTAATAATTGTAATGATTGATAGATTTTCGAGGAAATCGGAGTAATTGACCGGTTGAAACGAGTGGCCAGTTCACCCAATGCCACGGCCTCCAAATACGCTTGTCAAGCGCTCAAGTACATGGGTCAAGGTGTTCCCCATAAACTGTCCCAACAAGTTCCGCTTTGGACTGTCCAAGATGTGAAAACGTGGATCGAACAAGTTGAGTGGCAATTAACGACAAATTATTGATAATTAACGCAAAATTGTTGTTCTTTTATCCATCAGATTGGTTTTAAAGTTTTCACGAAAACATTTGAAGAGTCCAAAGTTGACGGTGATTTATTGTTACAATTAACTGAGGATATGTTGATTAACGATGTCGGTATAGCCAATGGTATATTGCGAAAACGTTTCCTCCGTGAATTGGGACAATTAAAACGTATAGCTGATTATTCATCATGTGATACACTTAACCTTTTTCACCTTTTAAGGTCATTGGGTCAAGTTTATCCTCAGTATACTTATAACATGTTAAAAGGTGGGGTTGAAGGTGAGACAGTTAAGTTTGTCTCGGAGGATCAATTAGCTCAAGAGTGTCACATAGATAACAGTATTCATCGGTTTAAAATTGCTGAAGCAATTAAGAGTAAGTTGATTGTGATTAAATTCGTGATTGAAAATAACACTTTTTCCAATTAATTCGTAGACTTGACCAACATCGGTGCCGAAGATTCAAACGACGCAAAGAAATCGTTAGATGCTTTCATCAGTTATCGTCGGTCAAATGGTTCACAACTCGCAAGGTTCGTAAGCTAAATTGTGGCTGATTCGTTAATCCACTAGTTGAACTAATCCATTAATTGTTGATCACTTTTTCTTTTTCACCAGTTTACTTAAAGTTCATCTTCAATTGCGAAACTTTTCCGTGTTTATTGACATCGAAAGACTCGAAGCGGGTAAATTTGATTCTAACCTATTGAATAGCATAAAGCAGGCCAAAAATTTCATCTTAGTTTTAACACCAAACGCTCTGGATCGTTGTCTTGCCGATGAGGAGGGTAAAGATTGGGTTCACAAAGTAAGTCTAATTGTTCATAACAATTATCTTAATTGCTCTAATCATCAATCAATTTTCAACAGGAAATTCAAGAAGCTCTTGCTAGTAAATGCAATATAATCCCGATTCTTGATAACTTCCAATGGCCTGATCCTGAAACTTTACCAGACGATATTAAAGCGATATGTTATTTCAATGGAGTCAGGTTGGTGTCTCTTTAATTGTTTGGGCTAATTGTGGATCGTCATCTATTATATGAGTGAATTAAATAGTAACTGTAAATAGATTAGAGGAGAGAGAGAGAGAGGAAAAAAAGATGAGGATGGAAAAATCTTGGCATCGAATTGGAATTATTCCTCTTCTTGGAGGAGAGAGAGAGAGAGAGAAAAGCGTGTCAAGAGTTTTTAAAAATGAGTTCGAAACTGTCAGAACGAATTACTTTTCTCGAAGAATTTCTGTTTCTTTCGTATTTTAATTCGAATCGCAATTGAAATTAATTGTTTTCCTTTATCGTCATTATCAAGATGGATCCACGAATATCAAGATGCTTGTGTAGATAAACTCGAAAGGTTCATGAGAGGGGAAATCAACTCTCGAATCGATACCATATTTCCCAAGGGATTACCTCTTCATGGAATCGTTCCTGGGACTCCGGGGACACCGATTCGAGTTCACGGATATCCGAGAGCGGGTTCGATTGATGGACTTCGATCTCCACCCGAAGTGTCCAAATTGGCTGAAAAGGGATAACTAATTGTCTCCAATTGATATAATTATATCAACTTTTTTTTTCGTTTTGTTTTGATATTCGTATATAAAAATATATACCAATCAGTTAATTGTTGTTTCTCTTCATTTAATTGTACAGACAAAGAAAATTAAATGAAATTGTTAGAGGAAAAAAGTTTTACCATTGTTTCATTACAATTATTATTATGTTACTTAATTAATAACATAATAACAATAATAAAAAATATATTATATTAATTGTGAGTTTTCAAAATTAGAATTAAATTTGTTGTTCAATTGTTAAAATACATTAACAATTCAATTGTTTCCAATTGATTGTGTTCATGGTGAGTGAGATAACAGTGAGAATACAATATTAATTTAATTTGTATTAGACTATTAAAAAAAAATGTTAATTGTTGATTAGGAGAGGAGAGATTAGGAAAAGTAAGTATAACAAAATCGTTGATTGTTGATCGTTGTTGTTTTGGGATTTCCTTTCAATTGCGTCCAGCAATTAAATTTTGACTAAAATAATCATCGTAATTGATTAATACATTTCTAAGGAAATTATTTACATTCGGTGTTGAATTGTATTTATCGTTTCTCTCAATTATAACCTTTAATTGTTAATTTAATTAACGTTGGCAGGCCATGAGAAGGAGATCTTGTCTTTAGCAGTTTTCTTGAAAACTGGTGTTGATTGATTACAATTAGAATCAATTGTAATACATTTAGGTTTATTACCAAGTTGACATTGAATTGTTGCTCCAACTGAAACACTTAAATTACGTCGATGTAATCTATTGGTAATTAAACAGGTAATTAAGAAAAGAGAGAAAGAAAAAAAATTAAGATACAATTAATCCTAAATTGATTGATATAAATCAATAGAAGAGGTAAAAAAATAATGATAACATTAACAAGTTGATTAATCAGAGAGATGATTTCAAATATATAAATGTTTTTAATTGCCCTTGAATGAGAAAATTAAGTAAATTGTGATTTAATCATAATAACAATCATTGATTATTATCAACAATTTAGTGGGCTGGCAAAGGAAATTTAAATTGTGAAGATACAGAAAATTCATTCTCATGAAATGACTAATGAATTTAAGACTCTAATTTTTTGTTCGTAATATAAATCAACTAATCAACTAATCAACTAGTTTTTTTCGTAGGCGTTCTCATCATGTTAGTAGGTAGGGAATTGATTCTTTGGAAATATAAATTTTTTTTTTCTTCCAAACTTGAAAATCTATAATTAACTTGAGACTAAAAATAAGTTCCAAGTATTGGTGATGAGTTTTGATGTAGAGGAAAATTTTGTTTGTTAAGAAATTGACATTACAGGGACACACTTTTCTTTTTAATTAAAGGTTAAGATTAATTACTTACGTGAAATATTGTCTCAATAAAATGGCAATTAGTTCACCTGTACGATTATGGGCACTGTGATTATCTCCATTATCGATTATGGTGAACACAAAATCGTTACAATTTTTCATGTGAATGATAATTAATTGATCACGACCAGGGGACACACTAATTCGGGTTATTTCTGATAAGGCGATTCCACTTTTAAGTGGTTTGAATGATTTAATGTCCAGTTTGTAGATACTTTGATTGGTTATAACGAAAGCTCGATCAGCTGTTTTATTGAAACGATTCACCTTCTTGATGAAACTTGAGAAAAGTATTGTCTCAAATGCGTCTTTGCCCAAATTTCGTGTTGAACTTTGGAAAAGGTCATAATTTTCATTATTACTTTTCATTGACAAATAATTTCCTTCCCACCGTTTATCGTGACCCCAATCGGTTTTACGGCCACGTAAAACTTCAACTGCAATGACCTTCAAATGCATTTGAGTCCAATCTTCTCGAGGTATTTTCCTTAGCACCATGTACGCTCTCCATTTGGCATAGATCGGTTTCAATATTCCAATACCTCGATTTGATTTAAGGGTCGACGGAGGGGTTGGCCAGGTTATCGATTTACCGAAATCAGGTAGATTTTTGGCTCCACCGTAAAGTCTAAGAAGTTCAAGGAGATAATCTCGTATTCGACATCGTCTATAGAATCGAATAATGACCAACGCTGCTTTCATACGTCGATATCTAAGTCGAACTAATGTTCCTCGAACCATCTAGAGAGAGAGAGAGAGAGAGAGAGAGAGAGAGAGAGAGAGAGAGAGAGAGAAGAGAGAAAGAGAGAAGAGAGAGAGAGAGAGAGAAATGAATTAGTGAGTTTCTGTTTTGATTCAATTCTCTTATTACCTTTTGAAGTAGAATAACAATTCGAGGGATCAGTCGACTTCTCTCTTCTTCGAGAAAGTTCAATGTTTGCGGTGAACGAATGAAAATTTTTGTTTTTCCATATCTAACATCGGTCTCCAATTCGGGAAAGTCCATCATTAAACGGGCGACAGCATGATGGTCAGATCCAAGGGACGGTGGATAGTTGGGCCAAGTTACAGAAGAAACCATTTTATATCGACGTAAGAAACGATCATAGGTCATTCTGGAAGCGAAACCAGCTCGACGAACTCTAATATTTTCCAACAAACCGAGATATTCAATTTGATGTTGAACTCTAACCACGTCAAAAATGACCGGAGACTTATTATCATTTGGTTTAATACAACGAACGTAAAAAGGTTCTTTGGACATTAAAGTATTGACCAGTGCAATCATCGAACTCTTAAAAAGAGTCCCCGCTGTTAAAGGTCGTTTGTTAACCTTCATCACATGTTGAGCGCCATCGGGCCACATTGATTTGATCAAAGGTGAGGTTGAATTGTAACACAGGCGTTTGAAATCTTGGAAAAGTGTATCCTTATTTTTATCGAGAAATCCTTTAATACTATAAGTCACATCACCGGCATAATGTTTCACTCGAAAGTCCCGATTATGTTCAAGACTTTTTTCTGCTGGACGAAGTCGCCGACTAACATAATGAGCATGATTGGATAGCTTTTTGTCCATATTTTCCAGTAAAATTTCATCGGTAACTTTTCCAACATTAAGACAGGCCTCATCTAGAATAGCGATTATACCCTTATGCGGCTCCTCGATCAGGTCACAAATAATTGAATTGTTAAAGTAATCAATGTGTTTCCATTCAATTCCCTCTCTTTGGTACTCTTCTTGTTCCTGTTTAAGTACCAATTCAATGAACAATTGTTGCAATTTTTCATTACAATAATTGATACATAATTGTTCAAATGAATTGATATCGAAAATTTCAAAACCATAAATATCCAAAACACCAATAACAGTCCGTTTACCACAATAAGATAATTGATCTCGAGTAAGTTCATCAACTTTAATCGCTTCATTAATCTTATCGGTAATCCATGAAAAGAGACGCTCATAAATGGCTTTAGCAAAAGCATCTTGACCATAACTGGCCTCAGAGACATTGTGTTTCTTTGAGACCACATCACCGCCCGCAGCGATAACCCGTTGACATAGACTTTCAGTTAAATCTTTTTCACTGATGGACAATAGTCGACACATATATTCAATGTGACGCTTAGATGAGTCCAAAATGAAGGAAACCTCTTTCTCCTCATCCCAACCGAATTCAATATTACCAAGGTGTAAAATGGAGGCCAAAATTTTCCAAATATGTTCCGTTTCATCTTCGGTAAAACCAAGAATCGTCGCTGCACTGGTAACTTTACGAAAATCCATCCGATCATCAATATTAACAACTATTGGTGTTTTACCTTGAGACAGGTAACGATAAGTTAAAGGATCTTTCTTCAAACCAAGACGAGTAAGTGTTTGATCATTTGAACCAGCAATTAGTTGATAAAATGAATGAAAATTACGTTCACCTTCATGTTGTTTAATTACTCGAGATTTTTCCAATAGATATTTGTTTATATGTCCACCAACAGGATCTCCTTTAAAGTCAAAAACAATCTCCATGTATTTACCAAATCTACTTGAATTATCGTTACGATTTGTTTTCGCATTACCAAAAGCTTCAAGAATACAATTTGAATTGAGTAAAACATTTTTAACTCTTTGAACTTCACCTTGATTCCTGGTAATTGCGGCAATATAATTCATTATTATCTTTGATGCTTCCGTTTTACCTGAACCAGATTCACCGGAAATAACTATACAGGTATCTTTGATTTGTTGCTTCATTGTTTTATAAGCTGAATCAGCGATTGCAAATAGGTGAGGTGGACGTTCAAAAATTTCTCGGCCCTTATAATCATTGATAACCCCGGGGCCATAAATGTTCATGGTTCGATAAGGATTTATGGTAACACATACTTCACCAATGTAAGTGTAAATTTTACCGCAATTAAACCTTTAATTAGGCGTAAAGAGTAAGAGAGAGAGAGAGAGATAGAGAAAGTTAGTGAAAAGAGAAAAATATGAGAAAAGAAGAGGAACAAAATTAGAGGAAATGGAGGTAAAAAAGAGAAAATTTTTAGAAAGAATATTAAAGTAATTAGAAAATGGAGAAATTGGAAGATTATTATGATTATGTGATTAGAATTGATTAGATGGTTAACCTGGTCAAGTCTCTTTATTATTATTACAATAACAGTTTTGAATTTTAAACAAACAGAAAAAGAGGTTAACTGTTTGATTAATCTAATTGAAGATTAAACAACAACAACAACAACAACAAAGTAATCAAAATGAATGACTAACTGAAACTGACGGTGATAATGAGATGATGATAAAAGTTGTTTACAAATCAACTTTATCTAGATGAACAATAATACTAACAAGATGAGTTAAAAGCTATAATATTTTGTTATCGGAAACAATTACAACTCAATCATGTAATGTAGGTGAAAGTGTTTAACATTGTAATGATTAAAGATAATAGGTTAAGACAGAAGAAGAAGAAAAAATTGAAATAATAGTAAATAGTAAAGTATGAACAAAAAAAAACCACCATAATCACAACCATAACCACAACACAAGCGAAAACACAACAAGAACAACAAAGATGCAAAATCATCTTCTTTTTGATTGATCTCATTGTTATTGATGATCCAAAACAATAAGCACATAGAAAGAGATACAAAATTTACAAAGGGACAAGGTAATCAAAAGGAAGATCAATCCACCGAAAAGAATAGAAAAAAGAGAAACAAACAAACAAAAAAGAATAGAATAAATTTTCAAAAAGAAAATGAAACAAAATGTTTACCTCGCCTTAAAATTATCAAGAATAGATTGACAATTAATCTCATTGAGAAGCACTAGATCATCAACAGTTTGAGCCATAGTTTTGTGATGATGGTTATCAAAGTGATGGAAATGTTGTTACCACAAGAATATCACAAACGGTTAAAAGGTGACACAATTAGATGACAATTAGAAAGTGACAATTAATATTAATCAACCAGAAGAAAAAATTATCAACAGGCAAAAGTTACACCAACAAGTAAATGATAAACAATGAATTCAATGAATCAAGAATGAAGATTAATCCGAAATTCGATTCGAACGCCATCTGGTGGATTGATTGGTCATAAAAAAGAATAAAAATTTAATCAAATTATCGAACCTCCTTTTTTATTACCTTTCTCTTTGTTTCTCTCTCTCTCTCTCTCTCTCTCTCTCTCTCTCAGGTGTTTATTCAATTCTCGTAAACCACACCTAACATGGAATCGGAAAACAATCAACTATCATCATCTCGTAAATTCATGAACCAAACTAGGAAACTTTGGTTGAATCAGTGAATCTTTTTTGTTCAAATTCATTCATCTCTGAATCGATTGATAATTTGATGAAATTTTTTTTTTCTTCTTAATTTCTATCATCAAATTAAATCCATTATTCGCTGTTAATTCATTGGCCTTTTCTTTTCAATGATTCTCTTCCTTAAATATAATAATATGAAGAAGAAGTTTTGATTTACCTGAGGTACTTTTCCCATCGATAATCCGAATCAATTAATAATCCATTGGGAAGAAATTAAAATCCTTTTAAGAGAAAGAAAAATTTTCTCATTGACAATTTTTGATTCTTTTTCTTGTTGTTCATCATAATCATCGTAATTATGTTTACACTTGATTGATTGTTAAGTGTTGATTGTTGATTGTTGTCATTTGGTAACCTTGATTAACCTTTAATCCTCTCTGCCAGTTTTTAATCAAAACGATTAACTGATTCACTAATGTAAACTTAATTGACTGTGGTTGATAATGTTACTTGATTTGTTCATGATTAACTTTAACTACACTTTTGATTAGTTGATTAATTGATGATTAGGAAACAATTAAAGTATAAACTTTGCTAATTAGTTTGATTTTACTTTGTTTACTATGTAATTATTATTGATTATTGAATTTAAATTGGTTCTTCTTACCATGATGATTAACAATCAAATTGATTCATTTGGGTCTAAGTTTTTTGTTGTTGTTTAAATGATTAATAAATGATAACAATTTATGATTATCGTTGATGTATAATCATTGATGCACTTTGATTAATTGATGAAAGCAAATTTATTGATCACAATTAACTAAATCTAATCCATTTAATTGTATCGTTTATCGATCAACCTTGTTTCTGATAATCATCTTAATCTTGATCGTTATTAGATAAATGATTAAGATGATTAATCTAAACCTATCATCAAAATTAACGCGAACCTTTGATTATTACAATCAATTGATCACGAAAAACTTTTTTCCGTAAAGAAAAAGTTAATTTCACTTTTTTTTTCTCAATCACAATTAATAATCAATACGATTTTCAATTCTAAATTTAATTTTAACTCCGTTGTTTAAATCATAGTTAAACTTTCAAACCACAATTAAAGTTTTTTTTTAAATAATATAAAATTAATATGAAAAATGATCACTTGTTGATTGTTGGGAATCAAGAAAAATAAATTGTTTCTTAATCAATTGTTTCAATTGTTGTTTGAGAGTGAAAACTTTTCTATCAATTGTAACTAATAACAGTTACATATTGATAACAATTTATAAATATTTAACAATATAATATATTCAATTATAATTCATAATTTATCACTCATCTTTTAATCAACTCTATAATTAAGTTAATTGTGGTTTTTGGTGAGCAACAAAAAAAGTATTTAAATACGATCATCAAACCAATCAGATTAATCATTTCAATATTTGGTCAGTTGTTGGTCAGTTTAACTTTTCCCAATTTACTAATTGTGATTTGTGTTCAATTGGACTAATATAAGAAAAATTTTCATCGTTAAATTTGATCAACTTTAAAATCAATATTGTGACAATCAATCAATCAATCAATAAGCAAGACACTTGGATTAACTTCAATATTTACAATTAACTAATCTTCATCATGTTACCAAATCGTTGTAATTTTTTCATTAATTGTTTACTAATTGTGTTAATTTTCGTGTTAATCAATAATGTTGATCAATCAGTTGGAATGAAGAAAAAAATGTTTCGTAAATTGAAAAGTATGTTTAGTTCAAAGGCCAAGAAGTTAATTATCCTTCCAATACCAATACCGTAAGTGATTTGGATTTGTAACAATTAACTGTGTTTAATAGTAACAATTAAGTTAACCAGGAATCAAAAATTTACCACAATTGAAAAAACCAAAAGTAATAGTATTAATTGAAACGAGATAGAGAAAAATTTTTCATCATTTTGAGTTTTGATTGTGATTCATTTTGATTAATTGTGTTAACCGGATACAAATTATAATGAATTTTGCTAATCACTGAATCATTTATTGATTAGGAAAATTAATCAATCATTTCAATTGTGTTTATTTTTCTGATTCTGTTTTAATTCAAAGTTTCATGATGGACGATAAAAAGTTTGGTAGCTTTGGGTTAATGAGCGGTGGACTTGGAGGTGGACTCGGCGGTGGACTTGGTTCAATGTTAACTGGACACATGATGACACCATCGAGTGGACAAATGGACCCATGGATGATGATGTCCATGATGGATTGTCCAGAAATGATGACCATGGAAGATGGTTCAACAAATGGACACAATTTAAAGCCAAACATCCCAAATACTGGACATCATCAAGAAGGTAAAACTTATATCACAAGTCCAGGTAGTTTCTCATCATCATCATCATCATCATCACAACCTTTACCACCACCACCTCCTCCTCCTCCTACTTCAACTGGTCATTACGGGTCATCTCAAGAGACTGGACAACCATTGAATATAAATTGGGCCAGTAATCAGCCCACCAAGGGAACCAATAATCCCTATTCAGGTTATCGAGGTGGAAACGGAAATGGTCAAACTAAATCATCACCTGTAGCAAATACTAATTATTTCAAGGGTCAAACTAGGGAAGTATCTTCATCCTCGTCTTCCTCTTCATCGTCAATATCATCAGGTTATTAAAGTGAAAATAAGTTGACAAGATTATTGATTAAGGTAGAAATTTAAATTTTATATTAGGTTATGATTAATTTCAATTATAAATCATATTTACAAACATTTATGTGAATGAACAAAACAATTGGATTGGAAGAGGATTAAGATTAGGATTGATTGGTGGGGATCATGGTGGAGATATTGTCCAGGATAAACGTAAGAGTAAAGTTGATCAGTGATAAATTTGCTTAATTGTCCAAACAATTAACCAAAAATAATCTAAGTTTGTCAACTTATCGATTTTTTTTACACATTTATAATATATAATATATAATATCTAAATCTGAAGGTGATTTGTTGATTGTTGTTATATTATGTTTGTCCATTTGTATTGATTTGCATTTTTTTTACACATAAATTGTAATTCTCTGTGTTAATTATGTTCAATGTCAATTGATTGATATTTTTTTGCGTTTTTATCATAAAGATCTGATTTTAAAAGATATCAAGATAACACTTGTTTGTTTTTTCAACTTAAAAGTAACAAAAAAATCATGATCGATACACCAAAGTATCGGTCAGTTTAGGATGACAGTGAAGGAGATGGAAGAAGAGTGGACAGAAGGTGGTCAAGAGATGGAAGATGCAGAGAGAGAGAGAGAGAGAGAGAGAGAGAGAGAGAGAGAGAGAGAGAGGAAATTAAGGTGAAAGTGTAAAGACAATAAGTGATTGATGTTAAGGTGAGTTTGAAGGTGTCAAGATTTTCAACAAGATGGATTTAAATTGTTTCCCCTGTGGTTATGGTTCCTGTTTAATTGTTGCCAATTTATGAATTTCTGATTCGGAGTGTTGATTGTAACAGGAAACTAAATTTTCAATGTAATTTGTTTGATTCTCAGTGTGTAAAGTAACAATCAACTGAACTGGTGGTTAAACCATCACAAGAGTAACAATTTATCATTATCATGGTGTTTCAATGATTTTTGTGTTGATTACGTTTATGATTTTCTTTTCATATTAGGATGAGAAAGATGATGATGATGATGATGATAAGTGAGGGGGAGAAAGAGAACTGCAATTCTGTTTACTCAGCGAAAGGGGCACATCAATTATCTTCCTTGTCATCATTTTCCATTGATTCTTCTTCTTCATCATCTCTTGTCTTCTCAAGGATTTCTCATGTTCATCTATTTGTATGTGTGATGATAATTCAATGTGTTTATCAGAAATTTTGATGAATCAACAATCCAAATGATGATGTTGATGTTGATGATGATCTAAGGATTATTATGATTACTTTTCCTTTGATTGTTGTTAAACAAATGTAAGTGAATTGGCAGAAATCAATTACTGATGAAATATCAACACATAAACACACAGGTAAAACCATAAAGATTAAATTAATCTTCATTAATTGTTCATTGATGAGATTAATTTAAAGCTCCCACATTGTTGATTAACTTGGCACAAGGAACGTGAACAAAAAAACATTGATTATGATAATGACAATTTATCAATTATCATTTACAACAGAATCAAATGTAACAAATTTAAATGAGGAAGATAATTTGGTTAAACAAAAGGATGATAATGATGATGATGATGAAGACAGACAAATAGAAAGAGAAACGTCAAGACTAGTTGAAAAAAGGATTGATGAAAAGTTGATGATGATGATGATAAAAATTAGCCAAATGTTTGTTACTTGATGCTCATTTGAATCAACTTAATTCACCAGAAAATTAACCATCCAATTAACCGACAACCTCTGGAAATATTAACAATCAATATTGTCAATCATGTCCCACGAAAATCAATCAGCTCACTTTTGTTGTCTTTTTTGTTTTCGTTTAAAAACCAATAAAATTAAATATCAACTGGATTAAGATGGACCATCGACTGACCATCGACACCAAATCTATCGGGTAATATCACTTTTTTTTGCATTTCTCGCAATCGAAAAAGAAAGACGAAAAGTAAGAATGGTGACATCGAGACAAAAAGGTCGACCTTCCACCTCGACCTGGAAAAAAATCCTTGGCCTCAACCACCATGAGCCGAAATAATCATCACCACCAAGGTGTAAGAAATATACATTAACGGTATTTTCGCTCCGTTCAATGTTAACTTTACAATTTAAATGTCTAAAAACAATACATCGATTCGAAGTGAATATTAATCGTGTTGAGTTTTCTGAATATTCCCTTTCAGGCTTGTACTTTAGTTGTTGTTGTTTTTGCTTTTTGAATGTGAAGTGATGTGTGTTTGGAAGAGAGGGAGAGAGAGAAACAAGATGAAGAGAAATTGTCATCATTTTAAGATCAGTTTACGTCTCCATTTAGGCTTTTCCTCCTTCTTCATTCATTTGAAGAAATTAAGGCTTCAGGGCAATTCCAATTTCTCCTGATGATCTTCGTTTCTCCATTCAATCGCTTTTTCCACTTCAACTTTGACGGATATTAATAGTTACAACAATTTAAGTGAGTAAATGAAGGGAGAGGGAAAGAAAGAGCGAGAGAGAGAGAGAGAGAGATGAGGCAGAAGAATTAATAATCCAAATAATTTATAAATAGTGATTGAAGTTGATTACGAAAAAATAATTCCATCGTTTTCTCATCAGGATTTTGTTTGTTTTTTTCTCGATTCAATTTGATAAAACGATTTGAACACGTTACAGAAAAAGAAATATGATTCCGACAATTAAAAACCAGAGACGGATTTGCATTAATTTTGACGATGTGTCTTTTTTTTTTGGTTGCACTGCTTTTTGTTTTTGTTTAATAACTTTGTTAATCAAAGTGAATTAGAAGTGTCACAGATTAATTAAAAATTAAACAACAATATAACATCTTTTTCTTCTCGTTTTCTCATTGATTTGCTTTTCCGATGGACGATTGGGTAGATTAAATATCACACGAGTTGACCTCCCGTCCACTCAAAAGTAAAAGTATTTAATTGATCTCTTTTCAGGATGAACGTTGCTTGTTTGTTTCTTGCGTTGCTGATGATGTTGTTGATAGTTGATTGTTGTTGTTGTTGTTGTTGTTGTTTTAGTCCAAAATAAAGGTTTATAGTTTAATTGGTCTTGGTGTCATCAATAAATCATCTTCTTTCGCATGTATATAACTATATGGCTCTGGTGTAAATCAATATATATATTAAATTGTATATCTTTTTTGTTCTTTTCATTCTAATATCTTGAGTCCAGTTGTAACATATCGGACGAGATCATCAAATGAGGAGCTAAGGCTTAAGGACCCACACTCGGCGTCAACGGTGGCAAAAAAAGCAGCACATGAGGGATTCTTGTCAACCAGAGTATCAGCTTGTTGCCAAAGATCGTGAGCATTGTTTAATTGTTGTAATAAGCTGATCTGACGATTCATTGCATTGAACAGTTGGCTTGGTATGGTGACTGAGTTTTTATCCTTGGTGTTAATGTTATTTGATTCAATAGTGGACTGAATTATTTTAAAATTGGATCGAATCTCTTTTTCCTTGAGACGGCTCAATTTTAGGCATAAAAGTGACTGACAACGGAAACTTAGAGCTGTTAACTTGTGATCGGTTGTTGAAATCTCTTCGGTGGTAGAGGTTCGAGATTTGGCAAATTTACCGGAAATGTAACGAATCAGGCTAAGAGTCTCTTTATACATTATAAAAACTTTCTCCAAATCATTGCAGCTTCTCTGTTCCATGGCGTTACCAGTTAAGATGAAATAAAGTACAGCTTCAAGGTACTTCCGTGCTTGTACAGTCCGATCGGTTTCACGGTCAGCAGCGTGTTTCAATTTTTTAGCTGCTTTCAGGTAATCATCAGCGGCCAAATTATCAGGTGTAGTCCGGCTACATAATGCTGGTAAAGGAGGTGTGAAAGGTAAAGATGGTATTGATGATGAACCAGAGGTCGATGTGATGGAGGTGTTGGTTAAAGATGAGGTTGTTGATGAGTTTAGGTTGATTTCTGAATGATTAGACGACGGAGGTGGTGGTGGAAGGGCTGAAAAGGTAAATAGAAAAAAAAAGTTAAGAAAGAAAGAGCAAAATTTAGAGAGGAAAAAAGAAAGTAAGATACAAATATAAAAGATAGAAGGTGAGATTGGTTGGGAGAGAGAGGAGGAGAAGAAGAAGAAGAAAAAGGAATTCAGAATCGATAAAAGAGAGAGAGAGAGAAAGAAAGAGAAAAAGCGAGAATTTGTAATAAGAAAGAAAAAGACAGTAAAAAGAGGAGAGAAAGAGAGAATTAGAGAGAGAGAGAATGAGAAGACAGACAAAAAAAGAAGAGTAGAAATGTTTAAATGTTGTTCAACTAAAATGAAGAATAAGAAAAAAGAGTTATGTGGGTCAAGAAGGATTTACTATCAATTTGTTGGTGTTGATGAAGAAAGAGGTGGTGGGGAGGTTGATTGTTGTCGGGATGACGGGGAAAAGTGAAATTTACCTGGTGAAGGTGAACTTCTATTCCTAGAAGGTGGAGGTAAAGATGACCTATGGGCTGGTGAGGTAATATCACTTTTCATGGGTTGATTATTTGGCTCGTGTTTGACATGATTAGTGAAGTTATTACCACTATTGATGCTACTATTTGAACTGTTACTACTACTATTATTATCTTTTACATTATTATTATTACTATTTATGTTGATATTGATGTTATTACTAGTTGATTCTTTATTCTGTCCTGGTATCCTTTTCAATAGAACCAATGAAATAGAGACTAAAAGCTTCTCCGGCGCCTTAGGTGCAGTTAACTTTTCTTGTTTGTCACTATTCGTCAGGTTATTACTACGATTCAGCTCTTTTTTGGCTCTTTCAGTAATCTTTGTTTTCTCTCGCTGGTAAATGGATTCTTGACTAAATTGTTGCCTGGTGGTTGTTTCCTGGTAATGTTGTTGAATTTGTTGTTTATGTTGAAGTTGTTGATGAGAATGATGATGAGACTGTTGATGTGTTGGTTGTTGTTGTTGTTGAGGTGGTTGTGGTTGTGATGTTGGTGGTGGTGGCGGCGGAGGAGGAGGAGGAGGTGGTGGAGGAGGTGGTGGTGGTGGTGGTGGATGGTGCTGTTGCTGAGAGTGAGGTTGGGGTAGTTGACTTGATTTTTTCCTTCTTTTTGTCGGTGGTGGTTCATCTGTAGGTGGAGGTGGATGATGTTGCTGTTGCTTATAATGATTCCTATTATTGTTACCAAGGTCCATTGAGTCTTCGCCAAGCTCACCGCGAGCCACTTTGTCAATAACATCGTTTATGCTATCATTTGTAACTTTTACAGATTCTTTATGTACATAATTGGAGGATGAGACACTTGTGGTACTCGCTGTGGTCTTTTTGTCCATAAAATTGGTCAAATTCCAGGTTGATACTTCACTTTGGGGAGGTGATGACCGAGGTAAATTTTTCGATGAACTGGATGAAGATGAAGATGATGAAGAGGAACTTGAGCTACCAGAGGAATCTTTTCGTTTCTTATTATTAACTCTATTTGTTTCGGAACCACTGGAATCATTTGTTTTAACCTCATTGGGTTTATTATTATTAAGATTAATATTATTATTATTATCTTTATCTTCTTCTTCATCATCATCGTCATCAGTGGTGGAAGACGATGTACTATTGGAAGCAGAGCTGGAAGAACTGGAAGAACCCGATGAACTCGATGAATCTGATTCATTTGCTTCTTCCTCGTCATCTTCTTTATCTTCATCACCATCTTCATCCTCTTCTTCTTGGTCTTGGTCATCATCTTCCTCTTCTTCACGAGTCCCATGACTTGCCTCACTTTCACCATCTTCTAAAGCACCAAGAGGTTGAAATGTTTGTTTCATTTCACTAAAAATTTGCTCGATTTTCGCTTTGTTCCCATTTATACGGGTTATCTCCCGTGTAGAAATACCAATCAACGGTTTATGATCATACCTTAAATACATTTGAACATGATCAAAATCACCTAAAGTTGATTTAATACGTTTAGATGTCTCATCGTCTTGGTGTTTCTTTATTGGTTCACCAAACAATGAACCAGCCGATTGTCCAGTAGGTCCAGTATGAAAAGGTTCACCAGGTACACCAACACCACTACAACCACCAACTCCACTACTAATGGTCACTTGTTGTCTTTCACGTTGATACCTTTCTCTTTCCCTTTGAAGGCTCCTCTGTTGTTGTGAACACGATGATGAGGAGGAGGCTAAAGAAGACATTTTTCTATGTAAAACATTAAGAGTTAATTCACATTAGATAACAAATTAAATTAATTAACACAAAAATAATCTACAAGAAAATACACAATTATCACAACAATCAAAAGACCTAATTAGCAAAAGAAAAAATTTAGAAGCTAAAAATTAAACTCACTCAATGTTTTCAATTTTCTCTTTCTATTCTCTTTCTATCCTTGGCTTCCTCTCTTTTCCTCTCTTTCCCCTTCTCTCTCTTTCTCTTTCTCTCTCTCAAAAGATTTGACAGTTTAAGCGCCATCTAAATTTACTACAAACAAGGTAACACAATTTGAATCGATTTCGTTAATTAAAAGGGATAATTAACCAGAAAAGCGTTTAAGATTCAACATCGCAGGTTAATCTATGGATTATTGTTAATTGTCTCTTAGGTGTTGATCAATTTTTCGGGTTTTTTGTTTTGCGTTGATTGGAAAATTTTTGTTTTCTATTTGTTTCCAATTTAAATCAAATTTTGCGAATTACAAAAATGATTAACTAATGATAGTTTAGTTTTATCGTTGAATCGGTTTGCTAATTAGTCTCCACGTAAACAGTTTTTATATTGTTGGTTTTGGTTTTTTTTTCTCTTTCTTTTATTATATAAATTAACCAATTTTTCGTGTTTGTTTTTGTTATTAATTAAGATGGAAAGTGCAAGAGATTAATTGGTCTTGCAATTTGTTTGGGTATAGAAAAGATTCACAAGTATAATTGTAAGGTTTTCTTTGTGCTGAAAAATTATTATCATGATTTAAGGTGTTTTTTTGGTTCATTAATCGTCTTTTTGTTTTGTTGAGTCTCGGTGGTAAAGGAAAACAAAACTGAATATGTATGAGCCAAACATCATTGAAAAAGCACTAAAATAATAGGGATAAGCTGAACGGATGAATCTCTCATATTGGGTGTGTTCGAGGGGTCGAACGGAAACTTGAGTACTAGAATCTAGATGAGTTAAACCAATTCTTTGGTAATCAACGACAAATTTGTAAACACCATAAACATCAGGAATACGAAATTGGGCAACGTATTTATCTCCTTGTTTCTTTAGTGCAGTTCGGACAAATGGATCAATTCTAACAAATTCTAATTGTATATCATCAGCATTATAGGGAATCCATTTACCATTTTCTAATTTTTCGACAACAATTGAATAGACAACATCTTCCATGATGGTATATGATTCTGGTGGACTTGATTCACCAAGTTTATGATGTTCCACTTTACCAACTCGTAGAACACCTTCCTCTTTGAATACCCAACGGGAAAGAGCGATACAAAGAGCCTCATTACCCGATTTCTCGTGTACCTGTTTAGATCCGGACTTTTGAACTGAACTTCGGAAAAGTTTATCGGAAAACAGGTCAAGAGATCCGGTAAAAAGTACTCGAGCATTATTACGAGCTTGTAAAGCGGAAATGAGCAAAGTATTACTTCCAATGGCGTGTGGATACTGAGAGGGGGGAGAAAAAAAAGAGAAGAGAAAAAATAATTAATAATTAATATCTCCATCTTGTTACGATATTGATATAGCTTATAAAGCTATTTGTCGAAGCTTCTTTAAGCTCGATTTTCTCAATTTGTGTTTGCTAATAGTATAGTTACAGATAATCAGATTAAAAAAAAAAGGGATTAAAATAATCAATAATACTAATTGACAACATTAATAATTAATCTGAGAAAGTAAATATAAAGTCAATTATCAAAACGAATGGTCAGTTAAATAGTGATAACAAGTCATTGGACAAATAGAGAGTTTTAAAAACTATTTATGTTTGTGTCGATATCTGTAAATGAATTAGAAAAAATCTGATGGACTTGATTGTTGGAACATTTTATAGGAATTAAAATGTTTTAAATATAATGAGTGAATTTCTGATGTAAATCTTACCTCAGTAATTTTTTTACTTGGATTGTAAGAGTAAGCGGTAGGAGAAGCTTTGAGAACATCGAGAACAAGAGGATTATTCTGATCAGAGATCATTCCAGTACCACGGAATAGAATAGGATTAAGCTTCTTTTTATCTCCAACAATTAAAGGAGCATCTAAAAGATTGTCAGAATCGGTGACAATAAGGGTGTGTAAACCTTCATCTTTAACATCATAATTTAGATGGTCAATTACACTTGTACCCTCGTCATCGATTATACTCTTCAAGGATAAAGATCATTTGGAAATGTCTATTAATGCCTGAATATAGAAGACAAAATAAAACAAGCATTAGAAAAAAAAATCGATTCAATTAACAAAGAAAAAGAGAAAAGAAAAAATCAAATCAATACTTACCCACAGGTCGCCGTCCATTTAAAGCATAAAAAAGTTGAACCTCTTGTTCAGGTTTCCATTGAGGAATATCTTCCCTTTTCTCCTTTAGACTAGCTGAAGATTCCTTGGTTTTAATTTTCATTTTAAAAAATATAACTAACAATTGAGAGAATTAAAAAAAAGCTTTAATTCATCAAGACAAAAAAAAACGAAAACAAATGAAGAGAAAGTGAATCATCAATCAGCTGATTCGATTGGCGGTAAATATGAAAAATATTCTTTCTTGTAAGTGTTTGATAACGGTAATTATTTTCTCATCGATTTTGTTTGTTATTATTTTATAATGTAAATGTTGATCATCAAAGGTTACACATATATTTCCAACAATTGTTTCTACGATTACTAATTCAACCTTTGGTTTGTTGCTTATTTTCTCTCTAGGTTTGTAATTAATCAATTCCAGAATTGGATACTCAGTTGGATGACATTCATTCTTAACCAAATTGAATAACAATTGAGATAGATATGGTTCAAAGGGATTAGTGTTATCTATTAATTTATCGAACCAGTAATTCATTGAATTAACTGTCGTATATGAGTTAATTTTTTCCCCCGTTATTATTAATTGTTCAATTTTACTCATCCAGTCAATTCTTTTGAACCATGGCCTTACTCCCAAAGGTAACATTATATACGATGTATAAGCACTAACAATTATCTTTCTTTCATTTATTTTTACCGATTTAACAATTTCGATTAATTTTTGGTCTTTTTTTTCTGACAAAGTTTTTTAATTATTTTCAACTTGTTACATCATTTATATATATCCCCAGAACTTTTTCTTCATCTTTCTCTACCAGGTAAGTCTTCTTCTGATTAAGATCAAGTTTGATTTCTTTAAGTTGCTCTTGAACAAACTTAAGTGGTGCTTTGTAATTATAAAATATAATAATGTCATCAGCGTAGGCAATAACTTCCATTTCATCCTTATTATTCATTTTGATTAACGTATCATTAAGTCCAATATTGAATAATATTGGTCCACATGAAGAACCCTGAGGTACTCCTTTCTCTACTGGTAAAATAATTATCTCGTTATTATCCCTGATTCTAACTTCTCTTTGTGTTAAAAAGGATTTAAGTATTTTGAATGTGCTAATATTTAGGAATAATTTAAGTTTTCTTAATATCTCAGCTCTATCAATATTATCAAATGCTCCTTCCACATCACATTTAATCATGTACAGTAGTGATTTCACTTAGAGCAACATCGAATTCATAGTCTCCCCCTAGCGGATTAGTGTAATTAGGCTTGGAAAAGGTAAAAGGTTAGTTCACCTTTTTTTATAAGAAATTAACCTTTTTGGTTATGTAGAGGGCGCTGAAATTTGCTCTAAGTGAAGTTGCTAGCCAATTGGTTAGTGTCGTGGACTCTGGTCTACGATGACACGGGTTCAATCCTGGCTTGACTACCTTCCCTCAATTGTAATTGTCAAATGGACGGATTGAAAATTCAAAAACAAAAAAGATAAATTGTATTTCGAATTGGCGCTGTTTAAGCCAATCTCCCCTAAATGGGAACCTGTAACCCTGAAAAATAATAAAATGCTCTAAGTGAAATCACTACTGTATTTATATTTATTCCTCAGCTCATTTATTTTAATCATGAAATCTAATCTTGTCTTATCCCCATAAGCAAATTGTAGATTATCATCAATTAACTGTTTTCTTTTCTTCTCAATTCGTTTCATCATTATTAGGTCAACATATTTCATTATAAAAGATTTTGTGTAAACTGTTCGATATGAACCATCTCCCTATGGAATTTTCGTTCATCCCCTTATCTTAATTATGTTAGGGAAGTAATTTAATTCTAATATTCTCTTAATAATATTTATTACAAATTGTTTATTTGTTCTCATGAAAAAGTTCCTAGTTTTAATCGAGAAATCATCAGCATTTCGTGACGAACTTTCGAGTTTCTCTTCTTGAATAATTCAATCTCCTCATCATTTACATACCCATTTTTTCTTCTATTGGTCTTGTTCTCGCAAAGTTTTTCTTATGATTTAACATTGTAATCTCGCCTCTTTTTGTTAATCTCTCTATCATTTCCCACAAAGTTTCATCTTCATGATTTACTCTAACTTGTCTCTTAATTATCTTCTTATATCTGAAGGGCTAAAGATAGATCATATTAATATCTTTATGTAAATCATTAGTGTTTCTATGCTTCTTAAAATTGTGCAGTAGTGATTTCACTTAGAGCAACTTCACTTAGAGCAAATTTCAGCACCCTCTACATAACCAAAAAGGTTAATTTCTTATATTTTCTTTGTTCATTTACAGTGGGGTAAGAAAGTAAGTTGAAATGGCGAAATTGAGAGTTTATTATCGATATCTTTTCTTTGAGTTAATTGCAAGTAATTAAAGTCTTTTAATTTCTTAATTTGACTAATTATCTGAGGTTTTTGATTAGAATTAAACTGTTATATGTCCCATTTTCTTAGAAAAATTGTGAGATCAAAATAATAATTTGCAAAAAGTAAGTTGAATTTTTAAGAATTGACTAAATTCGGTTGAATTGTTTTTTTGATTAGTTAATTGTGACTCTTTTAGTACTTAGTATGTCCACCCTTTGCTATTAGAACAGCATTCAATCGTTTCTCCATACTTCCGACTAGTTTTTGAGTATATTCTTCCGGTATTTTTGACCAAGTTTCGGCGATTGCCTTTTTTAAAGATTTGAGATTAGTACGAGCTGATTTTGGGATATGATCGTCCAAATATTGCCAAAGATTCTCAATTGGGTTGAGGTCAGGTGATTGTGGAGGCCAAGGAAGCACCGAAATTTTTTCTTGATCAAAAAAACTCCGAACAACTCGGCTGGTATGTTTCGGATCATTGTCGTGTTGAAAAACAAAGTCATTCCCTAAGCCGATTTTCTCAGCCGATTGTTTCAAATTCTCTACTAAGATTGACCTGTAGACTTCTCCTGTCATTTTGCCCTCGATAATAACCAAATTACCGACACCAGCTGACGAGAAACATCCCCAGACCATAACTGAGCCGCCGCCGTGTTTGACGGTTGGTCTTGTGTAGCCGACTTTGAAGGCTTCTCCTCTGTTTCTCCACACATATTGACGCCGATTGTTGTTGACCAACATAAATTTACTCTCATCTGACCATATGACCGAATTCCAAAACTCTATCGGGTTACCTTGATATTGATTGGCCCACTCGTATCTACCTGTTTGATTCTTCTCTGTAATCATCGGCTTCTTCCTGGCCACATACCCTCTCAATCCATTTTCATGTATTCGATTCTTAATTGTTGTGAGACTAACATCGAGATTCAATGTCTCTTTAAGCTCTTCAGCTGTTATCTTTGGATTATTGGTGATTTCTTTCATAATTTTCCGGTCATCACGATCACTTGTCTTTCTTGGCCTTCCCTCTCTCTTCATATTTTCTGGTGATCCGGTTTTTTTTATTTTCAATACGATTTTTCTTACACCTTCTGGACTTAGTTGATGCTCTTTAGCAATTTTGGTAAGTGTATCTCCATTTGATCTCTTCAAAAAAATGGTCATTCGCTCGTGACAAGGTAACTCTTTCGTCTTCATCTCTACAAAAAAAAAACAAAAAATATTAATATTTAAATGGTCAGTTTTCATGTTGTTTTCAATTATTGAGCAGAACGAAGTTTATTTACCTTAAAAATAATTCCATCGAGCGTTTAATTTTGACCGAAAACGGGTCGAGCCGAAAATTCAACTTACTTTTTGCAAGCCGATCAACACAATTAAGTTAACTAATCAAAAATGTTTGTTAATTATTTGGTAATTTTATATCACAATCTTCACCTTACAAGTGTAAAAGTAAAATGTGGTCAAAGGGTTGGACTAAGTCTATGATTTACCCGCTAAAAGTTCATAAATCACTCGAAGCGCCCATTTCAACTTACTTTCTTACCCCACTGTATCTCTATTGAACAGTAAATATTATTATTCTGTTGATCGTTATTGTTTATACAATCGATGTACAATTGTATCGTTTTCGGATTATTGTCTAGAGCAGCAAAATGATTGATACCTCTTTCTGCTGATTGTATATCAATTAATCGTTGTTCAACTTTTGATTTTAAGTTTATTTCCTTTTCGAATTCAACTTTAGCTCCTGTTAATTCAATAAAGTTGATTGTTTCTGGTTGATCTAGTTTTCTCGGTGAGATTCTAAAAGAAATCTGATTTCTTAATGTATTGATAATCTTAATTTCTTGTCTGAAAAAGTTTTCAATTGTTCTGTCAAAGATCGAAACATTGAAAATAACATTTATACTTTTCTTTTGTATCCAATTTTCATCATTCCTATATTCCCCGAATTCAAATTTAATCAGAAAGATATTATGTAGGTATTTATCAGATGAGCTACAGTAACCGCAGATCCTTAGTCGACAGTCAAGATGAGTCTCCATTTGTTGGCACACATGGCAAATGTTTAGATTAATTTCATCTTGAAACTGATAAGATCCTCCTTGGAACTTAATTGTATCGTCTTTAATGTTTCTCTATTCTCTTTATCAAGTTCCATTGTTATTTTTGTTTCTACTGGATTTATTTCTATATCGTCCTGGACTTTGATTATTTTCACATAGGATGAAGCAAAACCATTTTACTTTTTAAAGGTCAATGCATCCTCGTCATAACGGCAATGCTTTTTTCTGAGTACAGTTGTTTTGAAAGAGATAATTGGTTTTCTCTTTTTAATTTTTTTCCCCTTTATCAACTCCTTTGATGTTTTCAACTGTTGTACTGAATTGAAATTTATCTTTCGCCAAAATAAACACCATTATGTAGCTGCCACTAAGCTGGTAACCAATCATCAGCTTGCCAATCTTTAATTGTTTTTTCACCAAATTAATTATTACTTGATTAGACTTTGAACATTTGATGATGAGGCAATCACAAAGAAAAGATCTATCAATAGTAAGTTATACATTATTGAATATTTATTTTAGAGATTCTCAATTAATTATAGAGAATAATTTGTTTATAATCAAAAGATTAGATTTTTGTAAAGAAAAGAACATTTGTTAAAAGAGAATCTTTTTTAATTCTATTTTGAGGGGTCATCAATTAATTATGTCATTCACACCTTGATGTTGAATCATTTTCATTGAATTTTGTTTAATTTATTGAAATTTTATTAACTGGAGCCAATTCCAATTGAAGTCAATTAGAATCAGTTTCATTTCAATATTTACAAATATTAGAAAACCCGATTTCAATTATATTTGTTAATATCATTTTCAATAATATTATGTTAACATTTTCAACTATTAATGAGATGTTTTCCTGATTGATCCATTTAGCGATAATAGATTTACTACATTTAAATTGGTTAATTGTTTCCATGATTTTCTCTGGATTGTATCTTGATGTACACTTGATGAACACGATTTTTTCATTATATTAAAACAATTTGATTGTGATTTTAACTAACACAATACAAGAAATGAAATTAATTAAGGGTGAGCAGAGATAACTTTAACCAGTGTTGCTTATTTGTGAGAATGTTGAAGTGATTAAATTTTAATCAAGATGGCACTTAGAATTGTCTTCTTTTTTCAAAGAAAATTGTGTCATATTCAAATTCATTCATCATGATGTTTGTAATAATTCTGCTTTTATATTCTTTACAGTCCCAATACCAGGCACTATGACCTCTGGTGAAGCAACATGGACATTTATAATTACTTACATCACCAATAATCGGACACTGAACATGAGTACCAGAGCATAAAGAACATATCATTTCATTGGGACAATAGTTTTTCGTATGTGTATAATTCAGACATCGAGTACAGAATTTAATTATAAAGTGATCAATTATCTCTATTTTTTTTCCATCCACCAATAGATTTCCTCCTCTTTCTCCAATCATCTTCCTGGTTTCCTTATTTGTTTCAATGGTAATGTATTTATCCTTTTTATGTCTTTCAATTCTCTTGATTATCATTGAATTGCTTTGAAAGTTGTTTTCCACCATTAGTTGTTGTATAAAATCAGCTTTGATTTCACCTTTGATAATCAGCTTAATCATTGGTTTATTCAGGTCTATGATTGTCATTACCTTTGCCAGTTCATTTTTAACTTGTTCATACTTGTCTTTGTCGACTTCAACTAGTATGAATCCATTTTGTTGTTTAACACTAATATTATTGGTAATTGCATTTACTTCACTCCTAATTTCTTGTATTTGTTGATGAAAGTAAACATTAGAGTCTTTTTTAACAATTATAACTTTATTATAATTAATATTTTTGATTCTAATTCTAAAAGAATCAGCACAAATTAAGGTAAACATTTTGGCATAGAAAGTGAGAAGATGAAGTGGAAAAGTGTAATAAGATATTAGATAGAACAAAAAGAAAGTACGTGTAAGCGGTTATTTCAAATTTAGTCATTGAAATATTTTGAGAGAATAATATTATTATAATAGTGATTTGTTTTTTCCAATTCTGTTTTAAGAAAATTCTGAAATACTGGACAATCATGAGATCAGGCACTGTGACCCTTTTATCACAACTCGGACAAATCCATTTCTTCTTTTCATTTCGAACTTGACATTTACCAACATGATGATTGGAGAACATGTGACATGTTCTTAAATTGTTGCATCTTTTAACCGTGTGTGAATACTGTGAGAAATGATTGCATATGATTTTGTTGAAATAATTAAAAACAGGGATGAGGCGATAACTAATATTCAGGTATCCATCGCTTCTGTCAATTTCGTTTCTTATTCTCGATGTTACAGACAATAGGATTTTATTCCATTTATCATTCTCATGTATGTACTTTGGTTTGATTGAATTATCAGGCCAATTGTTTTTCTTAATTATTTTCTTACACCAATCTTCCCAACTTTCGTTAGTGATTTTCTTTAGATTCTCAATCATTATGACCGGATTTTCCAAATCAGGTATAGTCACTTTGATCTTTTTTCCAGTAACAAAATTTTCATCCAAAATCTCCTTCAATTTGATTCTATCATTGTTGTTTTGTAGAAAAATTTTCAAGCAATTGGTTCCAATTTTAGTTTCACAAATGATTGGTATATCTTTTTCACTTGTATCAATGAATTTAATGAAAGCTTGTTCAAGTTCATTTGATTCCATTTCTTCAGAATTGATTATGAGAATTGGCATGATTTCTATGTTCTCAACATTGAACCAGTTACTCTTATCCTTCTTCTGTTGGTATCTAATGTGAATTTCTGAGTTACTTTCTTTTCTTGATCTCGATTTGTCCATCTTGGTTTTTTCAACAGTAAATTCTTGGACTTCAATCACATCATCTAATAGATTCGATAATTTGATTAGAATAACCGATTTTTCACTTGTAATCTCCTCCAACGATACTGTTGTTGAAATTTCCTTTTTTATTTCCTCCTTTTCCTGATCTGAAAGTTTATTCTTGATTTCATTGAATTTATTTTCATCCTCCATTGTGATGATTAGCTGATTAATGGTAATACCTTTCTTTTGTCGCTATTATTAAATATAAAGGGTAATTAAAGAAGAGATAATAAGAAAACAAGAACAAAAAGAAAAAGAAAGGGAATTAGAAAAAATTTTGTCATAAAAAAAAATCAGTCAACATATAAATTTAGGTCAATTAGTTTTTGTCAATTATAAATTCATTTACCTTGCTCATTTTCAACAAATTATTATCACTTAATTGATTATTTAGTTGATTTTTCACTTGAAGATTCACTTTTTAGTATATTTGATATTCACTCTAAAAATTAAACTCTATCTCTCTCTCAAAAGATTTGACAGTTTAAGCGCCATCTAAATTTACTACAAACAAGGTAACACAATTTGAATCGATTTCGTTAATTAAAAGGGATAATTAACCAGAAAAGCGTTTAAGATTCAACATCGCAGGTTAATCTATGGATTATTGTTAATTGTCTCTTAGGTGTTGATCAATTTTTCGGGTTTTTTTTGCGTTGATTGGAAAATTTTGTTTTCTATCTGTTTCCAATTTAAATCAAATTTTGCGAATTACAAAAATGATTAACTAATGGTAGTTTTGTTTTATCGTTGAATCGGTTTGCTAATTAGTCTCCACGTAAACAGTTTTTATATTGTTGGTTTTGGTTTTTTTTTCTCTTTCTTTTATTATATAAATTAACCAATTTTTCGTGTTTGTTTTTGTTATTAATTAAGATGGAAAGTGCAAGAGATTAATTGGTCTTGCAATTTGTTTGGGTATAGAAAAGATTCACAAGTATAATTGTAAGGTTTTCTTTGTGCTGAAAAATTATTATCATGATTTAAGGTGTTTTTTTGGTTCATTAATCGTCTTTTTGTTTTGTTGAGTCTCGGTGGTAAAGGAAAACAAAACTGAATATGTATGAGCCAAACATCATTGAAAAAGCACTAAAATAATAGGGATAAGCTGAACGGATGAATCTCTCATATTGGGTGTGTTCGAGGGGTCGAACGGAAACTTGAGTACTAGAATCTAGATGAGTTAAACCAATTCTTTGGTAATCAACGACAAATTTGTAAACACCATAAACATCAGGAATACGAAATTGGGCAACGTATTTATCTCCTTGTTTCTTTAGTGCAGTTCGGACAAATGGATCAATTCTAACAAATTCTAATTGTATATCATCAGCATTATAGGGAATCCATTTACCATTTTCTAATTTTTCGACAACAATTGAATAGACAACATCTTCCATGATGGTATATGATTCTGGTGGACTTGATTCACCAAGTTTATGATGTTCCACTTTACCAACTCGTAGAACACCTTCCTCTTTGAATACCCAACGGGAAAGAGCGATACAAAGAGCCTCATTACCCGATTTCTCGTGTACCTGTTTAGATCCGGACTTTTGAACTGAACTTCGGAAAAGTTTATCGGAAAACAGGTCAAGAGATCCGGTAAAAAGTACTCGAGCATTATTACGAGCTTGTAAAGCGGAAATGAGCAAAGTATTACTTCCAATGGCGTGTGGATACTGAGAGGGGGGAGAAAAAAAAGAGAAGAGAAAAAATAATTAATAATTAATATCTCCATCTTGTTACGATATTGATATAGCTTATAAAGCTATTTGTCGAAGCTTCTTTAAGCTCGATTTTCTCAATTTGTGTTTGCTAATAGTATAGTTACAGATAATCAGATTAAAAAAAAAAGGGATTAAAATAATCGGTAAGGCGATACAAGTGTATGTCAGCTCAACATTTCCAATTTTCAGCTAACTTTTTTTACGGCTTGAAGTTCGGTTTGATTGTCTCAGGCCCTCCGGGCCTTTCTTTGGTAAGGCTCAAGATATGTCCGTAAGCTCAACTTTTCTACTTTCAGCTGACTTTTTTTCGGCTTATGATTCGCGGCTTTTTAGGAAAATGATTTAATTTAATTGATTAAACAATTAATTCAGCAATCTAAGATTATTTGACGCCTTGTGGGTATAGCGGGTACATGTAGGTCCACATTTAACAATGAAATAAAAGTTATTAGAGAAAGATGGAGCTAATCAGCTGTCGACAGCTAACATTACATTAACTGTGTGATAGTTTGATTGCCTCAGGCCCTCCGGGCCATCCTCTGTCCATAGTGACCCTTAATAGTGAAAACCTATTCTAACCTAATTTAAACAAACACAAATAATTGAGAAATTAAGTTAATTTCCATATGTAGCTGTAATCGTAAGCCGAAAAAAAGTCAGCTGAAAGTAGAAAAGTTGAGCTTACGGACATATCTTGAGCCTTACCCTTTCTTTGGTCATGGTGACCCTTATTAGCGAAGACCTAACCTAACCTAATTTAAACAAACACAATTAACTGGACAATTAAGTCCATTTTCATATGTAGCTTGGACATTAAGCCGAAAAAAATCAGCTCTAAGTGAAAATGTTGAGCTGACATACACTTGTATCGCCTTACCAAATAATCAATAATACTAATTGACAACATTAATAATTAATCTGAGAAAGTAAATATAAAGTCAATTATCAAAACGAATGGTCAGTTAAATAGTGATAACAAGTCATTGGACAAATAGAGAGTTTTAAAAACTATTTATGTTTGTGTCGATATCTGTAAATGAATTAGAAAAAATCTGATGGACTTGATTGTTGGAACATTTTATAGGAATTAAAATGTTTTAAATATAATGAGTGAATTTCTGATGTAAATCTTACCTCAGTAATTTTTTTACTTGGATTGTAAGAGTAAGCGGTAGGAGAAGCTTTGAGAACATCGAGAACAAGAGGATTATTCTGATCAGAGATCATTCCAGTACCACGGAATAGAATAGGATTAAGCTTCTTTTTATCTCCAACAATTAAAGGAGCATCTAAAAGATTGTCAGAATCGGTGACAATAAGGGTGTGTAAACCTTCATCTTTAACATCATAATTTAGATGGTCAATTACACTTGTACCCTCGTCATCAATTTCGAAACCATTTTCAGCAGCAAGCTCTCTAATAGCATCACCAACATTACTACTTGCAGCGACCAAAACGTTACCACCGCCGTCAATAAATTCAGTTATAGCAGAGACACTTAGACTTCCACCAAATTCTACAAAACAAAATTGACAAGTGACAAGAAAAGAAATTATAGACAACCAAAAAAAATCACAAGAAAATGGAGTCAAAATGAGTTGACAAAAAAAAGAAACAAATAGAAAAGAATATCAATCAACAATTACCTTCAACCGAAGGAGAAAAAATAATCAAATGTTTATAAAGAAATTGACCATATTTAACCAATGTTAACGAAGGATCATCAGCAACTTTATAAGTCAGCACAAAACCACGATCTGGAAAAAGAGAAAAAAACCAATAAACAATCAAGATAATTAATTTTAATTGTAACAATATCAAAATGATTAGCAAAAAAAAACACATGAGATGAATGTGATAACCTTACCGGTGAGAGATTTGAAAAAAATTGAATGAGTTTCCCTAATTGCTAAATTGTCAAGTAACACGAGGGTCTCTCCATCAGCTAGAATAGTGTTAACATTAAATAAGATGACAATTAAGACAATTAATTTACTTTTAATTGAAATCATGGTTAATTAATTAATAGATTTGATTTAAAAAAATCTAAACACTTGAAAATCAATCAAAATAAATTGCCACAACTTGGAACAAGCTGATTGGCTGATTCGCTTTAGAAAAGTGTATCTTGTGTCTATTTAACACACATAATCTTCTTTTCGCACCTGGTGACATCTTATGTCATTCTTTGTATCTAGAAATTTTAATTGAATTTTAAACTTTAGAAAAATTTATTTCTATTGTTTGGATGTTTAAATTTTACATGGAATTAAGGATTAATTGGCTTTTTATACATTTAATCTGAATAGAGAGATTAACTGTTAGGTTATTGTCTTTGTTTAATTGTGTGCGTTGTTTGTGTTTTTCTGATTTTACTGAGATCTTGTTTTATTTTTCTTTCTTTAGAATCGAAGAGAAAAAAGATTCCATTTAATTTGAAAGGACAAATTTACTATTAATTAAATCATTCATTGGTCACTGTTGATGATGGAGGTGTTGAAATATTTGTTGATTTACTTGGTGATTCGGGTTGTTGATGAGTAATTTGATATTCTACCGGTAAAGTGAAATCTTTCATCTCATTATCAAAGGGTAAATCTTCATTTTCATTCTGTAATAAAATTTATAAAATAGAGAAAGGAAACAATCAATTATTGGATTGAATTTTTTTTTCACCACAATTAATTCACTTTAAATCTTACCAAAGTATCCATATCATAAAGAGTGTCAAGATATTTCCAAATTGTATCAGAAGTAACTTGTTGACCGGTTAATCGATTATACTCTTCAAGGATAAAGATCATTTGGAAATGTCTATTAATGCCTGAATATAGAAGACAAAATAAAACAAACATTAGAAAAAAAATCGATTAAATTAACAAAGAAAAAGAGAAAAGAAAAAATCAAATCAATACTTACCCACAGGTCGCCGTCCATTTAAAGCATAAAAAAGTTGAACCTCTTGTTCAGGTTTCCATTGAGGAATATCTTCCCTTTTCTCCTTTAGACTAGCTGAAGATTCCTTGGTTTTAATTTTCATTTTAAAAAATATAACTAACAATTGAGAGAATTAAAAAAAAGCTTTAATTCATCAAGACAAAAAAAACGAAAACAAATGAAGAGAAAGTGAATCATCAATCAGCTGATTCGATTGGCGGTAAATATAAAAATATTCTTTCGTAATTAAGATACGATCCCTTGGAAAATTTGATTTAATTTGATTGTTTTTCATTTTCCAAGTTGCTTGTTTAGTTATTGTAAATCTTTTTCAATTATGTCTAACAGTTTAGAGAATGTGAAAAAGATCATTCTGATTCTTTCTGGTAAAGGTGGAGTAGGTAAAAGTACCACTGCAGTGAATTTATCTCTATCTTTAAGTAAATTGGGTTGTAAAGTTGGTCTACTTGATTTAGATTTATGTGGTCCAAGTATCGCTTTAATGACCGGTCTTGAAGAGACATCAATTTACCGTAATGATAAGGGTTGGATACCTTTAACTACTACACATAATTGTGAACAATTTACTCCTCTATCTGTTATGTCAATTGCTTTTCTTCTCCAAGGTTGGTAATGAGTTTCGTTCTTACACAGTGTGTACATTTGTTTTTCTATAATTTTTTAATCTTCTTTATTTTTTTTTTCTATTCTAAATCATAGATAAAGATTCGGCTATTATTTGGAGAGGACCCAAGAAGAATGCTATGATTAAACAGTTTGTAGAAGATGTTGACTGGGGCTCTCTTGATTATCTAATCATTGATACACCACCGGGAACATCAGATGAACATATATCGGTAGCTGAGTGTCTTAAACATCGAGCAAGTGATGTCAGCGCAATTTTAATTACCACACCTCAAATTATCGCTGTAAATGATGTTCGTCGAGAAATAAGTTTCTGCCATAAAGCTGGTATTCCTATCGATGGAATAATTGAAAATATGAGTGGTTACGTTTGTCCACATTGTTCCGAATGTACTAATATATTTTCCTCAGGCGGAGGCGAATCATTAGCTAAATTGACCAATGTCCAATTTCTTGGTAACATACCAATCGATCCTGATCTCGGTGAATCAGCAGAAAAAGGAGTTAACTATGTCAATCAATTCGCAAATTCAGAAGCATGTAAAAAACTCAACGAAATAGCAACAAATCTGATAGCCCAAAAATCAACTTAAAAATCAACGAAACCAAACCTGAAATGATCCAAATTGAGAATCAACAAAATCCCATATTGAACCAACCAACACCTTTCCAATCAAACGATTCCAAATCTATACAATCAAAATCAAAGAATGGTACAAAATCTGATCGCTATTAACTAATCAAAGTCTAATTGACTAAAACTCAATTGAATTCACTGGTGCAACCTAATCGACAATAAGCAATTTCCGTTTCCGTGGTGGGTCGTTGGTCTAGGGGTATGATTCTTGCTTAGGGTGCAAGAGGTCCCGGGTTCAAATCCCGGACGACCCCTTAACCTTTTGATTAAATTGTTGGAAAAGACATTTTTTTTCGTCCAACAATTAGCAACAATCAACCCAAATCCACTTTCTCCAATCCGATCTTCAACAACTTTAATCTCCTCCTCTCATAGAAAATTATTATTGAAAATTGTCTATCTTCAAGTCTTAATCATGATTATAACTGATCATTAGTTTATCAAATTAATTTACTATTAATATTCCCACTTTAACCCTCTTAATTAAACTTGATTAACAATTCAGGTCATTACTGATTCAATTACGATTGATTACTACAATTAAACAGATACCAAACTATTAGATATTGTTTTTGAATAATTTATTAATTTTGATTCTTCAATTAAGTTAACTTTAATTGACACAACACTGATTACAAACAATTTTCAAGGCTAATTGTTCACAATAAACACTTAATTGTCACGACGATTGATCCTATTAACCCGATCCATATTAATTTGAAGACACACATTGAAGCTTTGATCAACAATTAACAACAATAAAAGTTACAAAGTTGATTAAATGGTAATTTTCAAAATCCATTTACTGTAGATGAAAATTTCCACTAATTGATTGTCATTTAATTAAGATAAATCATCACAACGATCAATGAGATTGTAAACAAAAGACAATCAAGAGATAATTTAAAGATATTTGATCAGAGATCAGTTCGGAATCAATTTAATTGTGATTATCTCTTTTGTTTACCTGATCAAATTAGTAAACAAATCCACCTATTCTGAACAATTTAAATTGTTAACAAAATGAATATAATTGTCACTTTATCAAATAAAGATAAAGATGAAGATGAAGTTTATCCTTAACGATAAATTGTTAATCAGTCAAATCAAAGGTGATTTAAGTCAAAGATTAACGGTAAACCTTTTCCTTACCATTGGTTATATTTGGTATCACCAAATTAAGATAAGATATTGACCACAACAATTACCTTGTTTGAACAATTTAAAGGAAACACTAAAAATGACCATTGACAATAAATAGTTAATCAGTTAAATCTAAAGGTTCAAAAGTAAATCATCTAACCCATTTTTCATCTCATGTAATTTTTGTTTCTCTGGTCACTTTCATATTTTGTGTTTCCGTCTAAACCTTGACCATTGTCCATCAACTCATGTACGAAAGATCAATTTACCGGGAATTACAAGGGTTTCGACTTGGATGGATTAAAGGATTACCTTCTGTGGACAAATCGAACTCAGTTGAGATCAAATTACATGGCGATTCTTCCGTTGACCTGATGAACTTCATTAACGAAGCAATCTACGAATCCTCGAGTAAGATCACATATCATCGTGTTCGTAAAAATGGAAATCTCGAAATTGGAGTGACCTGCGAAGAAGACAAAGATGAATTGTGTTTCGTTCTCAAGCACATTTTCCCTGACATCGAAATCAACCAACTCGCACTTAAATCATCATCAATTTTCTTCGTTACAAAGAAATCAATTCCCAATTCATTGGATCTAATTACGAACAACATTATCGCTTCTAATTCATTAATTGCTGATGATGAAACATTCGTTTCGAATCTGTCACAGAAAGAAGATCATTTTATGATACGAATGAATATCAGTTCGGCCAACAGGGAAAAGATTCTTGATTCTGATGGTTTTCTCATTTTCATGGGAACGACTTTACCTGTTTTCGATTACATTCATCTCAATTTGTGTTCGTGCCTCGAACGTCATTCTCGAGTCGAAAACTGTCCCTACAAGAATCGATGTATCCACTGTTCAAGTCACCACTCTGGTACCTGTTCAGCTATTAACGATCGTCACTTGGTCAGGTGTTTCCACTGCTCTGGTAATCACACCTCGATTTCACTCGAGTGTAAAGTTGTCCGGCTCCTTCTTAACCGATCATCTAAGAATCACACCATCGTATATGAATGGATCATTGGGTCGGAAGGTCACCTTGAGTTATCTGAATACTTGGAAGATATCGAGGATTCGTGAATGGTTCAATTTCACCAAGGGAAGGTCCAATATTCAACCAATCGATATCATAAAACTCAACCAGAGAAAATGTTATAAATATTGTTATCAGAAAATTTTAATTCCAAAGATATTCACTCTTAATTGTTCAATTGCACTTTTTGAACTGACAAAACTGTAAAATGATTGTTTTAAATATTGAATTTGTCATTTTTATTGATGAAAGTTGATTAACTTGATTACAATTTAATTTTGAGAAAAAGTTTATTGATCATTGAGAAATGATACTCTTTGTGTTGATTTAATTTTGATCATTTCTTGGTCGGTTTATGGTTGATTAACATGTTGACCAGAAAATGAGTCTTCATAGTTTGACCCATTCAATGGGCGAGTTGAATATCTTAGGCCACAATCATTGACCCACAGTTGACCACTTTCGGCATTATCACATTCGGACCAAATATGATCAACCAAATGGTTTAAACAAACGCGACAATAATCACGAGACAAGTGATTCCAACACATACCAAGTGACCAAGCCTGATGACCATTTATGTTAACGTGTTCAATGGACTTGACCCCATTAGCGGCTGTGTTGACCATCACTTTGTAAAGAGCATTACCAACGGCATCAAACGACTGACCAGAGGTCAACTTTTCCTCGGTACAAATTTTATCCATCCCTCCGATATCAGCTGCAGGCTGGACATGGCAAATGACCCGTCCGGTTATCCCGCCGTCAAGAGCGTTTTTTGTTGGTATAATCATTTTCAACGGAATTGAACTCGAAGGTTTTGAACAGTTTATCGAATCAGTTGAACAACATGTCTTCAAATGACCGGAAATTATATGAAACTGAGGCTTTAATATGATCTCAACTCGATATCCTGAATTAATTGTACACATGAAGGTACCTGATTTAATTCTGGGTTGATTGTAATCGTCAAATAATAAACTCGCCACACCGTTAATTTGATTGATAAATTTACTTGACACTTGAGGTGACAAACTTTCAACTCCATGATATTGAACATTGAAAGTTTTGTTGAGATCAACTCGATAAGTACAATTGATTAAATTGTCGCCACATTCAAATGAATCACTGTTAACATCACCAGCGACATTATTTTTAATTACCACTAATTAAACACCATGAAAGAGATGAGAGATTAGTGACAATTGATTGCAATTAATTAACTAAACTTACCGTATTTAAATGTATAATTACAGAAATTGTTTCCATCCAAATGAGTCCAAGAAAATGATGAACAATTAATTGTGGTCAGCGAAACAATTACCAATAAAATTGGAGAAATTCATGGTAACAATTAATAGATAGTTAATTGTTATTATCGTTGGAAAAGTGAATTTGTATATCAGTTAGTTTGTCGCAATTTAAATTGCTTGATTAACTTATTGATTGCTATTAAGAGACACTTGAAGGTTGATCAACAATTAACTTTGGTTACTATCGAAACCTTGTTTACAATTTAACTTTTATTGCAATTTAATTATGAAAATTAACTTTTCCATTAGTTAATTATATCAATTTTTCTCATCTTCTATTGATTAAATAATCACTTGATTTAAATTGTAGTTAAATAAAATACTCACTTTAATTATTTACAATTTATTTCCTGTTCGTAATTACCTGATTTCATTTGGGTCTAACAATTAACAGATCAATCAATGCAATCAATTAGATGATTAACTTTTAAACAAAATTATCTAGAGATTAATTAACTAAATACTTTAATTGTTGATGACATTTATTCAATTAACTTTTTGCTAAATCAGATAAAATCAATCTCTTTGTTGTTAACCAAATTGTTTACTTGAAAAATATTAATTATCTTTGCAATTAATCATTACAACCACAATCAAGTAGTTGACTTGATTAGTTTTAAAACAAATCGACCTTGTTAACCTTTGACATAAGTCAAATCTTGATAACAATTAACCTCAAGGGTAAATAATTATATTGTTTAAATCTCGAGCAAATCTAATCAAGATTGAGAATCAATTTTCTTGACCACTGACCAAGATAGGAAACAAAATACTGACACACTGACCAGTGATAACTAAATTACTTTTGAACCAGTTTGACCCTTTTAATTGTTAACAACGAGAATTTAGATTTTTTTTTGTTATCAAACTTCACAATCAACTTTTAGATTAATTGTTTTACTCTGCTATTAGTTAATGATTGATTGACCATCATCGTTAATGGTTAATGGATATTTCCAAGTGTCCAGTTACAGTTTGGTCAACTTTCAAAGGAAATCCAATATTGGGTAATCACAATTATCGATTGCAATTGAATTAGTTAATTGTCTCAAGTTTTCAATTAGAAATGAATTACAAACGGTTGATTTATAAAAACCTTGTGGTTTTAATTGTTATTAAAACATTTTGATTAACATTAGATACACAATTAAGTGTTCAAGGTTAATTGTTTACGCTAATCACTAAAATAGTCAACAAGATTAATTAATTAGAAATGATCATGATTGTTAATAGTTTAATCCGATCCTTGTTGATTGTTGAAGATAATACAAATTATAACGTTTTGATTAACAATTGTAAAAGTGAAACCATTTCCAAAAAATGATTAACAATTAACAACGATAAAAGTTTGAAAAGTTTGTAATTGAAAATGATGTAAACACAGTTGATTAGATGGTTGGAAAATGTTCAACGTCCATTAATTGTTGATGAAAATTTTACCTTAATTGTCAACCTTAATTGACTAATTAAGAGAAATCGTCACAACTACCAACAGGAGTGAGAAAATTATTAGCGACATTAATATTATTACCATTAGATGTCAACGGTGAAATTGTCGTTGTGTCAAATGGCGACGAAGATGAAGTTAATTTATTTTTAACAATAAATTGTGAATCAGTTAAATCCAAAGGTGTAAAAGTAAATGATTTAAATTTAACAATCACTGGTTGACCCTTAGTGTCCGGTGGTTTACCAGCCCAAAGCCAAAGGTTAATGTGAACCTTTTCCTTACCATTGGACATATGATATTTGGTATCAGTGTGATTAAGATATTGACCATAACAAATACCCTGTTTAATCAGCCTAAAGGTAACACCACAAGGTGACCAGGTAAACTCAGCACGTGTTGACCCAGATGAAGGATAAACAGTTAACCTTTTAACATTACCTTTAACCCGATGAGGTTGTAAAGTGAATTGAGCATTTGTTGGATCACTTGGTTTACCCCATTTGGCAAATTCAATGTCAATCTCACGATTGTGAACTTCTCGAGCCCAATCTTCCCATGTAAACATACCAAGGGTCACCTGAGCAGGTAGATTACCTGTCTCACTACTAATGGTCCAAGAATAAGTACCATAGCCCAATGAACGAACCGTGTAAATCTCAGCCGATGACCAATTACCATCGGGCAAAGGTTTAATTAACATGGAAAGGGTTCCATTGATTAAGGAAACACTTTCCGAAGTGAAATAGTTTGGACCAGGATGACGATAACCCTCCTTGATCCTCCAATGGTAACCCGACCAGAATATCGTAGATGAATCGTAACTCCACTGGGTGACAATTAAATCAGGAGCGAAAACAATTAACATAAATAAACTTGATGACCAGAACAACGAACACAAACTTGGCGCCAATGGCCAATTAAAAGAACACATGGTTTTCTAAACTCCTCCCACTTTCTTTAAGAATTAATTTCTTCCCCTTAAAGGGTTAATTCAAATTCCTCGCACTTTTTAATTTCTAATTGTAATTAATTTCTAATTAGTTTTTAATTGTTGATTAATTTTTTTTTCTAATTTTTCATGTACTATTCATATTCCATTGTTATTACACTGTTACCATTCAATGGTCTGAATGAGAAGTAATTAATTGTAATCATCGGTTTTTAATGAGAATTTGATTTTTTCGTTTTTCTCTCCTTTGGTTACTATGAGTGTTTGTTGATCGCTTTTGGTTTCTATATTTAATTGATTCTATTTAATTGTTGATATTTGGGTCAATTTTTGTTTGTCTTTCCTTGGTTACCTCTTGATTCAACAATTGTGGATTTAATGGTAATTATAGTTATACAATTTAGATTGTAATCATTTTCTCAATTAATACCAATCGATTTGAATCCTTTTTACTCTCAATGTTTTCTTTTCCCTTGTTGACAAAACTGCTTCTTGGTTGAAAACCTGAAAATAGTAAATTAAATACGATTGTGTTAATTGTTTGACTGGAAATGATACGATTTTATATAAATTTTACATTAATTTTCATGTTTACATCGAGACTAATTAGTCAATATCTTTATCAAGTCTATTAACCTTATTTTTCTTTCCCTTTCTCTACTAAAATCTAAATTGCAACAGCAACAATTTGTTGTTTCTGTTGTTACTGTCAAGTAATTAACCACATAATTCAGGTAACACACACACTTAGAAAGGAAGGAAGTAATCAATAGATTAAATAAATTAAACTGTGTTGATAATTATGACATAATTAACTTACTTGGTTACTTAATTATAACACAGTTCCAATAGAAAAGACAATCAAAAGAAGCTTTTACTTCATTTACTAATCACAAATCATTTTCGAATTTTTTTTTCGTTCTCTTCTCTTAGGTTCGTAATTAATTGTTGTGTTCAATGAACTTGGATTGGATCACTTTAATTATTCAAACAAAAGAAAACAATATAAATCAGTTGACAGAAGAGGAAAAAAAAACAACAACAACAACAATTATACAATTACAATTAACAAAAGAGAGAAAGTTGAAAGTAAATTGTTTACGATTAAACTGAAAATCTTTTTCATCATTTTCACTAATTTCTCAATTCGCATGAAGATGATGATGAAGATGAGGACGAAGACGAAGACGAAGATGAAGATGAAGATAAATGATGGTAATGATTTAGATGAAGGGTTAGGTTGACTTGAGGCTTAATTATTACAGTTACTAAATTGTTGTTGTTTATTTTCACTTAATCGTAAAGCTACAATTTCATTTTCTCTCGACTCGACATATTAACACTTTCATATAAATAGTTATATTTATCTTAATCATTTTTTTTTATTCTTAAATTAATTCAACAATTAACGATAAAAGAAAACACCGTTAGCTTAGAAATGATAATAGGTCAATAGCCGTTCAGTTAATCATTTCAAATCAATTAAAAATACTATCAGGTCATAATAACATTACTTATATAACTTTTATAATCTATCACTTAATCAGTTTCATAATTAAGAACGAATTTAATTTTTTTTCTATTGCTGCAACAATTAAGGTTGTATTGAAACTAATATACACTCATTTAAAAGGACAATTAACTTGTATTATATTCAAGGTTAATTGATTGAAATTTCACCAAATTGTAATTGTTACAAATTGATTAGTGATAACATTTTGTTACCCAAATTTTTGCACAATTAAAACTGAATCACAACAATTAAGATAAGAAAAATTTTTACATTTTCGTTAATTATCTTAATTAATTCAAGTGATTTTGAAGATTGTGATTGTTGTAAAAATTGACAATCTAGCCACTTAATCAATTGTAACCAATTTAAATCAAGGGAAAATGTAATTATCCAAATGAAATCATGATCATGATTAACTAATTGATACCATAGACAATAATATGTGTCAGTTGATTCTTAATCGATATCTTAATTGTGTCAGATAAATTAAGAGAATCAAACTAATCAGTAGATAATATAATCCTATTCAAATTGATTGTGTTGGTCAAACAGATTGATTAGCAATAAGAATCGCCCTTTAATCACTTGATTATGATTAGAATTTTTTTCTTTTTCTTTTCTTCCCTAAGGTCTTTTCCCGTTTGGACATGAAATTAACTCAAGTGAACTTGTATCCACCATGATGGTCACATTATCTCACCTTTATCATGATCCAGGTACATGGAGAAATGTTTAAATACATGGATGGAACCATGAAGATCAAGATTATCCAGAAATAGAACCAGATTTTCAGAGTTGAAATTTAGTTCTAAATGATGAAAATTAACTCATGTTCACCTTCATCAACTCGTTACTACAGGTAAAGTCTCAATCTAAGACTCACCTTAGTAACATTGGTTAGAAGATAACTTATCATCTTGATCATTTTCTACTATTTAGGTTAGAGAACTTGTAGTTTTCTGGAGAAGGTGAATAACTCAAACTAGTTTCTTCTATCGCTTCTATCTAGAGATTATATCATCATCCAAAGGCTTAGAGAGAAAGATAGAGAAAGTGATGATGATGAAGGAGAAGAAAAAATCAAATCATTTATTCTTTGTCAAGGTTACTATGGATGATTATCAGGTTCTCCCATTTTAAAGATACTCCTCTTAATCCATGATCTTTAAAAAGCAGTTTCTCCTCATCTTGATTATACTTGTGTCCACGTTTGTCCATCCAACTAACTGACCATTACAATGGATTTAATAAGTTTCTCTTTTGTTTACTCCATCTTTTGCCTTGGAATCATTTTGTTCATCTTGAACAAAATCATCTTTCGATCTGCACCCAAATTTGGTGAATATGGTAAAGTGATTAATAAGATTGTTCATTTCGATTATGACTAATAATCAACTGATTGTTCAATTTTCAGCTCCATCACCATTTCGATTTCCAATAATTGGACATCTTCATCTATTAGCAAAATTCCCTGACGATCCTTGGAAAGGATTTGAGGCAATTCGTCAGCGATTTGGTGATGTTGTCTCTCTCCGATTAGGATCAGTCGATGCAATCATGGTCTCATCTTTGGAAACAATTAAAGAAGTTCTTCTTACCAAAGGTAAAATTTTCTCTGATAGGCCAGATTTCTATCGATATCATTTAATTTTCGGAGGTGATCGACAAAATGGTAAGTTTATAAATCCACTTAGCCCATAATAATTTCTTTCAATCTAATCTTTATTATTCTTTTAATCAACTACAATGTACTTCGATCATTTGATTAGCATTGGCTTTGTGCGATTGGTCTGAGCTACAAAAAACTCGTCGTGTCCTTTGTGCGATATCAACGGCACCCAAGTTTAGTTCAAATTCATTTGATATGCTCGATAAAGCGGTTACATCGGAAGTGGGAAAATTTTTAAAATACATTGAATCATCTTCAGATTTAATTCTGACTAAATGTTGGACCAGACAATTTTCTTCAAACGTTTTCACTCAATATCTTTGCGCCTCAAGGTAAATGGCCATTTTCGAGTATCAAAATCAATTTCTCTTCTAATAATTTAAGTATAACTTTTGAACACAACTAGGCTGGAGTACAATGATCCTAATCTCATTAGACAAGCTCACAATTACGATTACGTTTTCTACGATGTCAGTCAATGTGGTCCAGTTGACTTTATGCCGTTCTTAAAGAAATTAGGCTTTTTCCGTGGTTATATCAAGGAATTGGACACAATCTCTAATTCTTTGAGGTAAAAATATTGATCAAGTGACCAAAATAAATTCTAAGTTCTAATTTTTTTCATTCTTGTTTACAGAGTATTCGTTGAAGATGTTCTAGTGAAGCCTCGATTAGCTGAGATCAAGAAATCATCATCTTTAGAAGGAAAATTTGACCTAAGCTCTTGCGATTCGATGATTTCTCTTGACCTAATGTACAAATATCATATCGAAAATCCTGAAGATTTTACTTATGAACATTTCTTATTGTCAATCGGTGATCTTGTTGGAGGCTCTGCTGCCATTTCTAATATGTTGATGAGAATCCTTGGTCATCTAGCAATGGACATGGAAGTACAAGAGGAAATGTACCAAGAAATAGCGGCATCTGCTCGTGAACACGATACCGATATTATTAGTATTAAGCATCGACCTTACATTCCACTTGCCGAAGCTTCAATTCTAGAAGCTTTGAGACTTTCATCGTCACCAATTGTGCCCCATGTTCCCACTCAGGACACAACAATTGGAGGTAAAGTATATTGATTGAAAGGGAAGGAAGATCTCATTAGCTAATCTACTTTTTTTCCTTCTAAATTTAGGATATTTTGTACCCAAAGGAACAATGATTTTATTCAACAATTGGCGAATGAACTTTTCCTCTGATTTCTACACCGAACCAGCACAATTTCAACCCTCTCGATTCCTCCACTATTCTACTAACAACAATTCCCCAAGTAAATGGCAGATCAAAAAGCCTGAAGTCTTCATGCCATTTTCCGTTGGTCAACGATCTTGCCTCGGATTCAAACTGACCCAAAATATAACATTCGCTATTCTCTGTAACCTTTTACTCAAATACAAGGTCGAACCTGTTGACCCAATTGAAACAATCAGAGAACATGTTAAATTTGGTATTCTAGCATTAAAAGTAAATGATTGTTTCCGGGTTCAATTAATTCCAAGAGAATGAGAACAATCAAAAAGAAAATGAAAATCAATCAATCAACTTATTCTTTACAATGTAACAATTAATATCTATTCTTATATTTTCATCAGTTTTTTAAACAAAATTCAATTATCAACTCATATATTTATTTATACACTTCTTTTAATTGTAATAATTAACGACTTGTGAACAGAGAGAGAGAGAGAGAGAAAGTACAATTTGCTAACTGTGAGAATCAAAATGAACTTTTTTGTCCAAACTACAATTAAAAGAAACTTTGATTTAATTATCAAGTAGATTGAAGTATTTCCCTTATTGATTAACTATTTCCTTTAAAATCTTTTGATCAGTAATTTTAATTGTCACAATAATGAGGAAAATTGTTAAATAATTGTAACTTACTTTCACTTTTTTTAATCAACCTTTTCATCTGAAGGTTTGATAATTAAGATTTACATTTACGATTGTTAATTGTTGTTGTCATTACAGAATGGAAACAATTTTAACCAAATCAAAGGAAATGGTTGAATTCACTTTGTTTTGATTTAATCACAATGAACAAAAATAAAAGGGTTAATTGTTAATACTAATTGTTGATGATTGTTGTTGAAAACAGAAAGTAAAAGTATTGATTGATTGATTGTTGTTTCTGTTAACCGATTGAGAAAACAAATGAATCAACAATTAAGTTTAAAGTGAACATTAAATTGTTTTAAAATTAACTTTTTATTCAGTGATGATAATTCAATTGACTTTAATTCTGACCTTGAATTGATCACGACAATTAGTTAATGGTTGGTGATGAAAGGAATTGGTAATAATAATAGCAGAGAGGAATTGAAATAATTATGATATAAACATGATGATGATGATGATGATGATGATGATACGATTTGGGGATTGGGAGAAAATTAAATTTGATCATGTAAACAATTAAGATTCAAATCAAATGGAAATTGATTTGGATTAATTGAATTTCAATGATTACGATGATTAAAACCTTTCGTTTTAAATGTTGATCCATAGTAACGACCACGTTGAAACAATTTAAATTAAATTGATTGTGATTGACATTGGTAAAGATTAGTAAAGGTGATCAGATTATTATTTAGGATTTTAATTAGAAAAGGGTTAATTAATTTAACTAATTGTTATTCAATTAGGAAAAAGGGAAAAGGTTGAAGGTTGCAAATTAGGGAATTGGAATTGGAATTAAACAAAAGAAAGATATTTAAATGATCGTAATTAAAGTTGTAAATTTAACGTGGCACTTTGATTATCACAGGCTTGATTGTAAAATTAATATTCTAATGGTGAACAATTTAAATTGTATAAAAATTTGATTGCGAGTTGATTGTTTTCCTTTATTCCGAATCCCAACAGCTGAACCAACGATATCTCCGGATTGATTGTGTGGATGATTGTGAATGATAATTAATCAAGCAAATTAACTCTAATTATATAAATTAGCTTAATTGTTGAATGTTTTGATTGTCAACCATTAGATGATAAATGGATCAGTGTTTCAATCGGTTTGAGAAGCAAATACAATCTGGATTATCCTGTGATCCAAAAATGGATTATCATCCAATTGAATTAGCAATTTCTTTCTCTTTATTTTCCTTAATTCCATCAACCTGATCATCACTATTATCTTCATCATCTTCATCATCATCAATTGTTTTAATTTCTCCATATTGATCACTTGATTCACTTCCATCGCTTTTTGATTGATTAATTGATTTACCATCCTTGGAATCTGAAATACTGCTATAAATATGAGATTCGGCTTCATCATTTGATTCAGTTTCTGTTTGATTGTTGGAAGAATAAGAGAAAAGTGTTAATTTCTCATTCGTTTGATTGCATTAATTAGTTGATTGGGTTGAGTGAATAATTTACTGATCATAAAGAAGGAGAAAATTATTGTTTTTCTCTTTCTTTTTTAATTGTTCGTTAATTCAGTCAATCAGGTGAAAAGTGCGATCGTTCAACTAACCTGGACTCGCTGTTGATACATCAGAACTATTTGAATCAGCTGAGCTAATTGTTGAGCCTTCAGGTTGGTCTTTTGATTGATTACAATTTGAATCAACAATCGGAGTATCAATTGGAAAGGCTCGAAAAACGCTGTTCAATGGGCCACTTAATCGCGTCTGCGGGTAAAATGAAGGCTTGTGTTGAGCTGGTAAATTAGTCCAATCGTCGTAACCATCATTGGAAACGGCAGCTAAACTAGCTGAATATACAGAATAAGATTTAAACAATTAGTTTAATGACGAGAAAAAGAGACAATTAATTGATCGGCTGTCGGTTATTTTTACCTTTACGATTTGATCCTTTGTATGCTGATGAGAGGGACGAGGAACTTTTAATTGTTATATTATCATAATCAGGCATCGGTTCAGGTTTAGGTCGATAATCAAACATAGATGAACCTTTTAATCGAGTGTCAATTGTTGATATTCTGAATTGATTGACACCCGATAAGTATGATAATCGAGGTAGAGAATCATCTTTGGCCCTAATTTCACCGTAATTATCATTATAATTATAATAATTGGCATCAGCATATGAGGCGGATGAGGTCAGTGATGAATAGGGATTCTCATCTTTGAATACTTTGGATGTTGATCTCCAGGATCTGTCCAACATTGTGGTCAGTGGATGGCGTTTGGATGATCGAGAGGCTGAAAGAAATCAAGAAAACTAGATAATTAACTAATTGGCTAGAAAAAGTTTCGCAATTCGATTAGCTAAACGGAAACAATTTGAAAGAAAAACAAACTACCGAAGATTCAGATTGAAAATGACCGGAACTAAAGTTAAATAATAAAGTTAAATAATATTGACCATTTGAAGGAAATGACCATAACTAAATTATCCGTTTTCACCTATGTAATTACCGTTGGTGACAAAATGATTGCTGTCAAAATAAACATTAAGATTCACACAATTGGCCCAATTGTTTGTATCCATACAAATCAAATGGACACAACAAAATGTACGTTTTGTCAAATAGAAAATAAAAAAAAAGAAAAGTAGAAAAAAAAGTTTCGAATTTTTTTCTTCCCTTTTAGAGAGAGAAGGAGAGAGAGAGACGGAGAGATGTATCTTTCCTCTTCCTCTTTAGTCTTCCCGTTGACCCCCTGAAGGTAAATACAAGATTTGACCTTGAAAATAAAACAAAACTCACTGACCATTAGCAGTCCATTTGTTTGACCAATTTTGAGATTGAAAAAGTAACGAATTCATAAAAAATTACCAGAAGCAAAAAGATTCAGGGTAAGATTTAGATGGTCAGAGAAAAATAGACAATAAATAGTTGGCATTTTAAGAGAGAAAGGAAAAATAAGAAGCTTGACCAATGGTCACTTCTTAATGGAAATAAAAATTAGATAGATAACAACAAGTAATCAGCAAGTTAGCAAAATCAATCAAGGAATTAAAGAAACCGTTGAAAACTACTAACCTAAAATTTATGTTTTTTACCTTTTTGTTTACTGACCAAACCCTAAGGTCATTATTATGATCCATAAATAATTAACTAACAAATGACCAGTGGATAGTTAAGAGTAACAATAATCTACTGATAATAATCAAATGATAATAATTAACTTTTCCAACTTGAAAATGGATAAATACCAAAGATTTTGCCCTTCACTTGACCCTCGAGTCTAGTTGATGGTCAGTTGTTTATAAAACTGACCAGGTAAATGAAATTTGCTTCGGACTGACCCTTTAATTTAACCCTACTGGTTAATACAAATGATGGTGGTGTTAATTGTTACAATTTAAGCCCAACGAGTAGACTACAATTATTTTTGATTGTTATTTCAAGTTGTTAACAAGATTTGACTGATTGTAGTTTTTTTTTGATAAGTTAATCATTGAACTGGAAAAACTGACCAATTAAGATGATCAATTAACTTGTTGACCTTGATCTTGAAACTAAACTAAGTAAACTGACCAATGGTCAAGAGCAATAACAAAACTCCCTGGAATTGAAAGTTAATCAACTAATACAAAACTTTGAAAGTAAACAACTGAACCTAAATAATTAACAATCGATGATTGTAATAATTAACTTGATGATAATTTATCACAATTTTTAACATGTTGATTAACTTGAACAATAATTATTATTATCACAATTTAAGTAAACAATCAACTTTTAATCAATTCAACGATCATTTTAAATTGTTTGTTTATTGTAATGATAATAGTAAAAATTGACTTGAGATTACAATATGATAATCTTACCTTTGGATAATAGTGATTAAGTTAATTATCATGGTAATTAACATGTTTCTGATAATTGTTTATCCTTCATCTCAAATGATTATGGTTAACAAATTGTGATCACAATCAAGCTAATCAGGTTAAAGATGAAACTTTAATCTAAGACAATTGATTAAAGTAACATTATCTTTTGAATAATTAATTAATTGTTAACTTTTCCAACAGTTAATTAACAGTCAAAATTAATTATCTAACATTTAAATCACGATTATTATCAATGATAATTAAGGTAAGCAAATATGAAACGTTAATCAGTTGTTACATTGTAAACAATTTAACAGCACAATTATCCTGAAAACAAATCAAGTTGATTATTCAAATGATTACATTACCAATATATTCAACAATTTAGTTAATTGTTGTGTTTAAAGGTGAAAATGATGTTCAACTTGAAAAAAAAGAGGCTAAATAAGTTAACTAATCATTTATAATCATCGTGATAATCAACTAAATTGTTGATTTAACCAAGAAATTATTTTCCTTGCAATATTAATTACAGACTTTTTAATTGCTTTGATTTGATTGTGTCCCCCCCAATGATTAAGTTTAATGATTACAGATGAAAATTAATCCTGATGAAGTGAATTTGCTTGAGGTGATTAATAAATCTAGTTAATAAAATTAAAACCAATGTTTTAATCTACGACAATTTAGTTGATTACTTTGCACTTTTTCAATGAACCATATTAACCAGGTAAACAATCAACTAATTGTTGATAAAAAAAAAAGCTTTTGAATCAATATTATTAAAAGTTTTTTTCTCGGTTTCTTCAAACAATTTAACTTGATCTCTATTAAATTCAAGGTAATCAATGTTTTTAATTATGTTAATTGTTGACTGGAAAAGTTAATCATTAATTACAATCAACTATTAGTTGAATTAAATCACCTTTAAATTGTTTGAATAATCAATTGGTTTGTAACTGTTAAAAACTTTGTCCTAATTCAAATCACAGAAAAATTAACACAATTTAAATCACAATTAATTATGAATTTAATCATGATTATAGTAAAATAATTAATCAAAAATTAAGATTACTCATCATTAGTTAATCATGATTACGATTTGAATTGTTATTAGTTTTGGATTCAGAAAATTAACAACAATTTAAATAACAATCTAGGCAATCAGTTTAATTTGATTTCTTTTCCCTTGATTTAATTTAGTTTGACCTTAACTCTCGGTATGTGTTTCTTGTAAATTAACAATTAACATAATCAACAATTTAGACAATTAATCTGATTGAAAAAGTTTCAAATTGTTCCCTAACTAACAATTGATTAACTACGAAAAAAAAAATCATAACAATTAACTTACAAATCTTGAAAAAATCATGAAACTAAATTAACCTTTGATTTAAATCAATTGATTGTATTTTTGGTAAACAAAAAACCTTCAATCAATTCAAAGCATAAGAGTTAATTATTTTTAATCAATTAGAATCAAAGTTTAATCAACTTGACCTGAAAGTTGATAATTAACTTTTTCCTAACTTTTAAATCAACCAGAAATGAACTAATAAAAACTTTCAATTGAATTATAATTAACTAATCACAAAGTTGACATAATCAACTTTCAAACTTAATGTCAACTCAAAATATTAATAATTAATAGTTGATTAAATAAATTGTTTCCAGAATGAGATTTTCAAAAAAAAGATTAACCTTAAAACTAAATCAAATCTGACGTAATCCAAATAAAGTAATTAAATCAACTGATAATCAAACTGATCAACAAACAATTAAGTTAACAAAAAAGCAGCAAAATCCAACGAGAGGAAAAAAGCAATTCAATCAACAGCAAATCAAACAAATTATTGGGAAAAATTTGCAACAATTAAAAAGAAATGGAAATCAATCAAGTCTAATAAACAAATAGCAACTCGAACAACAATTAATAAATTGTTGATGAAAACAAAACATAAGCCAAGGATGATATTAGATGATGAAAACTAAGATTAGTTTCAATTGGTTGGGAGACTGAAATAATTACGATAATCTGAACGTTAATCAATTAAGTTAACTAAGATGATAGCTTTTCATCATCATCATAATCATAATTATCATCATCTTAATCACCATCATCATCAGAGAAAGTGAAATTTACCCTTGAGGCAATAGATTGAACTTGAATTGATGTCGACCCAATTAGTGCACATCTCAATGTGTATTAAACAAACACACACCAAGATGGAAAAGTGAAATTTGGATGATCAGGATGATGATGATGAGGAAGATAAAAAGATGACGAGATCCTGTTTTCAAGGAGATATTTCAACTTGGAATCAGAGTTTCCACCTTATTCTTGATTCCTGGTGACCTAACGTAGCAACAACACAACAACAACAATCCTCTTATGTTATGATTACTTAGATTCCTCCAGTTACTTTTGAAACAGATAATCTTAATTCAAAATTAGCCCTCAGGGTAAAATGAACTTTAAGAAACAAAAAAGAGAATTCGATTCAGATTTTCTCTCTCTCTCTCTCTTTCTTTTCTTTCTTTTTTGATCCTCTTGTGTCTCTGAGATTTTGTTATTTTTCTGTTCCCTGTAACATGTTATTAGTTTTGCTTTAGGAAAATCAGTCAAACAAACGAGTTGCAATCCTAATCATTTAGTTAATTAGTTGAATTCGTTACCTTGCTGATTAACATTCTAAGACCACCCCACGCCCATGGAATTAACTCTCTCACTGGGTGGATAATTTAATTGTTTATCATTGATAAGTTTTGATGGTTAATCATTTAACTTGTAAGACGAATACACAATTAACTTCATTGTTTTTTCCGTTTTCAAGGTTTTTCACTTTGTAATCATTAATTAATGATTAAAATCGTTTTTGTATCAATCAACAGCAATGCTATTTGATATTGAAGGTGGTGTGGCAACAATTAAGAAGAAAATTTTATCAACAATTTGATTAAATTGTTGTTACGGTGACATTATATTGATACCTTTTCTAAGGCTAATTGTTTGATGGTAAAATTAATTTTCATGATAATAATTGTCACGAAATCATTGACAAGTTATCCAACCATCAGAATGGAAACAATTAGCTTAATCATTTATTCCATGATTAAGGTTAATTTAATTATTTAATCAAGGAGATTAAGATGATCTGTTTCTGTTAATTCAAATAATCAATAAAAGGAATTACGAAAAGATTAATCTTATTGATTGCGATTAATTAGAAAATATTTCAATTGGGTGTGAATCGTTAATCTGGTTCGTATATTTGATTGTCAAGAGTTAATTTGTTTAACAATTTAACCATTTAACCGGTAATCAAGTCTCGAGTAAATTGTTTGACCGTTAATTGTGAACAATTTAAATTGTAACTTACCTAATCTTCTGACTGATTGCCAAACAGATCCGGCGACGTTTTTTAAACTTTCCTTAATTGGTTTCGAGGTTGATTCACTTTTTGGACATAAACGAGTTCGAAGCATATCAAGAGCCAGAATATTAATTATCAGTATGGACGAAGGTGACTCAAGGATATCGGCACTTTTGGAGCCAAATGAGATAACGGAGATACACTGGAACTGAAGTGATGCCATATCGGGATAATTTGAGGACATTTCCTTGATGATATTGTCACGAAATCGACTCATATCAAACAATTTGAACCATTTATTGGCCGACAAATGACCTGAACAATTTTCAAGTTCCCGTCCAACGGCAGTTGAACTATTGTCCGCTCGGAATGATCTGTGGGAATGATAATTGTTACACTGAGGGGCGAAAACGGAACAGTGGCAATTATGTTGGACCCAAATGTTTCCCTCGCCATCGATTTTAATGGTTAACCCATTAGAACCGATCGATGAGAGGACATTGGCCGTGGACTTGTTTCGAAACGGATTTTCGAATCCTCTTAATCCAATAACTTGTCCATCGAAACAACAATCAGACCCATTTATGGTCAACTTTTTAAATCGAGCGTAAGCTTTGGCCACTCGTCGATTGTGTTCCAGGCAAATGATTTTACTCCAAATTCCGTCATCAAGATTTTCCCATTTATTCAACACTTCACGGAGATTATCCTACCGGGATTAGGATTAAGATGGACACAGACACAAGCACATAAAGAGACAATTGAAATTAGGTAACATGATTTACCGATCAACTGGAAATCGGAAATTAGATTGTCAATTTGATCCACTTACCTTATAAAGGAGATCATCTTTGGACCAAGTATCGTCATCGTAATCATCGGCAATGTTATTTATCTCATAATATGATTGAGAGATTGACTTTTTAAATTGTAATTGCTGTTGATTGTTGTTGATTGTTGGCGATTCATTGTAGCCCGAAAAACAATGTGGTTCATCAGAATTTGAATGTTTCCTTCGAGAAGGCATGATGATGACCAGAGAAGAGAAAAAAAGTTTTTCCTCTCTCACTCCTCAGAATAAAAGGTAAAATGTTTATTTTTGTTCTGTTCCTTTTTCCTTCTTACCTTCGTCTTCCTTATCTTCCTCCTCTTTCTCCTCCTAATCCACTTGTTAATCCTCCTTTTTTCTCTTTCTCTCTCTCTCTCCTTCTCTCTCTTTTCTTCTCTTTCTTACCTTTTCCACCGCCTCCCAGTTCGTTTTCTTCAACATATTTACCTAACTTCGAACCACCACCACTACGACTCTAACCTTTTCCTCTTCCTTTGCCTTTCAAACAAAATTTATCTTCTCTTTCTTTCCTCATCATCTTTCCACAGGTAAAGGTTTAACTCTGTCGATTGCCCTCCAAAGTGAATTGTTCTTAGAGAATTAGAAAGAAAGAAAATCTTTTCTTCTCTCTCTTTGTATATAATTTCTTTCTTTTCTAACATCATAATGGCCATCGCATCTTTGAACTGACCAATACCCTTGACCATGACAATAATGTGTGAACTTTCAACTGGTCAGTTGATTTATCGCTTTGTCATTTCTGTTGTTTTATTATCATGGGAAGACTATTGAAAATTCATCATAAATGATCAATAATTTGAGAATTTGATTCAAATAAAAGTAAATATTTTCTCTCAATCAAGAGATAATCTAATCCTTTCCAAAGACAAATAGATGAATTCTCAAACATGATTGACAAGTAACTGTCGGTTTTTCATCTTCCTCTGTCTTTTTTTTGTTCTCATCTTCCTTTTGTCTTTCAATTTTAAGGTAAATACAAAAAAACGAAAAATTAACCAATCGGTAACTTTTCATATTCAATTTCTTGAAAAGCTCTGGTCAACTTAATAAACTGACCGATGGTTAGTTGTTTCTTTGTACAATCAAATATTTACTTTACAATCAGTTAATTGTAATCTTCAATTGACAAGGAAGTTTTTTTCTTCCTTCTTTCTGACATCGTAATTATGATAACAATCACAGTTTTGATTTGTTAATTGTTAGGAGAGAGTTAAAAACATGATTCAGGTTAATCAGGTGTGTGATTTTGTCAATTTGTTTTAAGATTATGATGAAATTATACAATTAAGATGATGAAATATGAGATCGAATCTTGGTCATATTTTTGTTAGGGTTCGAACAAATTTAAAAGAGTAACGGATTAGTGTCCTGAGTGTTGAATTTAAAGAAGGATTTAACTTTTCGTAGGAATGATGTTTGATTTTGATCCTCTCGAATTTGGTTAAAAACATCTTCATCACAATCTTCAATGAATTTCTATTGGAAAAAAACGAAGAGAAAAGAAAAAAACAACAACATGGATTAGAACAAAAGAAAAAGATTTTTGGATTAGTAAATACAATAAGATAATCCTTTCGAACGGAGGTAAAAAAACATGACCTTACCTGCATATCGGTCATAATTGGTGGGTTGTAGTTCTTAATTATGTCCCATGCATCCATGATGATTGAGATGAAAAGACTTAGAACAACATAAGTAAAAAGTGATATAAATGAGTAAATAAATAAACGACTAAACCACCAAATGACAATATCTTCCGTGGCGAGGGTTGCAAAGGTCGCATAAAGGTCATCACCATTGAGAAGTGCGAAAAGACATTCAGATGATGAACTAAGGGAACGAAATTTCAAATGATGAGGACCAAGAACAATCCAACCACAGAGACAATAACCACTAGAGGAGAAATAAACATTTTGAGAAAACTAATTGTTAACAATCAACAATAACAAAAATTGACCATTCGGACAATTAGACTTACATGTAAAGTAGAATAGCACAAAAGGTGAATTTAGTTATATCTGGGAAGGCTTTTTTTACCGTTAATATAACGATGTTGAACTTATCAAAGAAACTGATATAGCGAAGGATTCCCGTCCAGGTCAATAAGATTCCAACGCCGAAAAGGACTGAATATGTACTGGTCAAGGATTGACTATGATCGATTGGACCACCAATTAGTTTGATTATTGAGCCGATCATTAATGCGATGTCGTTGATGAATATAAGGTAAATCCATGGATCGATGAAATCACTTTTGTCTTGAAAGCTAAGTGTTAGGTCATAATGTTTGGCGAAAAAGTTAATTGCCCGTCGACGGAGTAAAAGTCCTCTGATGATTGAGCGAAGGCACAAAATGGAGGATAAAAAGGTTAAACTAATTACAGCAACGCTTGAAATTTCGTTCACCGAAAATCGGGAGACTTTGTTTCCTTCCAAATTTCCAAAGCATTTTTTATGTTCACTTCGAGTGTCGAGACTCATGATAATTTGACCAGCGTGAAGTGAATTATCAAATGCTAGAGAGATTTTGATATCGTAACATTCTGGGAGATTGTAAGAGTCCAAAGCGTTTCGAAAAATGGTTCGAAGATGAGTGTCGACTTTAAGCTTGATCAGACTATCGAAGTTGATGGAATAATTTTGAGAAGAGAGAAAATTTTGGAAAGAAAATGAATTCCAACGAGGATCACCGGCAAAAGCGTAATTTTCAATAACCAAATGATCAACTTCAATATCGTTACTAAAATTGTAGGTAAAGTTAAATGCGTTCTCATCTCCTCGAGCAAATCTCACAATTTCCAACGAAATTGGTGAAACAATCGTTGGATCAGTTGAATCAAAGGCAAAAGATTTAAGACTAGCGGTTGTTATGTTGGAGAAACTTTTCACGAAATAGTTTATATTCCGATCCAGATCATTTTTGGTATAACAAGCAAACGGTCCGGCAGCTGGAGGGTAGGTCATCACTTCCCGAACTGGATCCCAATCGGAGAGTAATATCTCTCGAAGGGTAATGTCTACACTGGCCTGGTGTGATTTGTAACGGGAAATTTCCAGGCCAAAAGAACCAATTTGAACGGTAACAATGATCAATTTCAATATTTGAAGGAGCAATTTCCAAGGGAATTTCTTTTTACTTTTCCATTTGTTGATTGGATTCATGAAGTGATACTTTAATTCTCGTCGGATAGCAGCCACTTTCTGTTGGTCATATTCACTTTCAGTTGACCCTTCCAAAGATTCATTGAAACATTTTGGTTCCGTTGCAATTTTATAAGTTTTACCAGCGTAGTCAATACAATCACTTTTACCATTGGTTGATGAGGCCGTTTGGCCTGAAGTGGTAACTGAAGTAGACGCCACTGGTTCAGGTTGTTCAGTACTATTGTCTTTGGACATGTTGATAAAAACGGAAAGAGTATTCAAATCACCACTCTGTATAAGATTTATTGAAAAAAGGAAACACTTTCAGTGAAAACTCATCGGGAATAAAACAAATAAAATATTTACAACGTAATAGCTGAAGACATACTTACTTAGAATGACATCATAATGGTGATTAAAACTTTTGATAGAACAGCAAATCAATCACGGTCTGAGGGTATTTTTGATATCTAAATTATAAATAGAAAACAAATAGAAGATGATTAGTAAATTGTTTCACTGTTTCGGCGATATCAGACAACCCATATGCTTCCGATGAAAACATTGAAATGTTGTTATCATAAATACAATTAATTGTGCAAAAAGGTTGACACTTAGTTTAACTGAGCACTTGAAACCTAACAGAGAGGAATGATAATCAATTTTATCGGAAACAATTCAAATTACTCAGCAAAATAAACAGCCTTCTGGTTAATAAATAGAAAGACCAACATTTCAAATAGAACAAAGAAACTGAAACAAATCACAGATCTAATTAAATCAAAACAAGGCTAACAAATCAATCGAAATATTGGCCAAAATTCTATAAAATAATAACAATTCAATTCATTTACAAAACAATCAAGATAATTAACAAAGAAGAACAAACAAAAAAAGAAAAACAAACAATGGAAAAGCCAAAAGAAGAAACTGTTTTTTTATTTCGGTAAACTTACATTTACTGTCGTTCATAGTTTCCTATGGATCTCAAAGTGACATTGAGGATGAAAAGTTATCAAATTTAAAGCTAATTGTTAATCAATCAAATTAGAAAAGAAAAAAAAATCAAACGTAAACAATAAAAGAAAAAAATAGAAGTTGAAAAAAACTGATTCTCATGAGAGAGAAAAATCACCGAAGGAAAAATTCTAATAAGAGATGGAGCCACAACCGATTTTCAAATGGAAGTTTAAAAATTTGGAAATCAATTGGAGATTTAATTGAATGCAATTTAAAAATAACATTTTATTAATCGATAGCGAAACGGTAATAGTAACATTAAAATACAAATTGTTAGATCAATTTGAATATAAGTACAGTTTCTTGATCTCCTCAAAATCAACTATATTGTCTTTTATTATTTTTTATAGTCTTTGTTTATGTAGTTTTATTGGTGTTTATGTATTTATGTGTGTGTCTGTTGGGTGGTGGTTTTGTTTATTTTTATTACTTTCCGCCGCTTGATGACAATTTGTTTATTGATATATTTTACGATGATTGTGAACGAACAAGCTCAGCAGATACTTGACCAGAGTTGCCGGTGCCTTGGTTTTTTTGTTGCTGCTGCATACAGCTTCTAGCAACTGATTCAAATAATCTGAAAGTAGGAAAATAGTGAGAAGGAAAAAAAAGTTAATAAGTAAGTAACAAGTTTGCTAATCAGAACGAGGTTGGTAATTGGTTGGTTAACTTACTTTTCAATTTCAGGTGCACATCGGACGAACTCATGATTCCAAAATTTAAAGGATTGGTTTTTAATTAATTCAATAAAGGTTACCAATAGACCCCATGGATGAGGACGATTTACAATAAGTCTTTCCAAAAGAACTCGAGTGATCTGTTCTTGGATGGCTTCTTGATTACTTTCAGCAAAGATGTACAATAGAGTGCAACTAAAGTAATGTGTATGAGAGTTGGGATATCGAAGTTGATTTGCTATCGCGTTCAAGAATAAATAGCGGCCTGAATAGAGTAACAAAGGTAGTAGAAGAAGAATTAGTAAAAAATTAAACAAATTAAGAGAATTTAGTTTGAAAATAATTACCTTCAGTGTCTAGGTCAACAGCTAAATTCTGGAAAATATCCATGTGTGATGAATGAGCGATACTAGACATTGTTATGTGCTTTGGAGTGATGGCTTGAATAGCAGATTGACCGACAAACAGGACTAATGCGTTGATTAATGGGATGTTATAACGAGTACTTTCAGAACCATTAGGATTTTGTAGATAACCTCTGAGCTCACAGAGGAATGTAACTGGACTTCGAGTTCTTAAATAAGAATCCAGTTCTTTTCTGAAAGGTACAGTGTTCAAGACATTAACTGTGTTAGATGTTCCTTTGGGAGGTTGTATGATTTCTGGAAGTGAGTCAATCTTAAGATTTGGTGTAAATGGATCAGGTAATCGCATGTTTCGTGGGAAAGCGCTTAGAACCAAATTTCGCATTTGAATTGCGTTAGGTGGGATAGCGTCACAAAGTTCATAGCAATATTCACACAAGAATTCAGGGAAATCGTGAAGTAAAATCAATAGAACTTTGAGTGTACCCTGTTGAGATAAATGAAAGATAATTAATAAAAGGTTATAACCAAAGAATAGTAATAGATTAACAAATCAAAATGAACCTTACCTTGTAAAGAAGATCAATTGAATGGGGCAATTCAACGTTTCGCAAAAATGGTGCCAAGAATTTAATTATCTCAATCAAAAGAGGAGCATAAAACATCCATCCTTTGGATGAAGAGCCGGTTACATTAGGCCCATTGAGACACTTTTTCATGAAGATACGATGACCGATAAAGTCAAGCCAAGCAAATGCAAATGAAGGAGCTTTGCTAGGTTTCAATAGCTTCAATGTTTGACAGAAAGCATTCAAGACTTGATATTGAATAGTCTCGTAATGAGGATCTCCTTGGTTCTGATTGATTCCAAAATTAAGTTGATGTTGGAAGTTATTCATGACTGGTAAGCCTAAATTGTTGGGACCAAGAGTCAATTCCATTAATAAAATGATTAAAATACGATAATAGGGAAGATGTTGAAATTCTTCATTTCGTATTTCTTGATCTTGAATAGCGACACTACCAATGATGCCCAAAACCTTGTTAAGTAAATTGATTTTAGGAGTTGATTCAGAAATCGATCCAGTATTGGAGCCACTGTGTTTAACCAGCATTACGATGAGATGAGCGAAAGCGTCAAGTGTTTGGAAACATTTGGTTCGAGCTTCAAGAGCAGATGCATTGTTACCATGACCGGATAAAATTCGATAACAATTATCAACGCAAAGCTCAGTTGAGAGTCGGAAAAACCTTGTTATGGAGTCATCTGTTTTGAGAATACCATTATTGTTCATTGATTGGACATAATGGTGGAACACCTTATTAGGCGGAGTATTTGAGTGATAGAGCTGAATCCAGTCTCTCATTAGTCTTTCAGTTTTCTCCAACAGTTCAGAATCAGATTCAATTTCCCGAGAAGAGACGCTCATCGCAGAGCTCATAAGAAAATTTGTCCCATCACTTAGCTGTCCAATACCTTGAGCATTAGGTGCATTGGATGTTCTGAATACATCTAAGCTTGTTTGTATTTCAAGGTTTAAGGGATTGGTTGGACCAGATGATTTGCTGATCTTAATTAAAGCTGAAATAATATGGGGAATTCGATTCTCATTAATTTCACCACCATAAAGTTTCACACATTGTAAAGTAAATGCCAAAGCGATTGGATTGTTAGCGCTTTCGATAAGTTGAGCCATAGTGATATCAAGAAGAGGGATGTTGATGAGCTCGGAACGCATAAGAATATCAAATAGTTCATCGGGTAAAGGTGGAGTTGTAGAGCTGAGTAAACGATCCAAAACTTGTTGAGTTATGTGTTTAGTTGTCCATTGGTGTCCATAAGCTCGAGGATCGGCTAAAGCTTTTAGAATCACCAGATAAAGATCACGAGCTCGAGTGAAAAGGAAATTTTCAACAACCACCGCCTCATAACTCATGAATAGTTCATTGAGAGCTTCGAGGATTCTTTGGATTAAATTAATAGCACTTCCGATGTCTCTTAAATTGTTTCGTGATGCATTGACCATTTCCAATATTGAATGCATGGTTTGGATAAGAATACTGGGTTGCATTGATTGGACAAACTGTTGGAATAAAGATTCCAACTCATTGACTAATTTGTCATAAAGAGTTTGCAAACTAGTATCAATATTATTGGAAGATGAGTCTGCACCGAAATTTGAGATCGGCAAGGGTAATAAAGGAGCTTGAATAGCATTAAGGCTTGCAGAGATTGGATTGGACATGGCAGCGACCGAAGGTAATGCATTGTTTGCAAGATTCTTTAAAAACGTTTGCTCCATTCCGATCGAGTTGGTAATTGGACTAGGCCCAGTGGATCCAATGGGTCCACCGATATTTGAAAGGGAGTTGGTCATTGATGAAACAATTCCCATATTTGGATGATCAGAAATTGGAGCAATGAATCCAGGGATGTTTTTACCAATATCTTCATAAACCTGGAATTGAAGAGGAGTCACTGAACCTACTTTTAGACGAATAGCTTCTGGCATTCGCTCTGCTTGATAAGTCAAAGAACTAGCATCACAATAGCGACGACCTTCAAGTCTTGCTTTACGACGAATGTCGTATTCATGTTGTAGCCTTTTGTCTAATTCTGGAATGGCCTTTTCGATTGCTGTCTTTTGGATGAAACAACAGGCTAGATTAATGTTGCTACTGGCAACAGCATTTGCTGTCTCTTCAATCATTTCTTTTGTTACTCCACTGTTAGGACTCAATTGACGAGTAAATGATTGAATTAGATGTGACACCATTGTAGCATAAAGAGCATCTTTACTTGTGATCATTGCCATACCTGCGGTTAGATTACGGATAAGGTATTGGGCTGCAAGACACATTTTATTTTCATCTGATTCAAGGGCAAAGTCTTTTTTGATTATTTGTTCAGCTGTAGTTAAGCTGATTTTGTTGCTTCTTTCAACGACTGGTCCTACCCATTCTTGAATGGCTCTTTCGACTGAATGTTTGATGAAAAGCTTGAGATTCGGATTAAGTTGAATCAGAGGAAGATCATTTCGTGCGACAATATGTGGTCCAATTGTTGAAATATTTGTTGAAATATCGTGATAATTAAATTGTTGAACAGCAGGGCTAACTGATGAGGTGGGTGTCATCGGTATTGATGCTGATGGAGGCATGTGCGGAGGTCCAATTTGAACGGTGGGCGATGAATTAGGTGGAAGAAGTGAATGAGCTGTTGACTGTTGTCCAACAACTAATGGCTGTGGTAACATTGGCATGGTTAACCTGTTGGTTAAATGAGATTGCGGTTGAGCCAACGGCGGTTTGATGATTTGGCTTGGATGAGATATTGGAGGTTGGCTTGACACAGACTGAGGAGCAACTGACACTGATCCTTGAGAGGATCCTTGCGGTTGAGCAATATGTATTTGATTTTGAACTGAGTTTGAAATAGTGTCAGTTAATTGACTTAATCCAATAGAGCTAACATGGCTTTGGTTTTGACGACCACCTATGGGTCCTAATTGTTGTTCCATCATTACTTTGTTCGCTATCTCTTCATCTTGGAAAATGGTACTCTTACCAATCATTTCGTTGATATCAGTATTAAGTGTTCGACAAAGAACTTCAACTTCAAACCTCAAATTGAGTTTAACATCTCGTTCTTGGTGAAGCTCGACAAGAGCTTTAAGTATACCCATGGTCCAAGGATTGGGAGGCTTGAATACTGTTGATTTTGCACAGCTTTCCAATACTTTGGCGATGAATGGAACAACATAGAGAAGTTCTTGAGTACCTTTGTGATAAGCTTCAATAAGCAGAAATTTAAGATTCAAATCAATTGATAGAATTGGCCTGTTTTTAGCCAGGGTCAACATTCCCAACCAATGACCAAGATTTTTTAGTAGTGTTCGATCACCCATATTAGCAATGACTTTGTCACTTCTCAGTAGAACTTTTATATTGCGGTGAGTTTCTCTAATAACCAATTTGGTCAACTCGGGTAACTTTAGAAGGTCTAAAAAGTTGGCATACAGGGTATGGAAGTTATTCTCAATACTTGCACGTCTTTGAACAAAATATTGAGAAATCCAACCGTAATAAGTATCATCGGTACCAATAAGTTCTTTGAATTCTTCAGTTTTTTGTGCTAAATTCATTTGTGATAAATTATTGATGATAAAACCAACCTTATCTTGCATTGATTCAGGTGGTGATGAATGATTTGTTTCACCGGCGGCTAGAAGAGTGTCAATGTTAGTAGCATTTGCAATGGATGGTCCACTACGTGTTGAAGATGAAGTGATCACTGGAGTTGAGGTAATTGGTTTGTTGATCAATGCTTGAGTTGACACAGAGGTTGGAAATATTTTTGAATGAACTTGAGATAATTGTCCTCCAATAGGACCGGTTATACCCTGAGAACTGATGTTACCAATAGTATTTTGATTGTGTAACATACCAGGCATCATTACAGAACGATTGGAATCAGAATTTAAATTGCTACCTATGTAAGAGCCTTTGAGACCAGGTAAAGCTGAATTGAGTTGACCAGGAGCAGGAGAATGAGCTGAAACAGCAGGATTAGCAACAACATCGGGAAGAGATCGAGCAGAGGGTGGATCCTCTGATACAGCACCAAATGTAATGTACTCTTGAAGTGAACGAGGAAATTCACTGAAATGAGGTATTGACGTTAAATGTTGACAATAGAGTGGATACTCTTTCAATTTTGACTTAAACCTTTCAAGAGCAGTTATACCAAAGTAGTACATCTTTGTGGGGGTCGGAGTAGTGGGTCGATGAAGAGCTTCAAGGACACATCTTAATGCAACAACTAAAGCCATGTATTTAACTAAGCCCAATTGAATTATACCACCAAATAATGACGCAGTAATTAGAAGCTCTTTTTCAGGATATTGAGGAAAATGGAAATACTCTTTGAAAAGATTTTTCATCATACAATTGAATATATCTCTTTCACGGTGATTTGGTGAATCTTGAAATCTTCTTAACATTTCAAGAACGTCATCAACACTCATACTTCCGTTAGTTGACTGATTGTAAATTCTACGGAAATATGTATCAGCTTCTTTCTCAATCTCTGGATTGTTAGTCATTTGATTTTCAGGGAATATGGCATTCACATCGAATAGATAACGTTTGGGCTGATTTTGATCTTGTGACTGAGGTTGTTGTTGTTGTTGTTGTTGTTGAGGTGCCGGTAGAGCTGGAGCTTGTGATTGATGCAAAACCTAAAAACAATTAACAATAATTAATATTAAGAAAAGAAACAGAAAAGCATAAGAATAATTTACCTGTGGTGGTCCAACTTTTTGAGACTTTGGGCCGACCGGTGGTTGCATTTGAGGAGCAATTATTGATGCTGTTGATGCTATTGGTGTTGCTGATGACTGAGATAACGGAGAGTTGAATGATTGTCGAGCCTGACTATTGAATGAGTTGACCGAGCCAGTCAAAGACAAATTACCAATCCTATCGTTAAGGTCACTGAGCGAAGTCACAGCAGGAAGAATTGGAGCCTTGCTAACGGGGTTGCTAATCACACCTGGAGGTGCTGATCGAGGAGTTTTGGATAAAAGGTATGAGGAATTTGCTACCATGGTCAAGATGGTTTCACTTAATTCAGGAGAGATTGGAAATTGGTTTGAAAGAGATGTTGAAGTCACTGAGCCAGCTGAATTACAGATAAACTGTTGTAGACAGGCCAAAATGGTGGCAAGAGTTTCAGATGGTAAAGCTGTGCTCAATGAATTTGCATCCATGGGTTTATTACCACTGACCAGAGCATTGCAACGACGATTTAGGAACACTATACAAGCTTTCACAAAGGGTTCACCATGTGACTCAATTTTATCCATTAACCATTTATCTAATTTAAGATACTCTCTTCTGGACGCTAGACAAGCTAAATCAATAACGAATGGATGACAGTTACTATTAAGCAAAAGACTAAGAGCTTTAAGATCTTGAGCAACATCTAAAATCCTTGATAATCGTTGTTGCTGCTCCTCTGGTGGACTTTTCATGTAAAATTCACACATTGATTGTAGAAGAACCTGTCTGGCCCATTGGTAATTGTTCTGAACATTGCCAATTAAATCATTTGTACTCCAAATGGTGTGCAAAATTATGGCAGCATTAGGATGATTACTGAGAAAGGATGGAATTGCCAAATTAAGAATATCATTTTTACAAATGGAGGAAATACTTCCACACCCAAGTAAACCAAGTGCTACTAGATCGGGACAATGATGGATAGGCCATTTGAATAGGTCGATAATTTGATTGTAAAACATTGAACCCATGGTGACAGATTGTTTGTTTGATGAGTTGGCAGCACTTATTTCAATTATGATCGAATAGAGTTTCTGATATTTCCAATTTGCAAGCTCAGGATTACCTTCAAAATCGGGCAAACATTTGAGAGATTCCATATTAGGTACAAGTTGACACAAGTCACTTCCACCTCCAGGTCCTGGGCCTGTGGGTCCAGCAGACAAAAGCTTAACCACTAACTGATTTCTTACACAATTCATGATTACTCCCAACTGGAATTCAAGGTTATTAGACCAAAGTCGACCGAAGAAAATGATACCAAGAAGAGATATGCCTATGAACGTGTAAAGTAGAGGAGAAATAAAGGTTAGTCAATGAGTAATCAAAAAAGAAGAAGAGAAATACAAACCTTGCTTTTCAGTATTGCAAAGATTGGAACAAAATTGCCAGAATCTTGAGAAGGCTGGATGAATCTTTCCAAAGTGTGACTTGTTTGTGATCAATTTGCTGCTTATATTTATAAAGGCTTCAGAGTCAATCTCTTGAAGAATGTCCATTAACGGGGATGCCGAGGGTAAAAACTCACGACATAAATTTGCTAGAGTGTCAATTTCTTCACACCTTTGAGGTATATTGTTCTCTTGACCTTTCGGATGTTCACACAAAGCAAGTAAAATCTTTGCGCACAGTTTAGGTGTTATTTCAAACTGACTCATAAGCTCAGAGCTTAATTGGGCACCGTTCTCGTTAACCAGCATAGCAGTTATTTGATCATCTGAGAGACCAGAGAGACTACCAAAATTGGACTCCATTTCACTATCACAATCACAGAATGGAGAATCAATTGGTAGAAAATTATCTTCAGTCGTTTGATTTCCACTAGTAGCTTCCAAGTCTATAGATAAAAGTGAACCGTTTTTTTTTGTTGATGAAAATGACGATGGTACAATGATGATGAATCAATTTACAGGTCAATCATGGTCGAAATAAACACATATACAAGAAAATATATGTATGCATTTAGATAATTCCAAACAACAGCAACAGTAGAGAGAGAAAAAGAACAAAGAGACAGAAAAAGAGAAAGAAAGAAAGAAAGGGGAAAGATAGAAAAGGTAGGATAGAAAAAAGAGGCCACAGATATTGAAAGAGGGTAAAAGAGAGAACACAGAGAAAGAAAATAAATAGAAAAAAAATGCAAGATTAAAAATTTGAAATAATAAATAAATAAAATAGGAAATTGAGAGTAAACGATAAAAAAATGGAGTAAACAAAGAGAGAAAAAAAGAGAGTAGGCTCAAAGTATAGAAGAAGAGTATTAGGAGAGAGATAGAATCTTACTTATTTTATTGGGCATTTGTTCTCGATGATACTAAACGATTTTAATTTTAGCAACCAGAAAGTATACGTGAAGATGAGATGTCAAAGGTTACTAAGGTTATTCATTTATTCAGAATTATAATCTCACCTAAACACTAAAAAATGGAAGTGAATTACTGTAAAAGGAAAAAGATTTAAGAACAGGAAGTGGAAAAGGGAGGGTTGGATTTGGTCATGTGACTCTTTCAGTAGGTAGCGAATGAGAAGAATAAAGAAGTTTACTGTTTCCATGGAAACGGCGAATCATGTGATCGTTTCCATGGTGAACATTAAAAGTAGACATCGAAGCCAGTCGATTGAGCCGATCGGTCAGTCGATACTTGATCGACTATATGTATTAGTTGACGTTTTTTGACTAAAGTTGACTAAGCCAATTCGGTTAAAAAGAGCAGTTGAACAAAAATTTATCGACAAATATCGTGAGTTAAACGCTCTTTCATTTGCTTTAGTCGATGTTTTTTTCCAAACTTGACATCAAAGTCCCGATTAACAAGTTTTAAGAGTTTCTTCACTGTGAAAATACAATTTCAAAACTGTAATCGCGCCTTTGAGCTTAATTACGAAAGTTCAATCATGTCACCTTCCTATTGTCTCCTCGGATTTGAAAATTCGCGCCCGAAATTAGTTGACTTGGTTTATTAAGCCACTTGGTTCTGAAAGTGGCTATTAGCTAATGTTCACTCACAACGGTATCTAAATATTTTCTTTCTAATTAGTTAATTGTTTCAACTAATTGTTCTTTAATTGTCAACCTTGAGTATGTCACAAATATTTCGAAATGTCATCGGTGCCATAAGATTAAATCAATCGGTCAAATCTCAGGTAAGATATTTGATTCATTTGGCTCCATTTTGTTTATTTTCTTAGAATCTTTTCTTAAATTTTTTCTTCCTTTCTTTTTTTTTAGATTTCTTATGTTCCTTCCAGACGATTAGCCTCAGAAAAGTGTAATTATCTGATTATTATTGTTCTTCTTCTTTGTTGTAATTGTTTTAATTTAACTAATTTTCTTTTCGTTTGTTAATTTTTAGCTTACAATCAAGTTATTTTACTTGGGAGAGTAGGAACCGAGCCAATGGCTAAAGGAACGGAGGAAAGGCCGGTAGTTGTTTTCTCTTTGGCCACAAATGTTAATATTAAAACGGAAGAGGAAGGAGAATATTCTCAGAAAACAAATTGGCACAGAATTTCTGTATTTAAACAGAGTTTAAGACGCGTTTGTATGGAGCATGTTAAAAAGGGGTGAGTTTGATTTTCGATCTTAATTGTATCTGTCTTAATGATTGATTATTGAGAGAATTTTGAAAGTAATTTCGAAACATTTTTTGTTCTTTTTTATTTTTAGTTCGCGTCTATTTGTTCAAGGAAGGATCTCATATCATTCTATTACCACAGAATCGAACACAATTCAAAAATTATTCTCAATTGTTGCAGGTAAAATCTATGGAAAATCAACAAAGTTATAACTCATTGAGAGTTTGTTTTTGTCAATTTTTTATTAATTTTTTTTTCTCTTTTTCTTTGTTTAAATAGATGAAATAATTTTGGTATCTACACCGGATCGTCATGAAAAAATTGAATCAATTGATGAAGTTGATTGAACAAAATCACGTTTTCTTTTCTCTTTCAACTTGCTATATTTTTTAATTCAAAAGTGCCAACAATTGATTTTTTTGTTCACAATTCCAAGTTGTATCAAGTAACATAATTAGATTTAATTAATCATTTTGTATAAATTAATGGATAAGAATTTATTTACATTGGGAAATAATAAGATTTAGATATGAGTTGTAAGATTATCGGATTTGGTATTCAGATTTAAAGATGAGATTCTTCAGCTGAAAGTGTAAAAGTTGAGGTGATTGTCTTATTACTGATGATTAGTATTGGTAACAATCAAATTCATTTATGATTAAAAAAGGTGTTGGTGTTGATTAGAATATAAAAAAGGTATTTACAATCAAATCAATCTCTCCACCCGTTTTAACATCATCATTATTAAGGTAAACAATCAATTCAATCAAGCAAACAATTAAGGAAAATATTACACGTGAATTAAATTGTTCCGCCATCAACAATATAAACAATCGAAAAAGTTGAAAAGATGATTACAATTAAAACTAATTATCAATCAATGACAAGAAATAAATGAAAAATATGATTAGCAAAAATCCAAGAAGTGCCAACAATTGATTTTTTTTCGTTCACAATTCCAAGTTGTATCAAGTAACATAATTAGATTTAATTAATCATTTTGTATAAATTAATGGATAAGAATTGATTTACATTGGGAAATAATTAGATTTAGATATGAGTTGTAAGATTATCGGATTTGGTATTCAGATTTAAAGATGAGATTCAATTTTGATTTTTGTTTGTACAATAATTACAATCAGATTAATTAACATGATTTGATTGTTGTTAATCTAATTAAAGTTTTCAAAAAATAAGTTTAAGGCACAACAGATTCAAAGATAGACAGAGAAAAAGACATGGTCAAAGAAATTAGATTAATTAGCTAATAACAATTAAAGGGAAGAAATAAATTGTATACAGAATCTGATTAATTTGTGATTAAATTAATTGTTAGAGAGCAACATCTCGTATCGAGTGAGTTGATGAATTTTTTTCACCAAAATCTCTCGGTAATGTTTTCGATTGATAATAATGTTGTTGTTGTTGTTGTGGTAATGGTTGACCATTAGGTTGATGGTTAGGTGATGACCTTAGGTCCATATTACTTCCTGGTCTCATTAGATAATCAAACGGATGATGATGAAGTGGCCTTAAAATGACCTCATCTTTAAACGAATGAGTTGATTGTAGTTTGAACATTTTCCTACGATCTAAACTTTGGGTTGAATGGGTTGAAGTTGCTGGTCCATATAAAGAGGTTCCCGTTGGTTCACCTCGAGTTTTAACTAAATCTTGAAAATTTCTGGTATCAAATTCACTGGAAAGTAAAGATCCACCTCCTTGACCACCACCAACACCATTAAGAGATGAATTAAATTTGAATACAGGATTAATTGTTGTCGAATTGGTATCAACAAATGGATACAACAAATCGGCTTGTGGATTACAACTGTACGAGCTCATACTCATGGCATAAGATGAGACCTAAGAAATTAACAAGAAAAGACAATTATTATCAATTGAATTTGCAAGAAAATTAACAATTTGTATGAGTATTATGATTGATCAGTTGATACATTAAACAAGGTAACAAAATTGTAACCAAATAATTTACAATCCGTGAAGGAAAAAGACAGTTAATCAAATAGGATTGGAAAACATAAACAAAATCATCAACAATTAAGTTAATTGTTTTCTATTGAGCCATTTTCACCTTTTCTTATTACACTTGATTGACTTTTATTCAAAGACAAATGATGATTATCATGAGATCCAACCAACCTGAAATAATCAATGAGACAAGTTAATTGTCAAAGGTAAATTGTTGGAGAAGTAAAAAAAAAAGCTAAACTTTTCACCTTAAATAAATCAACTTGCTAACGAGAAGACAATTAAGTTTTCAATGGTATAATTAAGAAAAAGAAAACATAATTGATTAGTTAAGGAATGAGATACAATGATAATATTAGTTGATGAAAGTTAATTGTTATGACACTGAGAAAAAAATTAACCAACATATTGATGATGAGATTGAAATGAGAGAAGCAATTAAAACAACAATCAACATTAAAAAAACATTGTAAGAAAACTGATTAGATGAAAATAGACCTAAACTAATTAAATTAGCGATGAATATACTTATTGATGAGAACTGGTCATCAAACTATCAGGTCAAGTTGATTGTGAACTATTAACTTAATTAATGAATGGAAATCAGATTGAACAGGAAAATCTAAATTAGTACATAAAAATAACGAAAAAGAGAGACATCAACATATGATGATGATGGAAACAGGTAACAACTACACAATAACAATAATCACAACAATCAACATGATAATAATCAAAAACTAATTGTAGTGGTCAATAGAAAGTAACAATTGAAATGAAATCAACAAAGTTGATTGTAAAACAACAAGGAAAAACTTTTCATCGAAAACAATTTACTTCAACAACTTGATATCCTTTCCTATTATTATCATCATGATAATCCAGTATAAAGTAGATCATGAATGGGCTGAAACATATAATCAATAGTGAGAGTCATCATCATCATCATCATCCTTGATTGTTATGTCAAAGTGGAAAAGGGAGAGAGAAAAAAGCGAAAAAAAAACTGAAATAGAAAAATAATTAGAATTAGAATCAATAGAAATCGAATCGGATTAAATTCAATTAGCTAAACACAAACGAAATCATAACGATCATAATTGTAAAGAAAAGGGATAAAAATGGATCACTTGTTAACTATTGTTGGTGATAAACATTATCACCAACAGAACAATTAAATATTATAGATAATTATGTTACCATTATTAGCAATTTAATCATAATCATCATGTAGTAATCATGATGGTAATCAATGTCTTTGGGTAAAATAATATCTCAATGAGTATATATAAAAAATTGAGACACTTTTTGTTTATCATAATCACTTAATCATCGTCATAATCATTAACTTGTAATAAGCAATTAAGGTACAGAAAAAGATTGAAATAATCATCACGTTCATTTAGATTGTTTTTATCTGTTCAAAACTTAATCATTATCATCAAGATTGAAATCAACAATAATTTGAATTGTGATAACAGGTAAGGGGTGACAGGAAAATCGTTACTTCATTTTACTGAGCGGGAATCAAAGTTCAATAACTTAACGATAATTTATCAATCGTTGGTGTAACAGCAACAACGATCATGATTATTGTTATTATAACCATTGAGTTTGTTTTTTTTGGCAACAATCATCATCGTCATCTTAATACATTTACTTCAACGGATAACTTGATCATGATGAAGATCAATTCATCTCTCTGGTTATACTTTTATTGAAACAACAACATGGTGACTTTGCAATGTTTCAGGATGATGATGATGAGGAGGAGGAGGAGGTAAGGATGACAGAGGTTCCAATTCATAATTGGAAAGGATCTCACACCAACAATCATTTTTTTCTGTTGATTTAGGAAGATAAATATGAATCGGTTGGTTGATCTCTTCAAATTTTTCTCTCCTGGTAATCTATCTCTCTCTCTCTCTCTCTCTTGGTGTAATTGCTTTATCCCCTTCGGTTTATGGTGAAGAACCATGAAGAATTTTTTTCCTTTCAGTAACGATTATAATGAAACCATTTGACAATTTTGAAATTAAGAGCTATTGATATGTTGATTATGATGATGATGATGGTGATTTAACCGGAAACTTGATATATACACTAAGGCGTTTATACCTTAAGTGTTTTGATTGTTCAACCTTGTGGTTTGAAATTTGCCATCGATGATGAATATACATCATGTCTTATTTTTGGCTCTTAATCATTCAACCTTTGAACTTAATTGCAGGATAATGAAAGGGATAAAAAAATACTAATACACAATTTGATATTTAAATAAATGAATTGATCGTTTGATTGTTTGTGATGAAGAAACACCATGAAGAGATTTGTTTTGTTTTCCTTGAGATGAAACAAAAACGACAAAGAAAAACAAACTCAAGATTAAATTGTTAATTGTTGTTCTTTCATCAACCAAATTTAAACATCTAAATTAATTTAAATAGAATCAATGATTCAATTAACTTAGATACAGGTGAGTAATTTTAACCGCGTAAATAATATAACAGATTAAGAGATAAAGGTTGAACTTGTGGTGGAAAAGTTTTTACACTTTCACTTGAGTTCATGATGAATTTTGAACAACAATAGAAACGAAATGAAAAAAAAGGCCCATAGGAAAACCTATTGATCAAAATATCAATCATACAAATTGCAGAAAAGAAAAGGTTAATTAGTGATTAGTGACTCACTTGTTTCTCAGTTTTCCATTGACTGATTAAGTTTTGTACGCAAACCATGAAAAAAACGTTCATTATGGCTCGAATGATGAAAAGACACAACTCAATTTGGCCATTACGAGATTCGATACCCTAGGAGAAAGATGTTAAACAAAATGGTTAACCATATTGATTGTTAATTGTTAACATTTGATAACTTACCCATTTCTCAATACTCATATATAAGACAAGACCACATTCAGGTAAAAATGTCAACGCAATGGTTATCAACCAAGACATGAGACACATGATGGACTTGATAATGATTCCAAGCATTAGTAGCAGGGAGACAACGATGGTTACAAAATATATGGCCGCTAAGATGAACGCAAAAACGGGAACTGAATCCTCGTCATTAAGATGATCATAATTTTCATAATTGTAAATCGGTGTTGTTATAATGAACCACATCTCAAGGGAAAAGGCAATGGCGTAAATGAAAACTCCATAGATCGCTGCGATCATGGATAACATATGAGAAGCACTTTTGTCACACAATTTCATTCTGGTCACTTTTGGAATCCTTTCAGCCTTTGGTAAAAAGCCAAAGAATGTTGACCAATTCAAATTTCTCCGTTGACCAAAAGAAAAACAATAAAACTCCTTTACTTCTTGATCGACGATCCTTTGATTCACTTTGAATAGGAAAATGTCTCCAAATCAATCGATCACTTTTCCAACTGGTTTACAATATAGAATAGAATTATTTAATTGTGCTAGGCCAGCGTTTTCTCTCCATCATTTTCCTTTTTTTTCCAAGGGTGAAGAAGAAAATATAAACAAGAGAATAACCAGAAAACACCTCCAATAGTAACAACCTGTTGTTAGAATAGAAAAAGGTTGGGAAAAGAAAGGAAGGAGAAAAAGAGAAGAAAATTTTTAGAATAGAAAATTAGAATAATCATATTTGAAAGAGTAAATAATAGAATAAATATTGATTGAATAAGGTGGACATGTTGATGTGATTGGAGATTAATCATCTAGAGAGTGTGATTAAGGTAATTAAATGAGAAATAATTGTGAAAATCAATTGGATTTGAATCAAGTTGTCACATTGTGAATCTTCATTGATGAGAACATAGAATGAGAAAATTATAGATTTAAGAGAAATAATTGTAATCAAATTACTTACCTTTTCTTTTAAAATGGTTAATTAGTGACAATTAGTTGATGACAAGTCATTTAAACAGCACTTGTATGAGTAAATTGTACAATTTAAATTACAATTTAGAATAACAATAAAAAGGAAAATTATTATAGAGGAAACAAAGAGTAGATTTGGAGATGTTGTTGCTGATGGAAAGCGGGCTTATGATGTTAACCCAACTTTCAGGTTACAAGAGTGAGAGAGAAAGAGAAAGAGAGAGATAGAGGGAGAAAAAGAAAGAATAAAAAAGAAAGAGAATGATGATGATGATGATGATAGGAGAAAGAGAAAAAAAAGAGAGGTAAATAATAGAAGAAGACAAACCTGAGAAACCAACAAGTTAACCAACTTACCTACGAAAGTTATTAATACATTAGATTGTAAGGTGATTATGATTAGTAAATCATATGGAAATTTCGGGAAGATGGCGAATTAATTAACAATAGAATATGAGGAAATGTTGTAAATCAATAGAAGACCAGAAATGATTAAGGTAATCAAGAAGTTGTACAATTACAGTGATGATTAAAACTGTTGAATTTTGGGTTTGTCATTTAAGAGGAAGGGAAATTGGTCCTGATTGATAAGGTTTCCCAAAGAATTCAATCAAATTAAACAGGTAATCAGAAAAGATCCACACACAATCAGGAGACCACGAAATGAATTAATTGCTGTTGTTGTTGGTGATGAAGAACAATTAAGATGACAGATAAGGTAAATAATTGAAGAATTGATGAAAATGTCACCATGAGAGTTGGAAAAGTTGTCACTGGAAGAGAAAGTGATTCCAACGATTATAGTTGGAGAATTAAATTTAATGTTTAGAAAATGATGAGGATGATGAGAGAGATGATGATGACAAAAGAAAAGGTTTGTTTTGTTCATCTCATTGTTATATAATTATGATTGTTTGTTGATAGTAAAAAAAAAGTTGAAGGTGGAGAGAGAAAAGTGAAAAACCAGATTGACTTTCTCATCCCTTTGTTTTTTTCATTGAAATTGATTCAATTAACAGTAAATTAAATGATTTAATATCACATTGATTAGTACACGGTTTTCTTTTAATTGTAGAACAATTAAATGAAAAGAAAAGATGAAGATGAAGAAAAGAAGAGAAGAGAAAAAAATGATGAAAAAGAAAAAGAAAATGACAATTTTTCTAAAATGATCCATGAAGAATTTGTAAACATTGAATTAATCGTTCTTCTTGTTGATTAACATCAGTTAGGAACATTTTCTCGTGTAAAGTTAATTGTTTATAATTTTTAAATTGTTTAACAGGTTTTTCCTTTTTAATTGATTTATCCTCAACAGTGTTTTTATCATCGTTTGATTTACTTTTCGCTTCATCGTCACTTTTTTTAATCACCGATGGATAATTAGCTCGTCTCTCTGCTCTCCATTTAATTACATCTTCATCTAATTTCTCAGCCATTAAAATAGAAAACAATTGTGCCAACAATTAACAAACCAACAGAGAAACCTATTAACAAATAGAGAAAAAAAAACAATTAAAACAAAAGAAACAAAATTAACCCAAACAATCAACAAACACAATTAAAATCAAAACAGAAAATGAAAATTTTATTTAACATCTGATTCCATGACGCTGCCTCCATCTATCGGCGAAAATAGTAACTAAAAGGAAACGATTTTAATTTAATTTAATTGTTCTAATTTTAGTATAAAAAAAAAGTTATTTGTTTATTTTTGTTAAGTTTTTTTTTTCATTTGTTTTACAAAAAATAGATTCATTTAGTTGTGTCACATTGAATATGATTAAATATGACAACAAGAAAACAGATTAACAGGTTTGTGTGTGAGTGAAAATAACAATAATTGTAAAGGTGATTTTGAGAAAAGGGATTAATAAGATTAGAGGAATTGGATTAACATTTACAATTGGCTGATTGGAGAAAAGAAGTTATTTAAAGTTGATTAACAATGGTAATACAAATATACGAAAGGTGATTGTGTCATCTTTTATAGAATTAATTTGGAACATGATTTGATAAATTAACAATTGTTTTAAATTGACCAGAGTGATAATCAAATTGAAATTGAGAAGTTTTCTCTTCATGTTTATTAATAAGTTAAGGAGATAAATGGTTGGGTTAAAGGAGAAAGGGACAATTTGAATAAATAAGTATCTATCACAATGAATTGTAATCATTTAAGGAGGTAGTTTGTGGTTAATTAAACGTAATTAGTGATTTCCTTCCAATTTGCTTGTAACTTGATTATTGACGAGATTGAGAGGGACAACGATTGCTTCCGACTTCGAGGCTATTTACTAGGACTTTTTTTGAATCGAAGTTGAGATTTTTTTTCAAGTTTTTTTGTGTAGTTTTGTATCTTTGAACTTTTTTTTGTCGAGTGACAGTTTGAATTATTGATTAAAAGTAAAGTGTATTGTTCAGTAGTCTTGATATTGATTCCGGAATAGTGACTATGGATTCCAATTTAATTTCATGTAAATGAGTTAATCCATCCATTGATAGTGATCGTAAATCAGGTAATTTAGATAAAATTGATGAAAAATAATGTGATTTCTTTTGGGCTTCAGCATTATAAGTAACATGATCTCGGAGAGATTCAATGATTTTCATTTGTAAACCTTCAACTCGAATTGGATCAACGAGTCCATGACGAACTGATTAATCAAAGGATAGTAAAAGAGAGGAAGAGAGAGAGAGAAACAAATTCAATTTTTCATTAGCATCATTATTTCAATCAACAATCAACAATTAACAATCAATAAACAACAATCGAAAGTAATCTCAATTATAAATAGATATTATAATATCCATTTAACAAAGATGATGATGATGATGATGATGATTAGTTGGTGTGATTTTTTTTCACAATGATTATCATTATAATCGTGATATGAATTAAATGGCTAATATTCAATCACCACAATCATTTTCTAATTGCAATTTCAGCAATTCAAAATCTTTAACAATTAACTAAACCTTTTTTCTGTTTATCATGCTAACGTATTAACTGTTACTAGACATCATCATCCTCATCATCTTCATCATCATCATCATCATAATCAATATTATTATCATTTGATTTCGCCCTCAATTTGATATACTAATTTAGTTACTGGTTTTTATTCAATTACAAGATTCACTTTTTTATAATATTATTAATAAGGATATTAATTATCTTGATTACTGTTGATCTTTTTGTTTCACTTTTCTCTAACGTTTTAATTACTATAATTAAAGGAAAAGAAAGTAAATGTGATCGTTAGCTTACCTGTGATTAACGAGAGGCCTAAGAGACAAGCAAATGCTGATATGTCGATATCTATTTGAGCAAATCGAGATGAAAACATTTCTAGATTGTTAAACCAAGAACCGAAAAGTAATTTAACTTGATTACGATGAAGCACAACACCATTGGGTAAAATAATCTTCTTGGATCCTGGTTTATTTCTGTTGATTGAGAAACAAATAATAATCACAATTAACATTTATATTGTGTATCAATTTATTGTGACAACTTGATACAAACAAATAATAATAAAAACACAAAATTTGTCACTAATTAATAGTAATAAATTTCTAATTATTATAGTTGAGTTACTACTTGAATTCATCACAAAAAAATGAAATGATTAATATTGATACTTACTGATGGGCCATACGAAGAGTTATCATCTCAAGACAAGCTGAATTTAATAATAGTTCTTGATCATGTTTCTCTAGATCATTGAAACCCGGAACTTTATCGGAAAAGTTTTTCATAATATTCATTGATGACATCAAAAGATTAACAAATTGTTGACGAGACACTGGATTTGAATTGAATGTATCTGATTCATTAATCTCGCAATACTATATAGATGAATTAAAGATAAATAGTTAAACATTAGTTACAATTAGAGATGAATTTTCAACTAGTAACTTACTTGACTTAGATCGAGATTTGAAATATCAGGACAAGTGTCTACATGAGCTCGAACCAAAGCTGTAATTGTACTAATCGGAGGTGATGGTGGTGATTCTTGTGGAGACTTTGGTTTAGATGGTAATCTACCTCGACGACCTTTTAGATTATCAGTTCGTACCACTTCTTTTACCATTCCGACGGCTAAACACTTTTGAAATCGACAAAATTGACATCGATTTCGTCGACGCTTGTCAACTGGACAATCCTTAGAGCCTAAACAAACATATTTCGAGCCTTTTTGAACAGTTCTCTTAAAGAATCCTTTACAACCTTCACAGGTTCTCACACCATAATGTTGACAAGCAGCATTGTCACCACAAACTGCACACAATGTATTCAATTGTTGTTGTTGTTGTTGTTGTTGTTGCTCTTGATGGTGAGACTGGTGCTGATGATGATGATGATGACCAATTGATGCTGGTGATGATGCTCCGCTTGGTGTTATTGTTATTGGAGTTGATGAAAGTGATGAGGATGAATTGAAGGTTGATAAAGTTTCTTTACCAGTTGATGTTGATGCTTTTGAACATTTGGAACCAGAAATTTGAATTAAATCGGTCGGAGAAGACCGATTAGAACTAGTTCTTGACGAATAACCAAGGATATTGCTATTTGAACTAAAGATATTAGGTGAGCCACTTATAGATGAAAATGATGACCTCGAAATGTTCATCTGAGATCTGTGGTGAGACAAATTTAGAATACAAAAAATTAGTTAAATCTTGCATAAGTTTCACTTAATTTACTAATCTAATTCAAGGACATTTTCAAGTCTTTGTAGCTTCGATTGAAACGAAGAGAAAAATATCTCAAGAAAAGTTTACTGTCAAATCTTAGATTTGTTGTCAGCACCAATTCAAGGTTGTTAAAGTACATTGACTTGTAGGTAAGAAACTGAGTGATTTAGTATCAAAGATCAGATTATCTCGAAATCCTCACGAGATTTACATCAGAAAAACTAACAATATCTTGGAGAAATTAGCAAACTCGAATCCTTGATGAAGACCGGTTACAATTTCAACTACTCGAGGGAAGATTTAATATAATGCTGATATTTGTTTCTTCAAATTAATTTCGCGTTTATCTGATCATTTAAAATGGACATTCCAATGAGGAATTAACTGATTTTACGTTTTAAGTTAACTTTTCCCTCTTATTGTTTCTCTGGGTTTAACCATATATTTTTTACCCGATTTCGTACCTCATTGAATGTTCAATTGGTCCTGATGGGTGATTAGACCCTGAACTTATGATATTTGGTATTATTGGTGATCCAATGGGGCGATATGATGATCTTGGTATGGGTGACATTTGTGTTAACTGTTGTTGTACTTGATTATATTGAATTTGTTGGTTATGATGTGCTTGATGGTGATATTGCTGTTGAGGAGTTTGTTGATAGTTTTGTTGCTGATAATGATCAGGATTTGGTGTTGATCTTGCTGATAGAGAGATATAGCCTGGACTAGAGGCAACACTTGAAGTCCTTGGGTAGGTAACATTATGGTGATGTGAAGAACGACTAAACTGTAATTGTTGCTGATTAAGATGCTCATGTTGTAATTGTTGCTGTTGTTCAAGCATTGTTTGTATTGATAATGGTATTGAATCAATATCATTATCAATATCTTCCTGTTTTACAAATGACAAATCAACCAATGAACCTGATGCTTGACCAGATTTTTGTAATGATACAGATCCAAATGAAACTGTTGATAATGATGTATCTTCATCATTTAAATCACCAATTTCATCAAATTTAAAAAATGATGAACCATCATCAGTGATAGAGTTTAATCCTGATTGTGACTCTGATTGTTGTTGTTGTTGTAACGATTGTGATGATGTTGATTGTGGTGGAAAATTTCTTGGTGAATAAATCTCCATGAAACTTGGTAAAGTTGCTGAAGTTGGTGTAGTTGGTGTTGAGCTTAATGATGTTTCAGTTGATCCAATCAAAGGTCTAGACGAAACAAACAAATGATAAACAAATATTAATTAAGTAAATGTTTGTGATTTGACTGGTTTAGATCTATGAATGAAATTAAGCTTCAATTCAGAAGTTTAAATTAAGTTTAGTTCAGGTACTTACCCTTGATTATTGTTTAAGAGTAAATTGTTACTCTCACTACATTGATTGTTATTATTACTATCGGTAAGATTAACTGATTGATTATTGATATTGGTGTTCTCGGTAAAACTGAGACCAGATGATGATCTTTGTTGTTGTAAATTTAATTGTATTGCTAATTCAATGGGTGTTGGAGTTGATGTAGGTGTCGGTGTTGTGGTTGTGGTTGTGTTATTGGTGGTTGTGGTTGAAAGTGATGATGAGCTTGGTGTAGAGTAACCAGATGAAAGTCCAATTGAATCAAATGTTGATTGTTGATTGTTGAACATTTGATCAAGGGAATCGTCCAAAGGTACATCAATTGAAAAATCAGCCAAGTTAATGTCTTGAAAATCTTCGTCGCAATTAAATTGATTAAACAAATCAAGATTTGTTACTGACGAAGAAGAAGAAGATGATGATGACGATGAGTGAGAAATTGGTCCGTTGAATGAAGAGCTCTGAACATTTGATTAAAAGAAATTAAGAATTTCAATCAAATGAAAATTAAAGAAAAGAAAAAGAAAAAGAAAAAATGAAAAAAGAATAATTAATAAATCAAATTAACACTTCAACACATGGAAACATATCAACACCATGTAACCATGTCTACTAATCTATAACATGTAACATTTCCCATGCTTCAAGTCTCAATGTTCATACAAATACTCAGTTAATGTTCATATACTTATACATTACTATTAATATATTTTTCTTATCTATTGCTGATACTCATCAGAACGATATGGAAATGATATACAATTAGGATATATAAAGATATCAATGAATTTGTATTAATATTTACCTGATTTTGATGGATACAAAGCATATTGTTACTGCATGACCCAATCAAAGGTCTAATTAAATTGATTCCGTTCAGATTAACACGATCCAAATTATTGTTACAAATATTGGTACGTTATTATTGTTATTTGATTCCTACTGAAATGATTTTGATGACGACGATGATAATTCAATGGTGATTATTATGTTGCTGATGATGTAGATTGTGGTGATGAAAACGATTGTTGATTATCCTCTTGATGAATTTGATTTTTAATCCAAATACAATTCTAATCAAATCCAATCAGTTCCTTAGTAATCCAAAGGAACTTTGATAGATTCTTTCCACTGTTCAATGTTATGGTTGTCACTGGAATAGAATGTCACTAATTTACTAGATTAACACACGAGAGAAAATACAAGACAGATTTAATTAGAGAACATCACCAATAATCAATCGAAATTGTAATAAAAACTTGAAACACAAAAAGAAAGAAAAAAAAGAAAGATGAAGAGAGAAATAAGAAAAAGTTTCACTTACATTTCGAATGAGAATTTGAACAATATTCGAAAAGGCAAGACAAGAGAATAGAATAGAACCGAATAGAATAGAAGAGAAGAAAATATGAGATTATGATGATGAGAGAACGAAGAAAACAGAACTAGAATCCAATGGAATTATCAATATTTCTCCAAATAACAAGACAAGTCGATTAATTGTAACAATTTTCTTAAACTTTCACGAAATAAATTAACAGATCAACAAGTTGATAACAATGAGAAAAGATCACAATTAACAGATAATTTAAATTGTAGAAATAAAATGAAATCTTTTTCTGGTTAATTGTTTTGGGTTTCAAGTGTTCAGTTTGATATTCACATGGTTTCTGAGGAATGACAAGACTCCAATGTTAACTAAACTCAATGTTTCTCACTCGTTTTACTCACTCAAATAAACTCACTGAGTTTACTCACAACAAAAAACTATGATGCTCTTAGTCTACATCATCATCATCATCATTCTCATCTTCATGTTGATGATGATGTTGATTAAATTGATGATATTACGTAGAAAGAGGAATAAGAATGAAAAAAAGTAGAATCTGTTATAATAGGAAACATTTCGTCACAAGTGACGTGAACATAAGTATGACGTCTAATAGAAATAAAAGAAAGAAAAAGAGAGGCAGAGAAAAGAAAGAGAAAGAAACTAGATTGTAAGAGAAGAAAGAGAAAAGTAAGAGAAACGAAAGAGAAACGAAAGGTAATTTTGGAAGAAAGCAAAATAATATCGATCTTATTTTCTAGTTTCCAATGGAAACCTTCAAATGACGTAATTCGAGAGAGATGAAAAAAGAAACAAGAAAAAGCCTAACGGGTTTTCTCTTATTTTTCTTCTCCTTCTTTTTCTCTTCCTGCTCTCTCTCTCTCTCTCTCTCTCTCTCTCTCTCTCTCTCTTCTCTCTCTCTCTCTCTCTTTTCCTCTCTTTTTCTCTATGGTTTTTTCGTCCAACTATTTCAATAGCAATAATAATCTACAATAATATAATGTAATATATTATATTTATAGCTGAGAGAGTGAGATTCCATGTTAAAAATAGAAACAGATTCTGTTGTTTGTGTCTAAATTTACTTTCAACCAGAATTTGTATCATGACGTTACACCTTATCTTCATCATCTTCATCCTCATCCTTTCAGTTTATCCTCTAACATTGACATTGAATTCCAAGTGATTAACATAAACACTAGACAACAGTAATACTTTCATCATCAACAATTAACAGTTACATTTTAATTGTTTTTTTATTCAAATTAACTGAATAAATAAAATTCTCGACTTCCTAATTGATTAATCAACAAAACATCATTTAAATTACATTCAGGGTTATCAATTTGTTGATTAAATTATGCACTTCTCTCATCACTTGCTGCATATACTATCTCACTGAATTTGTCTGATTGTAAGTAAAATTTCAATAATCAACTTGATTTGGTCAACAATTTAACAAATTGTTATCAATCATTTATCTGAATAAGTATTCCTTCAACCAATAATACCACCAACTGGTAATCAAGTTAATTGTTAACCTTTAACTAGAAGACTTTAATTGCTTACCTATTAAATTGATTATTTGAAAATAGTTATTTAAAGCAAATCAAATAATAGAAACAATTTACCAATACTCTAATTTAATAATAGCAACTTAAGGGTTAACATTCACATTATTGTTAATTGTAATCAATAATATGAGGTTAATATCGAATCTTCATCTATTGATTATTTAATTTTGTTTCAATTGATTTATATAAATTGTCTCTTATTAATAAATTACAATTATATTACAATTTAACAAATTTAACAGTAAATTGATGTAAAAATGATCAATCAATTATGATATTGTATCAATATGGATGCAGAAAAAAAATAAGACATTTACTGAATAAGATTAGTGGGTGTTTAGATTTGATTAGTGAGCTAATAATTTATCAATGATAGTATTGAGTATATTATAAATAAATAATAAACGGAAATGTCCATTGTCTTTATCGATCAATTATTTATAAATAGTAACATCAAGTAGCAACAGTGGCTATTGATATCATCAGGTAGTCGTAGTTGTTGTTAAAAACGTAATAAATTCATTCATCAATTGATTTCCATGAGCTGATCAATTGATTGGGTGATTGTATTACACTGTAAGAGAAAGAGAAAGAGAGAGAGAGATTTAATTTTTACTCATTCATTTGGTATTAATTAAAGTAATTAACGTAATAGTAGTATGATAATAAAAATATAAATTACTTATTCATATTATTACTATTAATATTATTACGTTGAACATGTCAATTTCATACTAGACAGTGCAATTAATAAATTAACTGTTCATTCATATAAAACATCACCAGACATGAAGGAAATTGTCATTAATAGTTTTGGTGGAAGAAAAAAAATTGATTACAAAATAACTGTTAGTTAATTGTTTCTTTTTTCCAATGATTTGTTCTGTCAATTAATAACTAAATATATCTTTCTATCTGCGTTAATCAACATCACCATCGCCATCATGATCATCAAATCTACGTGTGAAAGATAAGTGAGTGTGATTATGATTATAAGCATTGATTGTTGATGATGATAATGATATTGTTAATAGCACAATAAAATTAATAGCAATCGGAAGCTGTTAGTAGTTATAAATTAATATAATACTTCAGTTGCTGTTCACTGTCTTTAGCATTGGTTAATTGTAACTTGGATTTATAAATATTCCTGATTGTTGTCATCTTGTAGTAATCACTTATAACCATTTGGTTAACAGGTTCCAAAGTAAAATTAATCTCCATGAGTTAACAGTATTGTTTCTGGTTACAGAAAAGTGAAATTCAATATTCTCCTCATCTTTTTCTTCACTTAAAATGTTGTCAACAGGCTCATCAATTTACTCCTTTAATTTATCATGGAATTGAAATAACATCATCATAAAGGTTTGGTTACCATCAACACCTCCATCTCCTTGGAAAGGCCACACCAGTTAATCACCCAACAGGATTATCATTATTATGTCAGAGACAAAAAGAAAGAGTAAGAAGACAAAGAGATGAAGCTAATCACCATTTAATCTCAATCTTACCCATTTACATCACTTTCTAGAAAAAGATACAAGAGATACACAAAAAAAAGCTAATTAATCCAAAGGCAGGAAAAAAAAAGAGAAAAGCAAAAGATAATCTCAGCAAATTTGTAACATTGAGACAAAGAGAAGAAATTAATCACCAAGGTAATTCACATTTCCATTGGAAACGCAGAGTAACAAACAATATTTCTTTGGGAAGGTTAACTAATTGTTGCCAATTATAATAAAACAATTAAAGAAACAAAATGAGATTAAAAGTAATTAGAAAAACAGAATACAAAGTAAAAAGAATAGAATTTATTTTTCTCTTTCTTTTCTCTTTCTTTTTTCCAAGCGAATGTGTCGCCACCTTGTTGACATTTTAATTCTGTTGAAGATTTTCCCTCTTCTTTTTTGTTTCTCCAACCAAAAAGAAACAGTTACAAATATTGAAAGAAATTCTTAATACATTTGTTTCTCGTATCATAATTAATTTAATTACTTTTCTCCCCCATCAGTTAATTACTCTATTAGTGTGTAATAATCTTCTAATATCAAGTAGCAATAATCAACCACTTTAATTATGTTAATCTTATTAATCTTTTCTGTGTTTGATTAGTTAACGTTTATCTTTTTTATTGTTTCATTGTTACCCTTTTATGCTTATGGGATGGAAAGTGAACCCATGTGACTTAATCTCTTTGTTTTTTTTTCTTCTATTCTCTTTGTGATTTTTTTCCTTCCTTCCTTTTTTTTCTATTGTTTATTTTTAGAGCATCTTAATTTAATTGTCAAGTGTGTTTATTGTTATGCCAATTGTGATCATCAATTTCATCTCCATGTCTTCAACTATAATCAAACATCCGGCTTTTACTGCTGATCATTTTTGTCTGTTCTCTATCTCCCTCTCTCTCTCTCTCTCTCTATTTCTCTCTCATTCTATATTATTTCAATTTCATAATCATCTTCACTTTTTCAAGTTGACGATCAATAGTGATAATATCATTGATGCTGATGATGTAGAGGGAAGGGGAAATCTAATCAAGTACTTTGTACTCGACAGAAACTTATCTGTTAATACAAATAATAATATGTACATATTCATTTTTGTAAATATAATTAATGATTCTGTTGATTATATCTCTGTTTTTTAAACCTTAACTATCTATTCATCTATAATTTAATCATATTTAACTCTTAATTGTTGATTAATTAAGAGAATTGAGAGAGAGAGAGAGAAAAAAAAGAGGGAAAGTTATAAAATCATCACTATCAAGTTAATTGATGTTTCATTCCTGATAATTATATCACACCAAACGCTTTAAGGTGTCATGTAATAATAATAATAATATGATTAGGAACATTATTAACAAGTGTACTCATAATCTTAATAATTAATACACTAATTCCTCGATGATATGGAACAAGATAGATAATCAACAATGGAAGGGGAAAAAAGCTCACACCACCACCACCATGGAGAAAGAGTCACTACCACACACTGAGGGGAAAAAGTGAAGGAGAAAGAGATTAATTATACCCAAACATGAGGAATTAAACATTAACATCAATTGTCTCATCAACTGTCAAATGGTAAACAAATGTTGGATTAACCAGAAAAAAAAATTCAGAGGCTAAATGATGCAGTTAAATTGTCACGAATTGGGAAAGACCATGTTTACTATTGTGTCATCAAAACATCAACTCATCAGACAGAGATACATGAAGTTGAGACATTGAATGTGATTATTATATCAAAACCAAAATAGTGAAAGTAATCGTTATACTGGATTAATGGATAAACTTGAATTGATCTCATTTAAATGTAAATAAGCACTCGATGGTTACATAAAGGATGTCATACATGTGAGCATTTGAATTGGTGCAAAGGAGGGAAATCCTAGGAATTATCATCAACAAAAACCAAGCTAAATATACAAAGATAATGAAAAAGAGGTAAGTCAATTTAAAGTCGTTCATGTTTATCAATTTTTACAACTATTATCAAATTCATAGTAAGTCTAGTTACGCATTTGCAGGAATTACTGTTATTTTTGATAAATAAGATGTTGATTATATTAAGCCTACCTACTGAGTTTTAACAGGTAGTTGTTGTCAAAGTGAACACGATGATGCAAATGATTTAGATGACGATAAATATTATGAACGTAGTGTTATTAAAATAATAATAATAATAATAATATACTACGAGTTGAATATTACTATGATTGTAAGAAAGAGGGAAAAAGTTTCTAGACACAAATGGATCAATGAAACTTTTACTATCTTTTTTTTTGTGATGTCACAACGAATTACTATTCACACGGTTCATCATATTTCATCATGTATTCATCTTAGTTTTTTCTCTTTCTTTTCTCTCTTTCTCATCTTCCTAGTGATGATGATAAAGTAAAGAAAAAAGGACGCAAATGATGAACTTGAATGATGCTGAAGAATAGGAAAAGTAAATATTGTGGAAAAAAAAGAACAGGAAAGAGAATAGAGAATAGAGAAAGGAAGAATTATTGATTTTTCTATTTGGGTTAAAACCAGAAAATTCCAACTGTACAAAGAGAGAGAGAGAGGAACATATGATGATGATGAAGATGCGAAATATAAAAGAATAGAATGAAAATTCCTAGAGAATCTGGTTGCTTTACTGAAGATTAACATGTTAATCAACAATCGAGAATGACGACCTTGCCATAGTTTCTTTATTATGATAATATGATTATATTTTGAGTGATGTAATTGTTGATGATGTTCTAAGGTGTTATAGTTGTTGTCTAGTGTTTATGTTAATCACTTGGAATTCAATGTCAATGTTAGAGGATAAACTGAAAGGATGAGGATGAAGATGATGAAGATAAGGTGTAACGTCATGATACAAATTCTGGTTGAAAGTAAATTTAGACACAAACAACAGAATCTGTTTCTATTTTTAACATGGAATCTCACTCTCTCAGCTATAAATATAATATATTACATTATATTATTGTAGATTATTATTGCTATTGAAATAGTTGGACGAAAAAACCATAGAGAAAAAGAGAGAGAGAGAGAGAGAGAGAGGGAAAAGGAGAAAGAGAGAGAGAGCAGGAAGAGAAAAAGAAGGAGAAGAAAAATAAGAGAAAACCCGTTAGGCTTTTTCTTGTTTCTTTTTTCATCTCTCTCGAATTACGTCATTTGAAGGTTTCCATTGGAAACTAGAAAATAAGATCGATATTATTTTGCTTTCTTCCAAAATTACCTTTCGTTTCTCTTACTTTTCTCTTTCTTCTCTTACAATCTAGTTTCTTTCTCTTTCTTTCTCTGCCTCTCTTTTTCTTTCTTTCTTTCTTTCTTTTATTTCTATTAGACGTCATACTTATGTTCACGTCACTTGTGACGAAATGTTTCCTATTATAACAGATTCTACTTTTTTTCATTCTTATTCCTCTTTCTACGTAATATCATCAATTTAATCAACATCATCATCAACATGAAGATGAGAATGATGATGATGATGATGATGTAGACTAAGAGCATCATAGTTTTTTGTTGTGAGTAAACTCAGTGAGTTTATTTGAGTGAGTAAAACGAGTGAGAAACATTGAGTTTAGTTAACATTGGAGTCTTGTCATTCCTCAGAAACCATGTGAATATCAAACTGAACACTTGAAACCCAAAACAATTAACCAGAAAAAGATTTCATTTTATTTCTACAATTTAAATTATCTTTTAATTGTGATCTTTTCTCATTGTTATCAACTTGTTGATCTGTTAATTTATTTTTCGTGAAAGTTTAAGAAAATTGTTACAATTAATCGACTTGTCTTGTTATTTGGAGAAATATTGATAATTCCATTGGATTCTAGTTCTGTTTTCTTCGTTCTCTCATCATCATAATCTCATATTTTCTTCTCTTCTATTCTATTCGGTTCTATTCTATTCTCTTGTCTTGCCTTTTCGAATATTGTTCAAATTCTCATTCGAAATGTAAGTGAAACTTTTTCTTATTTTTTCTTTCTTTTTGTGTTTCAAGTTTTTATTACAATTTCGATTGATTATTGGTGATGTTTTCTAATTAAATCTGTCTTGTATTTTCTCTCGTGTGTTAATCTAGTAAATTAGTGACATTCTATTCCAGTGACAACCATAACATTGAACAGTGGAAAGAATCTATCAAAGTTCCTTTGGATTACTAAGGAACTGATTGGATTTGATTAGAATTGTATTTGGATTAAAAATCAAATTCATCAAGAGGATAATCAACAATCGTTTTCATCACCACAATCTACATCATTAGCAACATAATAATCACCATTGAATTATCATCATCGTCGTCATCAAAATCATTTCAGTAGGAATCAAATAACAACAATAACGTATCAATATTTGTAACAATAATTTGGATCGTGTTAATCTGAACGGAATCAATTTAATTAGACCTTTGATTGGGTCATGCAGTAACAATATGCTTTGTATCCATCAAAATCAGGTAAATATTAATACAAATTGATAGATATCTTTATACATCCTAATTGTATATCATTTCCATATCGTTCTGATGAGTATCAGCAATAGATAAGAAAAATATATTAATAGTAATGTATAAGTATATGAACATTAACTGAGTATTTGTATGAACATTGAGACTTGAAGCATGGGAAATGTTACATGTTATAGATTAGTAGACATGGTTACATGGTGTTGATATGTTTCCATGTGTTGAAGTGTTAATTTGATTTATTAATTATTCTTTTTTCATTTTATTCTTTTTCTTTTTTCTTTTTCTTTAATTTTCATTTGATTGAAATTCTTAATTTCTTTTAATCAACTGTTCAGAGCTCTTCATTCAACGGACCAATTTCTCACTCATCGTCATCATCTTCTTCTTCTTCGTCAGTAACAAATCTTGATTTGTTTAATCAATTTAATTGCGACGAAGATTTTCAAGACATTAACTTGGCTGATTTTTCAATTGATGTACCTTTGGACGATTCCCTTGATCAAATGTTCAACAATCAACAATCAACATTTGATTCAATTGGACTTTCATCTGGTTACTCTACACCAAGCTCATCATCACTTTCAACCACAACCACCAATAACACAACCACAACACCGACACCTACATCAACTCCAACACCCATTGAATTAGCAATACAATTAAATTTACAACAACAAAGATCATCATCTGGTCTCAGTTTTACCGAGAACACCAATATCAATAATCAATCAGTTAATCTTAATAACAATAATAACAATCAATGTAATGAGAGTAACAATTTACTCTTAAACAATAATCAAGTGTAAGTACCGCTAAACTTAATTTAAACTTTTGAATTGGAACAAATTGATTGCTGATTTGTAGACATAAATGGTTGAGCAAAGAGATTGACTCTTTTGTTTTTCTTTTATGTCTGATTAGTTTGTGCTTCCTTGGTATTTCCAATTTAAAACAAGTCAAATTATAATAACATTGAATTAGTTAATTAATATTTGTTTATCATTTGTTTGTTTCGTCTAGACCTTTGATTGGATCAACTGAAACATCATTAAGCTCAACACCAACTACACCAACTTCAGCAACTTTACCAAGTTTCATGGAGATTTATTCACCAAGAAATTTTCCACCACAATCAACATCATCACAATCGTTACAACAACAGCAACAACAACAACAACAACAACAATCAGAGTCACAATCAGGATTAAACTCTATCACTGATGATGGTTCATCATTTTTTAAATTTGATGAAATTGGTGATTTAAATGATGAAGATACATCATTATCAACAGTTTCATTTGGATCTGTATCATTACAAAAATCTGGTCAAGCATCAGGTTCATTGGTTGATTTGTCATTTGTAAAACAGGAAGATATTGATGACGATCTTGACTTGGATTCAATACCTTTACCGATACAAACAATTAATCAACAAAAGTATCATCAGCATCAACAACATCATCATAGATCTCAACAATTTAACCAATCATCTCATCACCAAGATATCAATACATTCACGGAAGTTCAAGCGTTGCTTCTAGTCCAAGTTACTTGTCATCAACAAGATCAACACCAAACCCAGAACTCTGTCAACCACAACAACAACAATACCAACAATCAATTCATCAACAGCATCAGCATCATCACCATCCAAATGCGCAATCACAACTACGTCAATTACAACAACAATTACTTTCACAACAACAACAGCAATATCAAAATGATGGCATCAATGTATCAGGTGCTTCACCGGCATCAATTAATTTCACATATAAACATAATATTGACCAATGTTGTGCTAGTCCATGTTCATCAATAGATAATCAATATCGTCATCATCATCACCATCAACATCATCAACATGTACAACAATCATCACAAATGTCATCAATTCCTGAATCACCATTTCAACCTATTGGATCCCCACTTACACCAAATGATAATATTATTAATCCAGGATCTAATCACTTACCGACATCAGCTGAACATATAATCAGGTAATACATTAATGATAAGGTTCTGAGTAAATGGTTATTATTACCAAGAAAAAAAAATTGGAAAACTAATCAAACAATTAGACGGAAAAGTTACTCATAAATTGATTTTTAATATAAAACTAAGTACGTGATTAACAATTGAATGTCTTAATGAGATAAAGAGAGAGGGAGAGAATAAGAAAAGTTAATTGTATTTTCATTTTTCTCTTCCCTTTGTTAATGGAAAAATTTAAATTTCCCTTTAAAGCTTCAATTCGTTAGTAAACAAACTGGACTGTCCAAGTTTGTCTAACGTTTTTCCATTAATGAGAGAAACGCCTTGTGCATTGACGACAATTACTAACCGGTCCGATCAAGGTTATACTTATATTAACCATCATCAACAATTTAAATTATAGTTTTGATTTTTTTCTTGATTATATTGAGTAAGATTTTAAATGTCTATGGAAAAAAAAACTTGTTACTTTTTCTTTAGGTCAAGTCGATGAACCGCAAAACCTTGAGTACTTTTGAAAGTGTCAGTTTCATCTTCTAATGTAAGATATTGAGGGACAGGAAAATACGAAGTCTATTTGATATGATCTATGTCCTTGGTTTCATTTTGCCAAGAAAATTCAATCAATAATCTATTCTAATTACCTGTAAGATCATTGAACTAATATCTCAATCATTTTTTATTTTTTATTTCCAACAGAGATTCTGTTGATCAACTGAGATCATCTCTATCATCTCTTATTACTTCAAGTAATATCCATGGGTCATCATCATTGAGAACTAGTTCTAATCGGTCTTCTCCGACCGATTTAATTCAAATTTCTGGTTCCAAATGTTCAAAAGCATCAACATCAACTGGTAAAGAAACTTTATCAACCTTCAATTCATCCTCATCACTTTCATCAACTCCAATAACAATAACACCAAGCGGAGCATCATCACCAGTATCAATTGGCCATCATCATCAGCACCAGTCTCACCATCAAGAGCAACAACAACAACAATTGAATACATTGTGTGCAGTTTGTGGTGATAATGCTGCTTGTCAACATTATGGTGTGAGAACCTGTGAAGGTTGTAAAGGATTCTTCAAGAGAACTGTTCAAAAAGGCTCGAAATATGTTTGTTTAGGGTCTAAGGATTGTCCAGTTGACAAGCGTCGACGAAATCGATGTCAATTTTGTCGATTTCAAAAGTGTTTAGCCGTCGGAATGGTAAAAGAAGTGGTACGAACTGATAATCTAAAAGGTCGTCGAGGTAGATTACCATCTAAACCAAAGTCTCCACAAGAATCACCACCATCACCTCCGATTAGTACAATTACAGCTTTGGTTCGAGCTCATGTAGACACTTGTCCTGATATTTCAAATCTCGATCTAAGTCAAGTAAGTTACAAAAGAATAAATTCTTAGAGGATTAAATGAAAATTAACTAATTCTGTTTACATTTCTCTTTTCAGTATTGTGAAATTGATGAATCCTGTTTATCACTTATCGAATCCTCTCCAGCTTATCATCAACAATTCGTTGACCTTATAAACACCTCAACAGATCCAATTCGTACCTTTGCTGAGAAAATACCTGGATTTAATGATCTCAATAAACATGATCAAGATCTTCTCTTTTATTCATCTTGTCTTGAGATAATTGCACTTCGAATTGCTTACCAGTAAGTACATTGACAACTTCAAATATTAGTGATATCAATTAATTAAACAATAATAATTAGAAATTTATTACTATTAATTAGTGACAAATTTTGTGTTTTATTATTATTTGTTTGTATCAAGTTGTCACAATAAATTGATACACAATATAAATGTTAATTGTGATTATTATTTGTTTCTCAATCAACAGAAATAAACCAGGATCCAAGAAGATTATTTTACCCAATGGTGTTGTGCTTCATCGTAATCAAGTTAAATTACTTTTCGGTTCTTGGTTTAACAATCTAGAAATGTTTTCATCTCGATTTGCTCAAATAGATATCGACATATCAGCATTTGCTTGTCTCTTAGGCCTCTCGTTAATCACAGGTAAGCTAAAGATCACATTTACTTTCTTTTCCTTTAATTATAGTAATTAAAACGTTAGAGAAAAGTGAAACAAAAAGATCAACAGTAATCAAGATAATTAATATCCTTATTAATAATATTATAAAAAAAAGTGAATCTTGTAATTGAATAAAAACCAGTAACTAAATTAGTATATCAAATTGAGGGCGAAATCAAATGATAATAATATTGATTATGATGATGAAGATGATGATGTCTAGTAACAGTTAATACGTTAGCATGATAAACAGAAAAAAGGTTTAGTTAATTGTTAAAGATTTTGAATTGCTGAAATTGCAATTAGAAAATGATTGTGGTGATTGAATATTAGCCATTTAATTCATATCACGATTATAATGATAATCATTGTGAAAAAAAATCACACCAACTAATCATCATCATCATCATCATCTTTGTTAAATGGATATTATAATATCTATTTATAATCGAGATTACTTTCGATTGTTGTTCATTGATTGTTAATTGTTGATTGTTGATTGAAATAATGATGCTAATGAAAAATTGAATTTGTTTTTCTCCCTCTCTCTCTCTCTCTTCCTCTCTTTTACTATCCTTTGATTAATCAGTTCGTCATGGACTCGTTGATCCAATTCGAGTTGAAGGTTTACAAATGAAAATCATTGAATCTCTCCGAGATCATGTTACTTATAATGCTGAAGCCCAAAAGAAATCACATTATTTTTCATCAATTTTATCTAAATTACCTGATTTACGATCACTATCAATGGATGGATTAACTCATTTACATGAAATTAAATTGGAATCCATAGTCACTATTCCGGAATCAATATCAAGACTACTGAACAATATTGCTTATTACTGACGATTGAGTGATTCCAGAATAATACAATCCATTAATCATCATTTAAGCAAATAACTAATTAATCATCTAGCATCAAAATCTTTTAATGATTTATTATCTGAAAGTTGACTTTTATTTTCCCTCTCTTTTTCTGATCAGTTTTCTTATACACAAGTCGCCATCTTTGATTTAATGTTATCAACCAATATTGTCAATTGTTATTTACAAAAAAAATTCAATTGAAAATTTAACGATTTACAAGACCATCATCACTATTAATTACCACAAGATTATTAACAATTCACCATTAATGCCAAATTCTGTTAATTATTTTCCTAAAAAGACAATCAACCCAATCAGCTATGTCAACCTTTTAATCAAATCTCATGTCAACTTTTCTTGAACAATCAGGAATCTACCTCATCCCTAATTGTGTAATCATCACTCTGACGTATGAACTCAACACACAATCAAAAGTTTCATCAATTTGATTTCATCTTAGAATAATTGAAGAAAAAGATTCTAATTGTAAATCGCCTTCAATGGAAATCAAAGCTCAATCTTGATTGTAAATTGAAGTTAAATCTTCAATCTCTAATACCTGAAGTTTATGAAATCAGTGTCATGGATTAACAATTTGATTTAATCTAAGTGATATCAACAATTAACCTCCACCATAATCTCACCGACAGTACAATCATTAAACGGGATATACAATATGATGTAACCGTGATTCCAATTGGTGGCAACAATTAAGGAATTGATAGAAATGTTTTCATAACAATCAACATGATCAACAAACTCCCGGATGTAATAATTAAGTGTTGATTATTGAAGAAGACAAGATAACCTAAAGGAAGACAATTGACGAAAAAAAAAGAAAGAGAAGATGAAAAGCCTTACCAATATTTATCTTCATGTTAATTTTTCTTCATCAATTCTGTTAATTAATAATCTTAATTATTAACAGTTAACAAGTTATTTATCTCTTCCCCTCAACTCCTCTTGTTATACAACTAAATCACCAACGTTTGTAAACATTTAATTGTTGTCCATTACTTTTTCCTTGTACAAATTAATCACCTTGTTAGCACTCCAATCATCATTAATGTTTAATTATTACAATTACATTGTGTCTCCTCATCTAATTTTTGATATGTTACAATCTATCATCTGAAACAATTAATTTTTTTTTGCTAAAGTATAATAACAATAAGTTAATGGTAAAATAAATTATATCAACGTTGTTATTATTAATTATAAACATAATTAAATTGCTGTTGATTTGTTGTAATTCAATCAAATATACTGTATATAATTTAGATTAGACTTACTGTTCAATTACAATGGTTTGTGTTTATAAATTGTTTATAATTATGTTGAACAATTAGCACCTAAAGGTAGAGAGAGAGAGAGAGAGAGAAAGATAAAGGTTCATAAAAACAATGATTAGATTTAATTGTTTGCACAATTAATAGCAGCCAAACAGTCTAGATATGGTTAATTAAGTCTGTTTGTTGATCGTCTAATTAGTTATAATCCATATGATTTAACTACGAGATAAATTGGTAATCTCCATCAACAGTTAGAAATATTCATCGTATTTACTTGATTAATTGTCTAAATCCAGTTGCCGGATTGTTAACCAAAAAGTGCGAGCGCCGAAAATAATTAATTTCTCTAAAGAGTCGTAATTGGATTAATTATTATTCGGTTAAAGGAAAACATGAGCACCTTGGATAACAACTCGTAATCCAATTACAATTAGTTCGGTTGACTTTGTTTTCTTTTATACCACAATTTGTTAATTTATAAAAACGCATAATCTTGAATCAGCTTTTTCCAATCAACATCAACCAAATGAATGATTTATTGATTACATTAATTGTTGCCAAGTTTTCGTAATCCTCGATGTAGGCAAATAAATCATTGTGGCAATCATTTTGTATTCCCCGTTGATAGACAATCATGTAAATCCTTTTATCAGCATTTCCATTGACGTTGGAGTAACGAAACGGAGCAAATGTAATTCCATTTAATTGGATCTTCCATTTTTTTCGTCAATTCATTCTTACACCAATTATAGAGAAACTCCAATGAAACATATACACTTGAATCGAAAATGATCAAAATGAATCAATCACAATTATCAGGCATTAATCTTTTTCCTTGTAATCTATTCCTTTTATTTCAGGTTGGCCACTAAAACAAGGAAGTGAATATGATAACCATTCATTTAGATGAAACAATTAATTCCAAATGAGAACCAATTCAAATGAAGAAAAGCAAAATTTCAAAATTCATTGAGAGTAAACATCAGGCGAATATGAAAGAATCTCAATCATCTTCAGGATTTTCACCCAAACCAATTAAATGTCAACTTTTAATTCCAACGTCCAAAGAAAGTCCAACAATCAAAGATCAAAATAAAATCCTAAAAGACCGAAATTCTTAACGAAAATCAGCAGAAAAAAAAGAAAACAATTAACAGAAATTCAAACAAAATTCATTTTCGCTTCTCTTACCTTAGGCCTAAGAGAAGAGGAACTTTGATCAAACAAATTGCAAAATAATATCATAGAAATTAAACTAATTCCTTTTTCTTTTAATTCCAAAGTCACTTAATAATCAATTAGAATTTAAATCAATTTCAATTCCACTTTGGAAACATTTAATTAATCACTTAATTGAACTGAAAGAAAATTTAAAAAACATGATTACAGGAAAACAGAAAAGAATTTACAGTTCGTTATTAGGTAATAATCCCCAAAGAATTTTTTTTGTTTGTTTACATTTTTTTTCTATTCTATTTAAAAACTTTGTTCTTAATTTGATTTAATCTTTAATGTCGTTGGATTTTGTCAATTTATAGATTGTTAATTTAACCCGAGGTTTGTTTTTGACCTTTTTAATTTTCTCATATTGTTTTGTGGTTTAGATGTTCGATTTCTGTCAGTTTTAATTGTTCTTTTGTCTTTCTATCAGGTGTTTGATCAATAGATGGAGGAGTTAAAAGGCTCAGCAGATTATCTGAAACAAAAGCAACATCCTCTTTTCCAATGTTCACCTGATGATGTCGATCAAGTTTTCGAGATAACTGATTTTACAACTGCAACCGATTGGGAACGTTTCATTGCTGATTTTGAGGATGTTCTTCGTAAATGGGATAACCTTGAACAGCCTGATGAGGTTAACGAAAAACCTGAGATGGTTTGTGGCTCAATTGCTGGAGGAATCGCTGATTGTTTGAGTCACAGTGAAACTGTTTCTCTTAAATTTGCTAAATTTGTCCTCATTGTCAGACTGTATTGTTATAAAGGATCTCTTCCTCCACTTGAAAGGCCGATCAATAAATTGATGTACACCAATCGCAGCGATGAGCTTACCGGTTATTTAACAAAAGATGTACACTTGGAATCTGAGGAGAGCAGATTTGATGTTTTCAATGATTTAATGGATTTTCGATACAGTTTTCCACATCGAGCTCATTGTATTTATCGTTGGTTTGGAGTTAAAAAGTTCGTTGTAATCTCCCCCATGGAAAATAATCTGATAACCAGTGAAGATCGAGCTAAACTTCTCCTTAGTTCTGCAGCAATCGCGATGAGGAATATCAATGTGTAACTATTTCTAATTATTATTCTTTATATTCTCTTATTTATTATCTATTTTTTTCTATATCTTTCGTTAGGTATATTCCTGTTTTCGTTCAAATTCATCATCCTCAGAGAAAATTTTTCCACGGAATTTTGGAAGGTTCGACTTCAAGAATTATGTTTGACATGATTCACTTTAAAGACGCTCCCGAAAGTTATCATTATCTTTCAGAATTGACCAAAATATTTAGAGAAAAGATTGTAAGTCTAATGGCAAATATATTCTCAAGCAGCTGATAATAACAAATTGATTAGATATTTTTGTATTTTTACAAAAACGTCATATTGTTTTCACTTTGGACCTTTACTTCATTGTAATCAGTCAATTTAGCTAATTTTTTTTTCTTTTTTTCATTCAGGCATCTCCATTTCTCAGTACAGTATCAATCGAATTGTCAGTCCGTTTCACTCATATACTCAAAGAATGGCCTCAAGAGTGGATTCTTCCCGAAACCGATGCAACTGATTTAGAGGATAGACTTTATTCACTTGATACATCGCCGTTAACTTTAATTGAATATTCATCTCCACCCGCTCCAATTGAGTAAATATCTACAATCAGCTTACTGAGAATTCGCATTGAGAGCAAATTTCTAACTTAATTTTTTCTTCCACAGAGAAATTCATCTATCAACAACTTGGCCTAAACTGATTGAGGATATGATTAACGATTCGCCAAACCATAGTAATTTAAACTCAATGGAAGCTCCCTACTGGTCAGTTCGAGCCTTATTTCAAGATCGTTATATTCCCGCTCTTGTACATTCAATAAGTAGCCTTTTTATTTTGGCTAAATCAACAAAACAAGCTGATCAACCCATGGGAAAATATTCTGGTCTTCAAGAAGATAAAGGTATAAATCGTTATCACCATCGTCATAATCACTGATCAAGAAAATGGAAACATAACAATTAAAATTGTTATCTGACTTAAGCATAATGTCACTGTTTCATACGGATCATTTACATTACAAAGTTAATTAGTAAAATAGTTTGGGATTGATTACAAGATGACAAGATTATCAACATCATTACCAACAATTGATCACCTCAGCATAGTAACAATTAACTAAGATTAGTAATCATATATCTCCCAAATTGTTGTATTACTTGACTGATTCCTAATCTTAACTTGCATTCACACACACATTATAATCAATTTCTCATCTTCCTAAATGATAAAGCTAATTATTTGAATTGTGATTATTTAATTCAATTTCACTTTCTTTCTCTCCTTTACTCTTAGTTGAAACTGAGGCCAGAGCAGCACTCGATAGACTTGCTGGTGTTGGTCCGCCGACTTTGACTTTACCTCAATTCCGAGTTAATCAAACACTGATTTTATCAGATGAATTAAAATGTCGTATACTTGAATTCATATTTTCACCCAAATCAGAATCTACTCAACCAATTAATGGATTAATGAAAGTGAGTAAATCGCGTGATTGAAACAATCAGAGACAATTTAAAATAATTAACCATTTTGTTTTGTCATAATGTGATAGTGATAACATACACGTATGAGTACTTATATAATAATATTTACATAATAATAACTAAAAGAGAGAAAAAAAAACAAAATTTCACTTATCAACTAATTTAATCTTCTTATTCAAAATGTTAGGATTATCGGAGTTTTAAATCATGTCAGTTCAATAATTTGACTTGGAGATTATCAATCATTTTCCACCAATTAAAAGATCTAACCACAATTGCCTACCTGTGGACGGAGATTGTCAAACAATTAAGAGACCATTGGGAAAATTTAATCGATCTACCAAGGTATTTATTATAAGCAATTCATCACAATGGTTTACAATTAATCAAATCAACATATCATCGTGTCTATTATCCAACCATTGGAAAGGTCAATAATTGTGAATAATTTGTCTCTCACCGTTGAGAAAGTCGACAAAAAATATCAAAATTGAAACATTATAATTGCGACTGATTATCATCCATCCACCCTGAAGATATCATTGATTAGCAATTACAATTAATTGATTTTTAATCACTAACGTTGATTTTTTCACTAACAAGAGGTGTGACAATTCAACTTTTACCATTAAGATTTCTTTGGTAAATCTTCAATTAACTCATCTTCTCTTCCTTATTCTAATCATCATGTTTACCATCAACTAATTTACCTCTGGTTATGCCGGAATCAGAATCCAAATAGTTAATTGTAAAAACAAACTTTATATTCCCGGTATCATGTTAACCAGTAAAAGAAACATTTCTTTTTTTTTCTGTGAGAGATAGTAAATTGTCTGTGAGAGAAATTAACTCTGAGAATCTTGATTAATACATATAATCACAAATTCTCACATAAATTAAATGACCAACAAGTAAAAAAAAAATAGGAATGCCCATCATTAGGTACACAGAATTTGACAACAATTTAAATCCCGTTAGCCAATTGTCAACGAGAAAAACAAGAAATTAAAATACTCATGATAATGGTTATTATTACTTTTGAATTATCACCATGATTATCATGACAATATTCAATGTTGATTGTAATTTAAATTCTATCTCTTCCTTGAGTATCATGGTTATCATCTTCCGTTTCAAACTAATTGTGTGTAAATTTAATTAAGTCACCAAACCCTCAAATTATATCCCAACAATTAACTTTCAACAGTTAAACTTTTTTCTCTTTCTCTGTAAACATTTTTAGTTGATTGACTTGAGAATCGTTGGGAATGTGAAAACCCTTTTGATTATTTATTATTTTTATAACAATTAACATCACTCAAAGTGTTTACAATTAAGTCAAATGTTAATTGTAATTGTCTCTTATTTTTCATTGCCAAGCAATTAAGTCATTCCAAATATTACTTGTTTTTTGTTTTTGTTTTGTTACACTTAATCAATTCATTGAGTTAAAACTTTTTGATTGATAAATTGATTTAGTTTTAATCAAATTGTTATTTTAGTAATGAACGAGTAAATAATCATCCCTTCAATAGCAAAAAGGTAAATTAAAATGTTTAATCGTGTTGATTAACTTAAATTACCTTTCAAATTGTCAAATTGAAAACACACATTAACTTGGAAAGTGATTCAAAGTGTTTTCCCATCAATTTAAATTGGATAAACAATTTAGTTGTAAGATAATTAATCAACTGTTGATTATGATCACTATTTAGTTTTTTTTAGATCACAATTAACAACCCAAACTATTAAAAATTTTGTTTTTGACATTTAAATTTGATCAATCATCTTGATTAACTTTCAATCTTTAATTTTTTCTTCCAGGTAAACACTAATTTAGTTTAATCACATTAATTATTTCCTTTTACTTGTTTGATTTGCTAATTATTCCCAACTAATCATCTTAATTAGTTGGCTAATTCAACATTTAATCCAACTTGATTATTTTATATTTTTTAAATTCAATTATAATTTAAATATTAGGATCAAAGGTTAATCATCTAATTGAATTAATGTGGTTAGTCGGAATTATTTAATAACAATTATTTAATTACATATTAATTTGATATTTCTTTGTAACAATTTCAAATCAACAACAATCAAACTCTTTCCTTCATATTAATGAACAAAAATTTAAATTGTAGACCAAATTTAATTTACAAATCAGGTTTTCCTGAGGTTCCTTAATCATTTTGATTCAATAGTTTAATGATGATGAGTTGAATTCATTGAATTCCAAGTTGATTACAATCAAAGTCATATCTAATTCAGTTATAGCAACAATTTAAGGTCTTTCAACAATTAAGTGTAAATATTAATACATTTAAATGTAGAATCATATTACATTCAAGACGCAATTAAGGATTTTTTTTCTTCATTCTAATGATTTTCTTGAATTTCTGCAAAATCAGGGATCATCAAAGTATTGTTATCATCATATTAATCAACAACAATCATCAATTCTCTGACAATTAACTAATGAAAGTAACAATTTAAAATGGGCAAGGGGATAACTCATATCATCAGCTTATCACAATCAAAAATAATCTTGATGATTCAGTTTTTATTTTACTATCCCTTAGTATTATCCCTACAAGGGAAAGTTAATTATCATTGATTATCATCAAAAATTAAGTTAAAATCTTACCCTAATTACAGTCCGCGAAACATAATTCACTGGTATCAATGAGAACCATTTTCAAATGTTGCCTAATTGTTTCAATCAACAGGATATAATCATAAACAATGAAACAAAATCTTTGATTAGCCTCTTCCATGTTCACATTATCCAAACTAGTTATTAATACAATAATCTCAGGATTTCAATGTATCAACAACAATTTACAATCAAGTAAATTACATTTTAAGAGTTGATTGTTTGATTGATAATGATGATGATCAACTTCCGATGTTATTTAAAACAATCAAACAGTTCATGATATAAGAGGCCTTTCACTAATCATGATTATCCATTTCTCCAGTTAATCAACATTTTTTTTTGCATCCAAACTTTTTAATCTTTTTAAGTTTAAAATCTATTAATTCATCTCACTTTCAATCATTAATCTCTTCCCTTCATCATCTTTATCCTCTGCCACTTTTACCTGTCAACTAATAATTATTGGCCAATACTAATCTCCACTCCTTGAGCTTTTTTATCATCATCTCCTTACTTATCATCATCATCATCATCATGTATCCACTTTGTTGAGTTACGTCCAATGGTCAAGGGGGCTAATGATAATGAGAATAGCCTAAACCTCTTAGCACCCTCCTTTCATGTTTACTTAATAATCTTCATGATTAACAAGATTATGTCTTTAAGATAATCAACTAGTTCATCAGAAAAAAAATCTCATTGAAACATTATCATTATTTGCATGATGAATTGTTTCCCAACAATTTAAATGCATTTATTTCATCATCGTAAGTTCATCGATCCTCATCTTATTCTGAATCCATTGGAACCATTGGCACCTTTTCATCATCATTTAATCTTCATCATTTTTTATCATCTCTTTGCATTATCTTCATTATTTAAATTGATCTGATTAATTTTCAATTCATCAAGTTATCAATTCAATTTTATCCTGATCATCATCATTTTCTAGCTTGATTTGTTATCACCATCAGATTCCTGAGATTTCAATGTTACGATTATCTCACATTTAATTAATCTGAAAGCAACAGAAATCTTGACAATCAAGTTAAATCATGTTAATCTGATTCAGTTTAAGATTTAAATAGTTTCACTTTTATTTTTCAACTAAATTGATTTCATCTAATCTGATCTAACCCTCCAATCAAATTGCCAAACTATTAAATGCTGTAATTAATTAAATCTTTCAACTTGATATAACTTTAAATTGTTATTGCAATATTTATATTGATTAATGTTTCGTAATTTAAAATTTTCTTTTCACAATTAATAGTTGAACAATTTAATTTGACACGGATTAAATTTTATCCTCAGATTAAATTGATTACACTTTATATTAATCACTTTTCTACTTTTATATCAATAGTAAGAAGTGTTTTCAATTACATTGTATTATATTTGGTAATTAAAGCTAATTGTTACCAAATTAGATTCACTTTGCACAATTAACTGTTGATAATACAGTTAACTAAGGTGATTAGTTAATAGTATTACACAAGAAATTAAGTCTTTCAAATTTTCATCAACTGATATCTCCAGTATATGATTATAACTGTATCATTGTTATTAAATCAACTAATTAAGTGTTACAATTTAATTAAATCTCATTGATACATAATAGTAGATATAAGCTGAATTTAATCAACTGATTAAATTGATCCTTATAACTGAAAAAAAAACAGTAAAAATCCTTTTGTTATCATGATTTAGTGATATATGAATTCAGGAAATATCATGATGATGATCATTCCAGCTGATTGACATTGAATAAAAGCTTAATCCTATCTTCCTTGATGATGGAAAATATCATTTGTTGATTATTATTATGATTCAACCTTGAAGGTCATTTCCTTGTATTATTAACAAATTAAACCATCAGATTAATTTGATCTTGTTGATGATGATGATTATGATGTTAATGATGATAATCATCTTGATCAACACAATAGACAATTTCAATTTTAAACTGATTCTCACAAAGTCACTTAAGTTTATCATTATGATTAACAAGTTTCAACTTTTGATTTAATAATGGAAAGTAATCATTTACATGGATTCTGATGACAACCATGATGAAGATATTAATCCATGCAAGAATTAAAGTAAGAAAAAACTGTTAAATGTATGAAATTTTCCCAATATTTATAATCCAGAGGTCAGTTTGCTGACCATAAACTAACTGTTAACAGGATCAACTCAAAATGGACTTGGATTATGTGGATTTTTCAGAGTTTCATCACCGTGGTCATCTTATCATCTTGTGTGAAAATGATTAATTATATTCCCTGAATATGAGACTGACCATTTGTTATGAAACTTTTTTTTTCTTAACATGATGAAACCTGTTACTTTAATGATACTCAATCTCACTTATGATGATGAGTCTCCATCTTCTGAACTTCTTGTAGATTCCTAATGGTTAATGGTGAAAATTAAAGACTTAAAAATGATTCTGATTATCATGAGATTCATTACAAAGTCAGAATCGTTATCATGAAAAAAAATATGATCTGTGTTTTCACATTGATTTCAATTTCAATCAATTTACATCCAAATATTATTAATATTAATTCCATTCATTATCTGATTCTTTACTCAATTTATCTGATTATTTCCTTACTCATAATATTAATTAAGCTCCTCAGCATGTCTACTCATCATCTGAAGATGATGTTGATGATTATCA